GAAAGACACAGAGTTGGGACAGTGCTGTGATGTGGGTAAAGCTGACGCTTGCAGTGCCAGCATCTCATAGGGTGTCAGTTCAAGTCCCAGCTGCTCCCCTTCCCACCCAGCAAACTGCACATGTGTCTGGGAAAGCAGCAGAAGACAACCCAAATGCCTGGGCCCCTGCACCCATGTGGGAAACTGTTGGGAAGATTCTGGCTCCTGAGTTTGGCCATAGCAGTCAATCGAGAAGTGAACCAGCAGATGGAAAATCTTTCCTCCTCTCTCTGTAGCTCTGCCTTTCAAACAACATAAGATTTTCAAAAATACATATTTATTTCTATTTGAAAGGTAGATTTTTGCAAGGAGTGAGAGAGAGAGAGTTTGAGAGAGAGAGAGAGAGAGAGAGAGGTCTTCATTTGCTGGTTCACTCTCCAGGTGGCTGCAATGACCAGAACTGAGCCAACCCGAAAACAATAGCCAGAAGCTTCTTCCGGCCTCCCACGTGGGAGCAGGGAACGAGGCTTTGAGCCATCCTCCATTGCTTTCCCAGGTCACAGGCAGGAGCTGGATCAGCAGGTGGAGCGTTAGCCTGATGCACCGTGGCATAGACCCTGTTAGGTAAAATAAATCTGAAAAAGGGAAAGAAGGAAGGAAAAACACAAAATAAAAGCAGCAATGAAGTCAGGAATGGTTTTTTGTTAACCGTTTGTGGCGGGAAAAAGCGTATTCATTCTTTTCTCCTTTTGCATTAGTCAGTAATTTGGAAATGCTAAGATAAGCAGGCTGCTTTGATTTGTCATTGTGAGTCTGATTTAGTGTAAAATAATCAGCAGAACAGTTAATCAGCATATTCACTATGATAAAAATGATAATAAAAGAAGTCTTTTAAAACTTCTTGCTGTAAGTTCAATCATTTTTTCTATACATATTTTAAGTTGCTGTTGTGTGCTAATATAATTTGCTTCCTGTGCTGCCATTTCACCATTGAAGTAAAGGTAGATCATTTCTACTTTTTATTCTACTTAGAATTAATTGGAATCTCGTTTTTAGTAATTTTCCTAGTGAATGAAAACTTTATTCGGATAGTCTTTTTGTGGATTGTTAAGCATGGGTATAAGTAGTTTTTTTTTTTTTTTTTAATATTCTCCCACTTGTAATTAAATCTCTTGAGGCATTACTACCGATCCTGATTCTGATTATTTTCCTTTTAAGGGTATTGGAATAATGTTCATGACTTTTTTTTCTTTGGTTGTAAAACTGTGGAACTGCTCAGACCTGAATTTGAATTCTGATTTTGCCGTTTTTTGGCTTTATTTTGAGTAAACAAATCATGTCTCTGATAACTTCAGAAGGTGTTAGCAACAGTAGAGATTTCTGTATGCACGTTGTTTGGCCCATGGGAGAAACATAAGTATAAACTTTGTTGTAGATTAGAAGCTGGCATTCTTTGGAATTTTTTAAATTTTTGATGTTTACATAGTTGATCAGGGTGGGATCAAAGGTTAGGGGAAAGCGGCTGTGATCATTGTTTCCAAATTTTCTGTTTCTTCTTCCTGTTCTGGGGGGAGGGGAGAGATAAGGGGAGAAGTCAAACCAAGACTCCCAACTGCCCCAGCACCCGGAAATGGGGAACGGCCACCCAGTATCAACCCAGGGTCCTGATGTGGCACACGCTCCGAAGATTGTGCCCAAGTGGTTTTGTTTGTTTTGTTTTATTTTTAAATAAAGTGGTTTTGCTAGTTCTGAAATGCTGTCAATCTCACCGATCCAAGGATGAGCAAACCCTCCCAATGTCCATTGGCTGATATAGTTGACCTTAGTGTCTCCATTCACACAGATATTTGCTGTCATCATTTGGCTGGGGTAGTTATCCAATTTCTTCTGTTCTCCTTCCTTTGCTATGGTAGCAGGTGTCCTCTGAAGACCCCATGGACTCCCATATCCTCCATGTGCATCTGGGCGCTATTAACTGCTGTCAGTCTTTTCCACAGATATGCCTAGTTCTGACACATGCACTCCATGGTCAGACCACTAATCCTGGACATGAGATTCCTGGTCCCCACACACCCTCATCTGTGCCATCACCAGACCCTGCAAGCCCACACACCAAATGTCCACAAATGAACCACCAGGCAACCAGTGAGCTTTTCCCAGCAGCATTGGCATTCTGGGCTGCCCAATCCAGGCCCCACACAATGCCCTGAACCCAAGGCTCAGGGAACTGGTTCCAACTGCGCAGATAGGTCCCAACAGACCACCTGGTTCCAGGGCTGTAACCTGGCCCGGTCTGGGCTGCCCTTTGCCTTGGTTCTTGCACTTGCCTACAGGGAGTGTGTCCTGACAAAGGAGTTCCCAGGCTGCTGTATCAGATGTCTGCCCAGTGGCAGATCTTGCACACACTAGTGGGTCCTTGACCCAGGTTGACTTTGTCCACCTCTTGTCTTGGCAGGAGCAGGAACAGCGTTCTGGCCCAACTTTCCCACACCCATTCCAGTTCTTAACTGTTGGCTGTCGCAGCCCAGCCATACCTAGTGGTGGCAGACTTTGTAAAACAGGCTGGAGTCAGTGGTTAGGCTTTGGGACCATGCACAGTGGATCAGCTCTGCATCTGTGGTGTGGAAGCAGGCGTGGATGCTGTGTACACTGAGAAGCATGACTGCGTCCTAGTAAATGTCTTTATAAAGCAAATGGCTGGCCATGATTGGCCCATAGGCTGTAGTTTGTGTTGACTTTTGTTCAAGACTAACAGTAACACTAACAAATGAAGCCAGGTATGGGGAATATGAACAATTCTCTCTGTGCTCTTCTGCAAAGTGGATTATCGGGAGAATGTAGGCTGATTAAGAACTTGAATTTGTAATCCTAGACATTCAAAAATCTTTGCCTAAAACATGTTCTGCTGAGTTAACATGTTGTAGTGAATATCTCAGCTACCAGGGACCATAAACATTAAGTATTTCTAGAGCCATAAAAACATATTTTATGGAACATCCTAGGACATAACTCCTTTTGTCATAACACAGTATTAGAGGGACCCGACTCAATCGGCTCATTCAGCTAATCCTGCCCCTTCAAGCACCAGGATCCGATATAGACATTGGCTTGTGCCCCAGGTGCTCCACTTCCCATCCAGCTCCCTGTTTGTGTCCTGGGAAAGCAGTCGAGGACAGTCCAGAGCCTTTAGCCCAGACCCTGCACCGGCATGGGAGACCCAGAAGCAGCTCCTGGCTTCTGGCTTTGGATTAGTTCAGCTCTGGCTATTGCAACCACTTCAGGAGAAAATCAGCAGTTAGAAGATCTTCCTCTCTGTCTCTCCTCCTCTCTGTAAATCTGCCTTTCCAATAAAAATAAGTACATCTTTAAACAAATACCATATTCTAAGAAAACAAATAAGTTGGAATGTGTGTTTAGGGTAGAAACTTACCTGGACTCAGTTTCTTCCCCAGTTCCTGCTTCCTGCTTCCTGCTGGTGCAGGCCCTTTGGAGGAGCTGGGTCCCTGCCACCCACGGGGAAGACTTCACTGAGTTCCTGGCTGTTTGTTTCAGTCGAGTCCAATATATGCAGTCGAGGACATGAACCAGTGGGTGTGAGCTCTGTGTCTCTGTCTGCTTGCCTCTCAAAATAAAGAATACTCTACCTTTTATATATTCCGGTGTTATGGTTCATAATTTTAGCCAAGGATCCTTTTTATGATTCTCTTGGTGCTGACTTTGGAGGGTCATTTAGTGACACGCTTAATCGAGAGGCTGCTTTACATACAGTTAGTTGAGAGGCTGGTGCACCGCCTGGGGGTTTGGGGAGGCGTGCCTACTCACTGGCACTGGCAGCTCCTCCTCACTGCCTCTCAGCATGCTAATAATTTCTTTTTTTTTTCTTTTTCTTTCTTTTTTCCTTTTTTTTTTTTTTAATACTAAAAGGCCACGGTGGTCTCATCCAGAACCCCAGTTCCTGTGATGTCTTGCTGTTGTTGGGTCTTTTCAGGGCACATGGGACTGCTGCTTGTACTCCCACGTTACTGCGCTGTGGCTCTGCGCTTTGTTCTCTTTTGTAGGCCAGTTCTCAGCTGGGGCTGGAGCTTACAATTACTATATTTAGTGACATCTTACTATTTGGGTACTCGAGTGGCTATATGTAAGCCACCTTGCTGGGCATAAAGTACTGTTCAGGGAACCTAAAATTGTGCCTTAAAAAAAAAAAGGGGACATCTTCTACTATGTGGCAACATGAATGGACCTGGAAGACATTGTACCGAATGAATTAAACATGTCCCGTACGTCTGCACTTCTATCTGATGTCTAAAATAGTCACGCTCTACAGAAGGGTGGTGGCCAGGAGAGTTTGCTGTGCAGCAGAATCTGGTCAGTTATTTTGTGCGTGTACTGTGGTGTACTGTGCTGTTAGCTATTCTTACTACTGTTTTGGTTTTTTTGTTTTGTTTTTTTTTGAGAAATTACTTAGGTGCTATCCATTTGGGGAAAAATAAAAGGTGGCAAAACTTCAAATCTTTCCGCGTTGGCCTCTACTTGTTTTCCCCCTTGCCGGTTTTCTTGATGAGACCACAGCGTCAAGCTTTGTTGCTGAGTTATGGGCATAGATCAGGCACTGGACAGGACCTTGGGTAATGGGAGAGCAGTAGACTTGACCGAAAGCTGTTTGCACACAACAGTCATTCTGTTGTTCTGTTGAATTACGTGCTTTCTGGCGTGGCTCATAGTGTCGTTGCTAAAGCTATCCCAGAGCAGTGCAGCACCCCTCTTCTGCTTGCCTGTCCCCACTGCTCCTTGGAGGCTTTGCAGCGGGGGATTGTACACATCTGGTTGCTTCCCTCCTGTCAGCATGCTGACAATGGCAGCTGTAGGTGATATTTTTCAGCCTGGGTGTCTGCATCATGTTATATCTGTGAATGGAAGCTCTCTAGCCACAGACTGTACAGGAAGCAGTACTCACCTCATTGTGCTGAAAGTGCTCAGTTGTATCGTAACTGGATAATCATCTTCCAAATTTCTTTTTTTAGAAACCGATTCAGCAGTACAGAAAGAGCATAGAAACCAGACACCTGCTCCATCTGCACCTCAAACTTCCGCCCCGTCTAAGTACCACCGAAGTCGATCTGGTGGGGCCCGGGATGAACGATACCGATCAGGTGAGAGGGACCTGGGAAATGCAGCTGAGTAGGTATTCCTGACCGCAGCAGCACCTTGGGATCCTGAGAGCTTCGAGAATCTGATACTTGTCCTTACATATGCGAGCGGGCCTATATTACTCAGTCGTTTCTTCAGTGTCTGCTTTATATTGGGGCAGTATTTGCTGGAGATGTAGCTACAAATACAACGATTTCCATCTTTCAGTGACTTAACAGTTCAACATGAAGAACTGGGCAGATACTTGGCCTAGCAGTTGATGCACTGCTTCAGATGGTCACATCCCACGTCAAAATACCTAGGTTGAATTCTTGGCTCTGGCTCTTCACTTCCTGCTAATACAGATCCTGGAATGCAGCCATGATGACTCAAGTAACTGGGCCCCTGTCGTCCTGTGCTGTGACCTGGCTTGGACATTGTGAATGCCAGAGACAGTTTGACCTCTTCTTTCCAATTCAAGAGCCTTTCATTTCTTTTCCTTGCCTGATGATTCTGGCTGCAGTGTTGCTGATTTGAGAGGAAAGGTTTTCAGAGTTGAATACTAGCCATAGGCTTTTCATTTGTGACCTTTATTGCACTGAGACAATTTGCTTTTTCCCCTAGTTTCTTGAGTGCTTATCATGAAAGGGTATTGAATTTTATCAAATGCTTTGTCTGTGTTTGGAATGACCTGTAATTTTTGTCCTTTGTTTTATTAATGTAGTACATTTAAACTTACCAGTTTTGGATATTGAACTATCCTTGCATCTCGGGGTTAAATCTTTCTTGGTTGGTGCGTATTTTGCTAAGGGTTTTTAAAGAATGGGTTATTTATTTGGAAGAATATGAGTGGGTAAGAAGGAAGAGAGATCCTGCATTTGCAGGTTGACTTTCCCTCCTCCCAAAACTTCAAGGGCCAGGACTGAGCCAGCTGTACCCAGGGTCGCCTGTTGGGATACATATGAGCGTGCATTTGGTGAGGAAGCAGAGTGGACGGGACTTGACTCAGGCACTGTGATACCAGCTGCAGGTGTTCCAAGTGGTAGTGTAATCCACTATACCACAGGGCTTTCCCTGAGGGCATTTTTTTAAAAAGATTTATTTTATTTATTTGAAAGGCAGAGTTAGAAAAACACGATGAGAGAGAGAAAATGAATCAGAATCTTACACCTACTGTTGCACTCTCCAAATGGCCATAGCTGACAAAGCTGGGCCAAGCCAGAGCCAGGCGCTCCTCCTGGTCTTCCACATGGGTACAGGGGCCCAAGCACTTGGACCATCCTTTGCTGCTTTTCCAGGCTGTTAGTAGGAAGCTGGATCATGAGGGAACAGCCAGGACTCAAACTGAAACCTGTGTGGGATGGTGGCACTGCAGTTAGTTCTGCCTAAGGATCTTTTTTTCTTTCACTTTGACTTGGAAGTGCTTCACTCCCCCAATGCCCACAATAGGCACAGAGCTGGGCCAGCTGAAACCAGGAATCAGAAAAGTTGTCCAAGTCTGTCACAGGAGTGTCAGAGACCCAGCTGCTTGAGACGTCATCTGCTGACTGTCACTGGTATGCCCCACCTTGGCCTTAATGTGTGGCATGGTGCTGGTTGATGCTAACTCCCACAGCTAGGGTCTCCCACATGAGTTCCCGCTTCTGTCTCACCCTTAAAGGCACTTTTGTTCTCTCCTCCAAACCTACTTAGGTACAGGTACTGTGGTCTTATCTATGGGAGTCCCTCAGCTGTATTTCCTCTCCTAAGCATAAACCCGCAGGCCATCACTCACTACCACCTGAGTGATACTCCCATCCGCTGAAAATCCACACCCTTAAGTCCCAAGGGTCCACTGGTGGGGCTTTCTCTCTCCCTAGCCTGGGGGCTTTCTGACTGGCACAGCTGCTGACAACTGAGTGCAGTTGCTGCCTGGGGGAAGGGAGGCTTAGCAGGCTTTCAGGGCCCACCCCAGTGCATACACACCTGGAAGGTCTTTTTTGTTTCTTTGGGTTTTTTTTGTTTTTGTTTTAAAATTTGCTTTTTGATAAACTCTACACTTTTGGGACCTAACATGCTCACATTGAACTAACAAGATGAGGAGAGACCTATAGATAATAAGCAAACCCAAATGAACGTAAACTATGAAAAAAATAAGTATAACATTTCGCTGCAGTATCAGCTGCTAGATGCTGGCACAGGGAGCAAATTCTGTCAAGTTAAACTGCAGAACCACCTGGAGAGTGCAAGATCCGGGGTGGGAGTGGCCCGAGTAGGGAGAGAGTGGGCATCACCCTCTTGGGTTGCCACTGTCACTGGTGAGCCTGAGAATCGGGACTAGGACAGCGGTGGCTAGACAGAGAGTAGCACCTGCCGGCATATGTGTGGGCTAAATATTGTGGGGCTGGTTGGGTTGAACTAGGCTTCAGTGCCTACTGACATGTATGAGAGCTGAATGGGATATGGGACAGACTGGATCAGTCTGCTGTACATACTGGCAAGCATGGGAACCAGGGCAGGGGGCAGGCCTGGTATGGGTTATTGCAGGTCGCTCCAACTAGGCTGCAGCTCCCACTGGTTTGTGTGAGGGTCAAGTGTGTGCTGGGCAGAATCAGGCTGGACTGCAACACCCATTGGTTTGAGTAGAAGACAGGGTTAAAGATAGAACTGACCCAGCAACTGCAACAGTGTGCACAAAGGCCGATTTGGAGCAACGAACTGTGCCAGACCCTGTACTGGCATGCACACGTAAGAATCAGGTCTGGGATCACCTCAGATGAAATTTCTTTGGGGATCCCTCCAACTGAACTGCTGATCTCAGAACCCCAACCATGGAGAGAAGTTCAGGTTCCATGGTCTGACTGTGGAGTGCATGTATCAGAGCTGGGCCACCTCAGAGCAGTGGACAGCATATCCAGGTGCACATGGAGGATATGGCAGTCCATTGGCGCCTGTAGAGGACACCTGGTACCATGACAGAGGATGGAGGACAATCAACAACCCCAGCCAAGTATTGGCAGTGAAGATCTTGGCAGTTAGAGACATTAAGATGGACGATAGTAGCCAGTGGATTCTGGAGAGATTTCATCGTGCTTGGAATGACAAGATTGGCAGCAATACAAAACTACATCAAGGACCCTGGGATGGGTGGGAGGCTGGGTGGGGCTTCTTCCTTTATATCCCCCTTACCCTCAGATACAGGAAGGAAAAAGAAAATGTTAGAAAAAAATAAGGAAGAAAAAAGAAAAGAGAAAGAAACAAACAAACAACCAAGCAGGGAGAGGTGAGAACTGATCCAGAAAGTGTTGGCACACAACACTGTCAGAAACCAAAATGACAGGGTGGGTATTGTGGCATTGCTGGACAATCTGCCACTTGCCACAGTTGGCATTCTGTACTGGGGTGCCAATTAGAATCCCTTTTTTTCTTCATTATAGCTAGCTTCCTGCTAGTGTCCCCTGGCAGGCAGCAGATGATGACACAGATTCTTGAGTGCCTACCACCAGTGTTGGAGACTGATATGGAGTTCCTAGCTTCTGGCATTGGCCTGGCCCAGGCCTGCCTGTTGTGGGTACTGACGGAGTGAGCCAGCAGATGGAAATCTGTTCTCTCTCTTCCTCTCTTTTTCCTCCTTCTCCTCTGCTATTACTCTTTTTAGAGATGAAAAATAAATGTTAAAAAATGAGCGGCTTTGGATTTCTGTAAAACCTTTTTATTAAGGACAGCTTTGAAAATGCAAATAAATTGTAATAAAGTATTTTTCTTAAAGATTTATTTTCTTGAGAATGCAGATATACAGAGAAGGAGAGACAGAAAAAGATCTTCCATCTGCTGGTTCACTCCCTACATGGCCACAATGGCCGGAGCTGAGCTGATCTGAAGCCAGGAGCTCTTCCTGGTCTCCCACGCGGGTGCAGGGTCCCAAGGCTTTGGGCCGTCCTGGACTGCTTTCCCAGGCCACAAACAGGGAGCTGGATGGGAAGTGGAACAGCTGGGACACCAACCAATGCCCATATGGTATCCTGGCGCATACAAGGCAAGGACTTTAGCCACTAGGCTACCACCCTGGGCCCCAAAATAAAGATCTTAATTGGCTTTTTTTTTTGTGATTGTTGATTCATGCATCACTTCATTCAAGTTAAAGAGTGAGGCTGAGAAGTGATTGGGTTCACACTTAGAAAATGGCCAAAAAGGGCCTGCTGCAGTGGCACAGCATCCTGTATAGGTGCCGGTTTGAGTCCGAGCTACTCTGCTTTGAATCCAGCTCCTTGCTCATGGCCTGGGAGGACACAGAGGCTGGCCCAAACCCTCGGACCCCTGCAGCCACATGGAAGAGACTCAGAAGAGGAGGATGCTGAGCTGGCTTGTGACCATTCCTGCTCCAGCCATGTGGCCGTTTGGAAAGTGAACCAGTGTAATTGACTTTTGTTCTCTCTGTCTCCCATTCTCTGTAGCTCTGCCTTTCCAATAAAAATCAATAAATCTTTTTTTCCCAGTATATACACATTATATACATTGCAGCAAAGTATGCTTATAACATACAGGGCAGTAGGTGAGCTCAAATTTTTTAACACACACTAGCAAACACCTTATGTAAATTCTTCCCTCCCACCTCCCTCAAGTCAGTGAACAATATAACAGAGTATACTGTTCACAAAAATGGGTTAACAGTTCCACAACCAAACATAGCATTACCTATCACTTTTTTTTTAAAAGATTTATTTTATTTTTATTGGAAAGGTGGATATACAGAGAGGAGAGACAGAGAGGAAGATCTTCCGTCCAATGATTCACTCCCCAGGCGGCCACAACGGCTGGAGCTGAGCCAATCCGAAGCCAGGAGCCTCTTCCGGGTCTCCCGTGCGGGTGCAGGGTCCCAAGGCTTTGGGCCGTCCTCCACTGTTTTCCCAGGCTACAGGCAGGGAGCTGGATGGGAAGTGGGCTGCCGGTATTAGTACCGGTGCCCATATGGGACCCCGGGAATGCAAGGTGAGGACCTTAACCACTGCACCACTGCGCCGGGCCCTACCTATCACTTTTTAAAAGCTGTTTAAGAAAGTGGTATTCCACTGCGCCTACTTTGAATTACACCAAACGCTTCTAGATATTGAGACTAGATATTTCACACAAGGGTGTTTGGAAAGTTAATGGAAAATACACTTTACAAAAAAGCTATACCCGTTTCAATTTTAGTGTACCAAAATAAACTTAACTTTTGATTTCATTTTCCATGAACTTTCAGAAGCACCCTTGTGTAAGGGCTGGTCCATTAACACAACACTGCTAAATGAAATCGCGCACACATAACATTAGTTACAGTCTGAGGTATCTTCAATAGCACTGTTTGGTCCTTTTATTTTTTTTTTAATCTATTTTTATTGGAAAGTCAGATATACAGAGAGGAGGAGAGACAGAGAGGAGGATCTTCTGTCTGATGAGTCACTCCCCAAGTGAACACAGCGGCCGGTGCTGTGCCGATCTGGAACCAGGAACCTGGAACCTTTTCTGAGTCTCCCATGCGGATGCAGGGTCCCAAGGCTTTGGGCCATCCTCCACTGCTTTCCCAGGCCACAAGCAGGGAGCTGGATGGGAAGTGGGGCTGCCGGGATTAGAACCAGCGCTCATATGGGATCCCAGTGTGTTCAGGGCAAAATCCTTAGCCACCGGGCCACAGCGCTGAGCCCAGGACCATTTGGTCTTGAACCATTCCCTCCTCCTTTCCATCCAGTAGACAAGTACACACATATGGAGTGCTCAGAAATGGCTTGACAAATGTACATCCCGAAGTCATTTACAGACACTTTCAACACGAAGTATACAAAATTTGCTCATTTTACTAACTATTTTGTCATACACTGGCACTAGATGTGACAAAATTAAGACTCATTGTCTATTATGTACACTATTGACACAGTAAAACAAAATGCATGAAACAGAGAAATGTCTGCAAACTTCCCACGACAGAGCAGCCCTGGTGGCTTTGGACAGTCCCTGCCTTCCCTGTCCAAGTGCTGGACAAGCTGACTGTGCCACAGGGCTCCATCCCCTAGGTGTGTTCCATGGGTTTTACCAAAAAGATATATTTACAAAGCAATTTCACTACCTCTACATGTAACATACATCGGACACTTCTAAACATCCAGGTTAGCCCACATGGCTCGTTTCAGTTTTAGTATGTGTGCTGTCGAGGCCAAGCACTAGGCATTGCAGGTGAGGACTCATTTGCCCATTCTATGCAAAGCAGTCCTAAACCTGGACACAGGCAACAACAGTCATAATTTGAAAGTGTCTTAGAATGTGACCTTCTGCCCAGGCCCTCCCCCCGTCCACCAAGTCAGTGGGCTGGAAGGCTCAGGTGTTCTCAAGACACACCTAGGAGTGGTATCGTAAAAGGTATAAAACCAGTTGAACTCTACGTTTGTCATACCCTGGCAACCTCTTGACCCTCTGGAGCTAGGGTTAGATCTTATAAGTCAGAACTATATACACTGCCAAGCAAAGCAAAATGCACCAACACAGGGGGCAGTGGTCCATCTGGCCTCACCAGCAGCAAACTGGCACCAAGCCCTTGGCATCTCCTCCTTCTCTCCTCCCCAAACCAGTGCCCGGACACACCATGCACCCCTCAGGAGGCAGTCTGGCCACACCCCACCTCCCTACAAACAATCTCATCAATTTTTAGCAAAAATATTATTTACAAAATGGATTCTTTCACTACTTCTACTTTGAACATACATCAGGCACTTTGGAACATCTAGTTAAGACTAGATACTTCAAAGTTCTTAGCATTGTCAACTATTCACAGCGGTGAGAAAGTGCACACATACAATGGCCTCACACAAAGGCCTCTTCGCGGCAGGACTGGTCTGGTCTGGGACATTCCCTGCTCCCCTTCCTCCTGGTCTCCAGCTCCAGGCCCTCAAGAACCTTCGGGACTGTTGCTCCCTTGGGGGCGGGGGGAGATGAGGGAGAGGGACAGCCACATCTCACAAGGTCACTTTCTTCTCTGTGATTCATTTAGACATGTGACTTTACTAACTCATTACCATACGTCAGCAGCTTCCTCGCCATCTAGCAGGCCTAGATGTGCAGTAATAAAGCAGTCTCTTGTTAAGGTTGGGGGAAAACTTGAGGGCAGCTTTTTCATATAACTTACACAGGCCTTCTAGAGCGGCCAGTGAGTCTTCTCTGGGAGCTGTTTCTTCTCTTGCTGTCACCTACCATTCCGTTCCACCTGTCGCCACCACCAACATGTGGGCCCTACTTAACCTGCCAGGCCCTTGCAGGATCACTGTGACCAAGGGGCGGTTTCCAGCTACTGGGGTGGTGCTAGTATCGCCCTACTGAAACTACCAGGCCCCTGGCTGCGCAGGCTTCCGTGGGGTATGGGTGTCAGTTTGTGTCCCAGCTGCTCCATTTCCCATGTAGCTCCCTGCTTCTGGTCTGGGAATGCAGTCAAAGATGGTCAAGATCTTGGGACGCTGTACTCATGTGGGAGTCCCGGAAGAAACTCGTGGCTCAGGCATCACATCAACTCTGCTCCAGCCATGCAGCCACTTGGGGAGTGAACCAGCAGATGAAAGATCTTTACATATCTCCTTCTCTCTGCAAATCTGTCTTTCCGATATAAAAATTAAGCAATCTGTCAAAGAAGAATTTTAAAAATAACATTAAGGGGGTGACACATTGGCTCAACTGGCTAATCCTCCACCTCCAAGCGTGGCGTCACATTTTGGCACCAGTTCATGTCTTGGCTGCTCCACTTCCCATCCAGCTTCCTGCCTATGGCTGGGGAAAGCAATGGAGAATGACCCAAAGCCTTTGGACCCCCACCCATGTGGGAGACCTGGAGGAGGCTCCTGGCTTCAGATTGCATGCAGCTTTGGGGAATGAACCTGCGGATGGAGGATCTTTCTGTCCATCTCTCCTCTCCACAAATCTGATCTGCCTTTCCATCAAAAATAAATTTTTTAAGAAGTAATAATAACATTTAAAAAAGAAAAAGGTGGCCAAAGAAAGCAGAAATGTAGAACAAAAACCAGATTGATCCTTTCAAAGCTGCTTCTCTTGTGAGGCGTGGAGAGGGAGACACCACTTAGAAAGTAATCAGTAGGTTCATGTCTGGTTGGTTTGCGTAAGGATTTGGCTATTATCTCTGAGATTCTTGTTTACTGCTTCTATTTACAAAATGGATTCTTTTACTACTTCTACTTTGAACATACATCAGGCACTTGGTTTCAGTTTGGTGATATGGACTTTAGCGCGGGTGACTCCATTTTCGTTTTGATCCGTGAGAGATAAGCAGGAACTTAGTCCATAGCAATGAGATCTTATAATTTTTATTTTAGGGCCCCCGAGGCCCGCACACGAGCCCGGCCAGTGGGACCCCAGCCCGACCCCAGCAGTCCGCACAAAATGTCGGCCCGGACTGCATTGCCGACACTGAAGGGGCGGGGCATGGAGAATCATACATCTGTGGGTGGATACACTGAGCCACACATCCAGCCTACCAAATCAAGTAGACAGAACATCCCCCGCTGTAGAAACTCTATTACATCAGCAACAGACCAACAGCCTCACATTGGAAATTACCGTTCACAGAAAACAATAGTGAAGGGAAATTTTGCCAAAGTGAAATTGGCAAGGCATGTTTTAACCGGTAGAGAGGTTGCTGTGGAAATAATAGACAAAGCTCAGCTAAATCCTACCAGTCTACAAAAGGCGCATTAGAAGAGAGCTGGATCAGATATGGACCTGCCAGGACTCCAAACTGGCACTCCTATGGGATGCTGGCATTGCAAACAGAAGCTCAGTATACTGAGCCACAACTCCAACCTCAAAACAGAATAGTATTAGACATTTTTAATAGGGTATATTTACTAGACTTGTTGTAATTCTAACATTAGCTCAAGTGTTTGTGATATAAAAACTTTCTTCTCACTTGAATCAATGCCAAATAGCTGTTTATTTTTATCTGTTTCTCTTTAGAGACCTGTATTTGTGCTTACCTTAGATCCCCTTTTAACTTGACAGCCAGGGTAACTGCTCATAACACTGATGATTTCTGCTCAATGACAATATGAAAGACTTTCTGGAGGTTTTGTGTGAATATAAAATAATAGTTTCATACTATAAATCTATAGGGAGATAGTTTCTTCCTAACACCTGTCTTTGAATGAACATGATATGTTTATATGAATGAAAAGCAACCTCCTGGAGCCACTGAATTGTCCAAAGATGTTGGTTTTTGTTGGGTGGGAATTTTTCCCACCCCTGTGCTAAGAACCCTTTTAAAATGCAGAGACTGCAAGGCTGTACCTGGTTGCTCTGTGCAAGTCCTCCTTGCTTTTCTACTTTTCCAGGAGAAAGCCTTGGTTTGCTCTTGTCAACTGAATGATTTTAAATGACATTTAGAACTTATTAAGGTCTCTTGTGCTAGGTGAGACACACAATCATATGACCCTCCTTCTGACTTTCACAAAGGGTTCCAAAGAAAGTCAAGAAGGCAAGTTGTGTCGTTGAGGCATGAGAACATGAAACTGAATGTTGCTTTCTTTATGAGAATAACTTTAAAAAAATGTACTTGCTGGTGCCAGGTAGCTTCTATTATAAATTCTACTGATTATCTGCCAAAGTGCTACTTTTCCAAACAGGCTTAATAAAGCATGATGCCATTTTAAAAAATTAATTTTTTATTTTAATTGTATAGTTATATATGCCTGCTCCAAAGACAAAAAGACTGCAATTATTAAACTCTAGTTACAAGATTTATTTTTTGTAGTAATATGAGAAAGCAATTTCGAAGCTACTTTCTGTATATTGCAGGATATAATGAATAAGGAAAATATATCGAGAACACTGAAGGGGGAGCTACAAATGAAAAGGGCTTAGGTTAGAACGGTTTTTAGTTGGAACTGGAGTCTGCGAGTATGGCCTCATCATTTTTGCTAGAAAATAATGTTTGTGTGTGTGCTGATATTTGTTTATATTCCTTCATCCACTGAAAGGACTTAGAAGAAAAAGATCCTTCACTAGCACTTGGTACCCCTAAATCTAAAATCTTAACTTTTTGAGATCTTACTTTTTGATTTGCTAGATGACTATTTTTTAATACATTTATCCATTTTTATTCAAAATACAAATTTACAGAGAGAAGGAGAAATAGAGAGGGAAGGTATTCCATATGCTGGTTCACTCTCCAAATTACTGCAATGGCCAGAACTGATCTGATCCAAGGTGGGAACCAGGAGCCTCTTCTGGGTCTCCCACACGGGTTGAGGATCCCAAGGCTTTGGGCCATCTTCCGCTGCTTTCCTCGACCATAAACAGGGGGCTGAACTGAAATGGAGCAGCTGGGACATGAATTGATGCCCTAAGATCTTACTTTCTAAATACCATTTGTTCTTTATATAATTGATCCCGAGGTTCTTATAGAAATGTGTTTCTAGTACTGGAGCAGTGAAGGTTATCTAGTGATAAGCCTAGAACATCTTATGCCATAAAACAGAAACCTGCCCCAGATGAAACTGTCAGTGGGCATAAGAAGCCTTTTGGAGGGATTCATTCTGGGCCAGATCTGGGGAGATATGAATGGTAAAATAAAAAATGAAAGGAAAAGAGTAGTTGTGGAAGGAAATAAGAATTGTTCGGGTCTGTACTGACAGAAATAAATGGAAGAGGAAAGAAAACTTTTTCTTAAAGATTATTTATTTTTATTGGAGAAGCTGTACAAAGATTTCAAGGCAATAAAAGACAAAGACTGAGTAATGTTTCCAGATATTAGGAAAATATCGGGACTACTAAATAAAAATATGTGATTCTGTATTCCACTAGGATCAGGACCAAAAAAAGAGGGCAAAAGCTACGTAAAGGGCATCATTGGGACACTTGGCTAGGTTGCAGTGTGTATTGTGGTTACACAATATTTTGTGTCCCTGTTTAAGTTTCTGATTTTTGATAAATATACTATGATTATATGAGAGAAATACGTAGTAAAATGTTTCTGGATGAAGAAATACATACACTATGATTTTATCATTTGTTGGAATTTGTCCTATGAGAACTAGAAATGCCCTAAGGTAAAAATAGTGAATTATTGTTGCTGAGAAACGTGGTAAATAATTGGAGATAACCTATGTCTGATAAGGTTTTCTTTCTTTCTTTTTTCAAATTATTTTATTTGATAATATTTACATAGTTAATTAGGACACAAAGGGTCAAAGACTATAGGAAAGTGGGTAAGACCATTGTTTCCACATTATTATTTTTTTTTTCTGTATCTGGGGTAAAGGGGAGATAAGGGGAAAAATCCCACCCAGCCTCCCATCCATCCCAGGTCCCCGGCATGGGGCATGCTCTTAGGATCCTGCTCAAGTTGTTTTGATAGTTTGAGTTCTGAGTTGCTGCCAGTCTTGCCATTCCAATCACGATGAAATCTCTGCAGATCTACTCGTTGACAGTTCACTTTATAGAGTCTCTGTCTGCCCAGGTGTTCACTGGCTGGGGTTGTTGATTGATTTGTTCTGTCCTCCATCCTCTGTCGTGGTACCAGGTGTCCTCTACAGGCTCCAATGGACTGCCATATCCTCCATGTGCACCTGGATATGCTGTCCACTGCTCCATCAAAGCCTCTGAGGAGGCTCAGCTCTGACACATGCACTCCATGGTCAGACCATGGAACCTGAACTTCTCTTCCTTGTTTGGGTTCTGAGATCAGCAGTTCGGTTGGAGGGATCCCCAAAGAAACTTCATCTGAGGTGATCCCAGACCTGATTCTTATGTGTGCATGCCAATACAGGGTCTGGCACAGTTCGTTGCTCCAAATCAGCTTATGCACATGCTGGTGTTTACAACTGCTGGGTCAGTTCTGTTTCCAGCCTGATTCTGCCCAGCACACACTCGGCTCTCACACAAACCAGCGGGAGCTGCATCCTAGTTGGAGCAACCCACAATAACCCTCACCAGGCCTGCCCCCTGCCCTGGTTCCCGTGCTTGCCAGTATGTACAGCAGACTAGTCCAGTCTGTTCCACACCCCATTCAGCCTGCAAAGATTTCAATGGGCACTGAAGCTTAGTTCAACCCAACCAGCCCCACAATATTTAGCCCACACACATGCTGGTGGGTGCTACTCTCTGTCTAGCCACCGCTGCCCCAGTCCTGATTTTCATGTTCTCCAGTGACAGTGGCAGCCCCAGTGGGAGATTGATAAAATTTCCTTAAGTAAATTTCAGTTTCATAGAGTGAGACGTATTTAATTTAAAATTGTGATGTTGTCATAGTGAAATCTAGTTGTGTTAGTCAAAGTGGTTTTGGTTTCAAGAAGTAAGGCTTGTCTCCAGTTTGTTTAAGTTAGTAAGAACAGAAAACAGCTGAGAAATGCCTAGATAGGGAGCAGGCTCTGGGGACCATGGCTTTGAAGTGCAGGAGCCTTCTCCTTTCTGAGACACTGCCATTAAGGTGACTATAAGACCTACACTTTTCAATTCCGTGTTTAAAGTCCTCGAAAAATCTCATTGTTCAGCTCTCCTGATACCAGAGGCCTGGAAGGGCTGGCTGTGCCACTTGGAGAGAAGGTTGGTGTGAATTAGGGAACCCCCTCGGTGGTGGGGCTTTGTAGGTTTTTTCTTTTCTTTTTTTTTTTTTTTAAAGCAGAATATAAATACTCTATACAGTGTGATCTGAGCTGTTTTTGAGTTTGGGTGTTGGGGTGAATAATTAAGGATTCTGCTTGGATATGTTAATTTTGAGATTCCTGTCACACACGCAGGGAGAGTGCTGGATTCTTTTGTGACCAAAGTGGAAAACAAGTAACATCTGCCTTTATATTTTTCTAGACTAGAATCAGCTCTTGTGTTCTTGTGGCATGGAACAGAGAAGTCTCAACTCTGTTTTCTTTCAGTTCAGTGAATTCCAGGCTTTTCCTCTGGGCAGGTGCACAGCACTCTGTCTGTCTAGGGGCGGGGCCAGTGCCTGGCACCATGCCCATTAGACCTCGCCCGCCCATCAGCCAGCCCCTGAAAAGGGATGTTACGTAGTGACAGAGCTGTCTGGACTTCCTTTTCCTTCTCTCAGAAATTACCCTTGACCTCTTTTGTTTCTACTTTTGATTTTCAGTTTCATTTGTTGTAAATAACTTTTAAACATCACTAAACACTCCTTTTCCCTTTTTTTATGAGTCAAGGCAGTGACGGTTCAGCCTTCAAGTTAGAGCCATGAGCTAACAAATGCAAATGTTTGATTTTTCAGATATTCACACAGAAGCAGTTCAAGCTGCCCTGGCAAAGCATAAAGAACAGAAAATGGCTTTGCCCATGCCGACCAAAAGGCGGTCCACGTTCGTGCAGTCTCCTGCGGATGCGTGCACTCCTCCGGGTACGTTTCTCACCTTGTTCTTCCTGAAGTCAGTTCTGGCTTTGGTTTCCCAGGTCAGGGCCAGACTCTTCATCCTCAGGGGCCTGTAAGGGCACACTGCGCATGGACAGGGTTGTCCTTTTCCACTCGCAGTCCACTCAGGAAGGAGCTACGTGGCATCCGTCTGCATGTGCAGCACTCTTGTAAATACAGGATGAGAAGGATCAAAACAGATGCCACTGGGACACAGCAAAGTGCTGCCCTGACCCCTGGTCATTTGTGTAATTCATTTATACACATAAGCAGATGTTGCATCCATGCAGCAGTCACGGGCAGGTGGTCTTGGGACAGAATTTGTGTGTCATCAAAGATTATGAGAGAACAATGACACAACAGTTGTACGAGACCAGAAAAACGTAAGTAATGTCAGTGTGCAGTTTATGTCTGTGTTGGTATGTTTTGTGCTGGGGTGGCCATCTTAGTGGGAGGGAGCCAGATGTCTTCATCTGATCCCCACTCACCAGGCCTGGGGTCCTTGTTCCCCTGAAGTAAACCTGGGCCTATATAACCCGGCGTCATGTGTGGGGAACAGCTTGAACAATCTTAACCTTTCTTATCTGTTCAGGCCCTTTCCGAAGGTTTTTTAAAAACATGAAAAAAAGAGAGACTAAATTCCCGACAAGGCCTGATATTAGACCTCTTAGCCTAACCGTAGTATGGAAACTGTTTCCGAACCTCAGTGACATACCCGTCTCCCTATTGTCATGTTACTGCTAATGAATTCTTTGGGGGAACACTTCCTGGTTATGTCACAACCTAAGCCACTTCCTTGTGTTTTTAGGGAGATTCCTAAGGACGCAGGTTTGTGGTTAACTGCTACTCCCAGCTGTCCCGTTGTTGAGCTCGTCACTGATTCTGTTCCCTGACCCTGCCTTGTGAGAACAGCTCTGCCCTAGGTTCGGGCTCGGTTCTCAGCTTTGGGCTGTGCTGCGGGCTCATTAACTCTGTGTGCTCTTTCTTCTTCCCATCTGTGGTGTCAATGTGTTTGAAAGAGAAATAGCTCTGTGGCTTCAAGTGTTTCTCAAAATGTAACACAGGATGCTTTTAGCAGGCCGTCACAGTAAGACACTCTGTGCCCGCAATGTGCATGCTTCAGACCCACTCGCTGAGAGTCCTGGATGGCTTCCCCTCCACATCAATACCACACAAGTCAGAGCCGCGCGACAAAGGGGGCTCTCAGTGTCCTGGCGATTCCTTCTTGGCAGATTCTGCTGCAGCATGGCTGAGGGTTCACTGGCAGTGAATGGCAAAGGCTAGGGAGCAGTGTGATGGGAAGCACTTTGAAACAATCCTCTCCAGAGTAAAGAGGCTGCCCTCGTGGCTCTGGGGTGAATGTGAGACTTGCTCAGAAAGAGTGGAGACCTTCTCTATCTGCTTTAACAAAACTCATGGCCTGCGGGGAATTTCCCTACGCCCTGGAACAGATCACAGCTGTTCCTGGCTGAATGGGACCTCAGTCCTCGGGAGTGATTACAGGCTTCTGTGTTTCTAAGTGCTGTGTCCTCACTCCGCAGCCTTGGGGATGCATCCTGAGGTGAACACACCTTGTGTCTGCAGTAAGCAGCTACAGAGAGCCCCAGGAAAAGCCTCCCACCCGGCTTACCTCCGGTTTTGCACATCTCTGAATAAAATTCAGGAGAGCTTAATGTGCTGTTAGGGACATCTGTGGTCAAGTAACGAAGAAATTCTCTCCCAGCAGAAGGCAACATTGAGCACGCCCTTCATCCTGATCTCTCACATAGCCCTCGTGTGAAATACATCCTGATGCTCCCATTCAACAACTACCCACATGGCTAGGGCAAGCACTTTGCTGTAGTGAAAAGGTGTGGGAGTAACTATGTGTAAGCTGTTAGCACCTTTCACTTTAGCGGGTGGAATTTGCTATTCAGATTCTGTTCTCACTGAGCTTTTCAGAGCTGTCAGTTAAGAGAAGGCTGTCTCTGATTCCTACTGCAGTTTAGTCTTGTGCCCTCATCTCCCAGGACCGGCTTCAGCCTTCCCAGGGAGGCCAGGGGTGTCTGATGTTCCTGTCTGCTCTTGCAGCCCTGGACACACTGAAGTTAGGAAGAGTGCTGAGACTACATTCAAGAGATACAGAGGAGGCGAGATTTTGCCATTGATTATTGCTGGTTATTGGTCGCCTTTTTTCCCCCCTTAGTTCCTGGACAGCTGTAGAAAGGATTCGAAATGATGTGCCGTTCTTGCAGAGAAAAACTAACCAGATATTTCACGACATTGCGCTTGTCTCCCTCTGTGCGCTGTCTGTACAAAGCACATGTCAGGCCCAGGCCCTCACTTCACACTTGAATAACTCCTGCAGCACACTGGCCAGTCGGCTTGAGAGGCAAATTACTGTACTGCTGAAACGAAGGAAGTAGAGAGCTGATTGTGGAGAATTCAGTAAGGGCGTTAAGGGATGAAACGTGGCGTAAGTCTTAGCTGTCTTAGCTTCATCCGTAATAATAGTATGCAGTCTGGAAAATATGGTAAATACTTGGCATGGGAAATGACTTGTCTTTTTGTTCATAAATCACTCTAAAGTAATAAGATGTCCGTGTACCTACAGTTTGCTTTATTGATAGGGGTGCTAAGTTCTAACCTGAAAGTTTAACTTCTGTCTGAATTTGTAGCTTCCCTAAGCTGGCAGTGACCTGTGGGTCCCTCAGTGTCCGGCCTGTCAGAGCCCTTTTCAGTCTGTTTGAGCTGTTGCCATCTAGTTCCCTATGGCTGAACTCATCTACTAATGTCATGAGGCAGTTACCTCAGCTCTTGCTTTAGAGGGGTTCTTTGTGTGGCACTATTACTCATTCATATGGAAAAACACAACGCAAAAACTACAGCGTGTATTTTTCTCCCTCCAAGCTTTTTCTGCACCCTGTAGATTCAGCCTTTACTGCGTTTTGAAGGGGACAAGGGCGACCAAACAGACTACTCAATGACCCCACAGCACAGAAGACATTTCAACCATCTTTCACAGAATGAATTACAAGTCTGACTTTCCCAGGGCCCTGCTTATAATCCGTAGGACCAAGGAGAGTGTACCTGTCTCTTCCTTCTCTATAGAAATGACACCTGTGAGCAGTGCAGGCTGTCGTGCAGCGTAGTGCTTAACACACTGCAGCAGGGCTGGACAGAGCGGTGGTGCCTCAGAGCACCCAGAGACTTCCACAACCTCACCCACTGCTGGAAGTGCTCTTTTATCTTTGAAGAAAGGCAGATTTCATCAGAGATGATGAAACTGCTAGCTTCATGGTAACCAAGTGATTCGCCCCAGGTCGAATAGTGATTGGGGTCAGATTCAGTCTGCTTGGCTTGTGTGGACTACTCAAGTGTCAGTGTTGAGGAAATCATGCATGCATGGTGCTTACTTACTTATGGTGGTACTTAAGAAATGTCATGGGAATTTAAATTAAAGATAAGTTAGTTTATTTTGGCTTAAAATGTTATTTGAAATCATACATGCGAGAGGTCTTTAAGATGTTTATGAAAAATGTATACTATAAAGAAAATATTCATGGTTTCTAACATTTTATTCACTCATGGTAATCATCCCTCTTCTCAAGTTGTGTGACTGGTATAATATTTTCTTTCCCCCACCAATTTTTGGTCAATTTCTTTTTCTTTTTTTTCCCCCCTTCATGTTTATAGCAAGGAATTAGCCATTTAAGTTGTTCTTGTGGGCGGTTCCAGATGTTGTTGCAAATCAAAAAGGAATAAAACTCCCCCCTTTTTAACCATCTTCTGGTGGTGGGGGAATGGCTTCTGGCGAATCTTGGCTGCTGTGTGGTCTCCGTCTGTCGTGGCTTGGCCGCGGTTTCCCACTGTAGTTAGAAGAAAGACTTCCTCCGCATGTCTCCCCGGGCCCTTCGCAACGCATTGCTTCCTGCTTTTCCTCACTGGCCACTTTGCATCCTGTGCTTCAGCCGCTACGGTTCTTTACATTTTTGTGTACCTTCTTTTCTGCCCCCTCTACCTCCTACTAGTGTCGCCCAACCTCTGAGCCCCCTCAGAACCAGCACCCACTTCCTCGGTGCAGGGGCCGGGGGCTGGGTGGGCTCAGTTGTTGGGGTAGACTCCCAAGAACTCTAACAGTAGAAACTTTATTCTGCCTTGGCACCTGATTCCTACCAGGCTGTGTTTACTGAACGCACAGACAGACAGATTTCATATGAACAGTTTTGTCCCCAAGTCGCATAGCTGCGGAGTGGAGGACCCAGAGTTCTCACGGAAGGCTAACCCTGCTTTTGTCTGCTGCTCTGAGATTGTAAGGACCTTGATTGCAGGCCTTTAAACACCGTGAGGAAGACAGGCAGGCAGATTCAGTAATTGAATTGAAACAATACACATAATTACCTAATTAATCTAATACAGAAACATAATGAAGCCAGTTTTCTATAAATCTAATCATGAAAAGACTGGTTTTACTATCTTTCGAGAATTGGGTTATTCTGATTTTCAGCTTGCACAAATTAAAATGAATGATGTAGTCTTGATGGGAGCCTGCAGATCTAATGAAGTTCATGAGAGTCTGCGATGTGTTAACCTGAAAATAGTTTATTCTTAAGTTCAGATTCACCTGTTCCCATGGGCCCCATTCTCCCCCTGCCCTCCTCATATCCTCTTTTTGTAGCACATTTGCAAAGCTAGAAATCTTTGTTTCCCACAGCACAACTGAAATGTTAGAATATCTTCTGGAAATCGTGTAGAAAATTTTCCTTACCTACAGGATCACAGATATTGTGACTTGTCTTTGTGTTTTCATTTTGCAATATGGATCTTTTTAGCCTTTGAAGAATCTTCTTGCCTTACCCTTTGGGGTCTGGTCACTAGTTTTCTCTGCAGGTTCCTTTTAAACCTTTTGCCTCCTCAAAGTTGTTGTTCCGTTTATGTAGAAGTCCTTGGAATCCCTGCCCAAGGTTGGTTACCCTTTGTGAAGCCCTTTGCGTAGCCCATTTTGTAGCATCTGCTGTGGCCTTGTGTATCAGCTGTACTAGCCCATAAGGCTTTTTTTTTTTTTTTTTAGCTCATTCACTGTCATGTGCTCCTGCATGTTAGGATCCCTGGAACATACATGCTGTGGTTATGTAGTCTGTTTAAAACACTCCGTCAGTCTTGTAACTAAAATCTCCTTTGAAGCGTGATCATAAGTTGGAGGTAGTGCAGATCAAGCAGCAATATCATACTAATGATTGTGATTTTTCGGTCTGTCTCTAGACCTGTCCCAAGTTGACTATTGGGTCATGTTCCTACTGTGAGGTGCTAAAACTTTAAAACAAAGCACTACTTGAACCAAAAATTTGACTTGAGTTAGGGGATCAGCACAGGATACTCAGTTTCTAAAACTTTGGATGAATTCGTCCAATCCACAGGTCATAAATTGTAGCCCCCAAACTGCTTTGTGAAAAGCTGTTCTATGTCCAATCGCCCCTTAGGTTGTACACCGTATATAGCTTAGAGCTCTCGACTAAATTCCTGACTTCTTTTTCCCTCAGCCTTTGCCTCCCTAATTTGGTTGGACTCTTTTCCCTTTCCCCACATGCTTTTCTAATTTAAGCACTGCTTTTCCAAAGTCAGAGCCAGGCTAAATGCAGACAGCAGCAGTGAAGCCCTCACAGCTGTTCTCCAGCTGAGAATTAAGGCAGGCAGCGCAGGTGCCAGGTGCTCCGCTGGCGGGTTGGGAACGCTTACCTGTTGCACGGGACCAGCTGCTTCTCCATAGACCACGAAGGCCTCAAAGCTAAAGGCCGTTCCCTGTCCCGTTTCCATCTCCAATGCCCTGCTCACTGTTTGACACATATGCTTCAGCGAGAATGACTTCTGTGTATCTCCCTGTCAGCGTCCTTCCCTTTAGAGCGGAGTCTAGTATGCACTGGTCAGAGTCAGCGAAGCAGCCTGACACAGGTTCTGTTGGGAGATTGAGGGGGATATGTAAGAGCATCAGTATTTTGGGGGAAAAAAAGTAGCTAAACTAGATCTTAGGTTTTAATTAAGTGCGGGACCAAAACAACAGAGAAGTGTGAAGGTTAAAGCATGCTTTAAAAGATGGCGTGAAGTTACTTGAGGAGGCAGGCTATTTTGTTTTTGCAGACTTCGGTTAATATAACTTTCCTTGAAATTTTTGAGAAACTTCATGTGTTAATCTACCTTAAGAGTGCGAATGTTTTGCTGGTGTCCGAATCAAATGTCTTGTCAGTGAGCCGGAACTGAGAAGTCTCTGTTTTAGGCAGGATGGAGAACTTGTTTTTTTCTAATTCCACACAGACACGTCTTCGGCCTCTGAGGATGAGGGCTCGCTGAGACGCCAAGCCGCGCTCTCTGCTGCCTTGCAACAGAGCTTACAGAATGCCGAGTCCTGGATCAACCGCTCCATTCAGGGATCGTCCACGTCTTCTTCCGCATCTTCTACGCTGTCCCATGGAGAGGTCAAAGGAACCACTGGGTCTCTAGCTGATGTATTTGCCAATACCCGAATAGGTAGGACCTGTGTCTAACCGAGAAGCCCAAACTGTGTTCCATTCGGCTACAGTGTCCAGGAAACAACTTAGGATTTGTAAAAGGCTTTCTGATACGACTGAAAAATTATCACCAGAGGGAACATGACAGTCAGTGAAGCAAAGAAGGAACACCAGCAATACATTTGCTGTGGGAATACCGGGCACCGCCTGCATTAGTGGTGCACAGTGTTGTCCACCTGAAGCCATAGCTATTTCCAGAAGCAATGTTCAAGCTGCAAGATATAATACCAGTCTTGACGTGGGCCTTTGCCCACCAAAGATTATATTGTATGTTTGCGAGTTTTTGAATGTGTGACATCTTAGATTGTCCCAGGATTGTTTTCCACATCCTGTCACGCACAAAAAAGTTTCAGTGCCGCCAAATTCTACACTAAGCCAACATCAATAAGGCTCTTTTGTCTTAGCATAAAGACTGGATTTATTTCCCTTGTTGCTGAGATGTTGCTACAACTGGAGTGTGCAGCCTGAGAGTACTGGTGCCTGTGAGCTGCTGCTGCTGCTGCTGCTCTGGCAGTGTAGCTTCTGCTTGGCTCTGCTCTGTGTTTTAGTGTGTATGTGTATGTGTTCACTTTATTAAAGAGTTGTGACATCTGTAGGTTAAACCTCAGATGCTTTTGTTTCATTATTACAAGTTGCCTTAAGTATCGTAGAGCGGTGTTGTCTCTGTGTTGTATACCTTGCCTTTTTCCTCAGTAGTCAGTTGCATTTTGCTGTCTTAATTTTGATCTCATTAACGTTTCTCTATCACTTTTTGCATTTTTGCATTTCTTTCTTTTATTATTATTAATTACATTGGATTATGTGACACAGTTTTATAGGTACTGGGATCCCCCCACCCCTCCCGTAACTCTCCCCCCATGGTGCATTTCTCCACCTTGTTGCATAACCACAGTTCAAGTTCAGTTGAGATTCCTTCATTGCAAGTATATACTAAGCCTAGAGTCCAGCATCTTATTGTCCAGATAAGTTCAACGGCTTCTTGGGGAGACCATCTCTGGTCTGAAGGTACAGCCGGCAGAGTATCATCCTGATCAATTAAAAGCCCCACCATAACATCAGCAACAATTTATAACATTATGGAATTAATTGACCTAGTATTAAGTAACCAATACGTTTAAAAAATTGCATTTATTTCTTAATTAATTTCTGCAAGGAAAAACTTCAAATCTGTGTTAGGATGGAATTTTTACAGAAAGTAAGCCATCTTAAGGGGTATCTGCCCTGCACTAAAAAGCCAGATGCCGGGCCCAGCACAGTAGCCTAATGGCCTAAAGTCCTTGCCTTGCAAATGCTGGGATCCCATATGGGCACCAGTTTTAATCCCGGCGCCCCACTTCCCATCCAGCTCTGTGCTTGTAGCCTAGGAAAGCAGTCAAGGACAGCTCAAAGCCTTGGGACCCTGCACTCACATGGGAGACCCAGAAGAGGCTCCTGACTCCTTGCTTCGGATTGGCTCAGCTCAGGCCGTTGTGGCGGCTTAGGGAGTGAATGATCGGATGGAAGATCTTCCTCTCTGTCTCCCCTTCTCTCTGTATATGTGACTTTCCAATGAATATAATAAAAAATAAAATATTAAAAAACAACAAGGCATATGCCATCAGCCAATGACTTGTCATCCATGCTTAGCTCTGCCCTGTCCATTGAACCTCCTGATGCACCTGAGGGCAGCTGTGCCCTTTCACCCCCTTCTCTTGAGGAGAGTCTGCAGAAGAGCCATGATCGGTGGCATTTTATTCCCTCTTTTGTCTACAAGGGGAAGATTTCATTAGCCCAGATAACTTAACATGCTTTATTATTTATTCATTAATTTTGTTGACAGAGTTGCACCCGGCCTCCTGTTTTTCACGCAGTCACAGGTACCAGGCTGTCATAAAGCTGATGGACACAGCTGCCTTCTTAACGAGGACATGCTTGGTGGCGTTGTAACTGTGTTCATGCCGCTCTGCTCCGATTCGCGCTGGGCCACAGTGTGGCTGCTCAGGTTTAGTTAGCGGTGCCTCTATTTTTAGGCTCCTAAGTATCTTCCAACTGTTTGCTACCGTAAAAATGAATGGAGTTGGTTAAACACACAACTGCGTGTTTGTCTAATTATCTCTGAAGGACAGTTTCTTATAAAGTAAAAGTGAACTTCATCTATTTGGTCTTCACCTGGTAGACCTGGTGATCTGAGCCACTCCAAGACATTATTATGATTCGGGAGAAGGAGATAAACCATAATCATGAAGAAATGATCAAGAATCTAGGATAACAGAACCCAATTATGATCTTACTTGCCTTGAGTCTGTGTTGAAATTACAAGCCTTCAAAAAAAAAAAAAGAAAGAAAAAGAACTTATAAGCATTCTAATGACTGTTTTGTAGCGTTAAGATTTGTGTGTAAAAACTACTTTTTGTTTTTATTGGAAAATTAAATATATAGAGGGAAGAAGAGACAGAAAAGAAGATCTTCTGTCTTCTGATTCACTCCCAAAGTGGCCGCCACGGCTGGAGCTGTGCCAATCCAAAGCCAGGAGCAAGGAGCCTCTCCTGAATCTCCCAAACAGATGCAGGGTCCCAAGGCTTTGGGCCATCCTCGACTGCTTTCCCAGACCACAAGCAGGGAGCTGGATGGGAAGTGGGGCTGCTGGGATTAGAGCTGGTGCTCATGTGAGATCCCAGCACGTGCAAGACAAGGACTTTGGCCACTAGGCTACCACGCAGGGCCCAAAAATACTGTTTTTCAGTATGGTTTGATGTCAGGCTATGCAAGTTCCAAAAATAATCTTGGGGACTCGACGCAATGGGATCCCACTTCAGTGCTGGTTTTTGTTCCAGAGGCTCCACTTCCCATTCAGCTCCCCGCTTGGGATCTGGGAAAGCAGTAGAGGACAGCCCAAAGCCTTGGGACCCTGCACCCATGTGGGAGACCCAAGGAAATGCTGTATCCCAGCTTCCGATCAGCTCAGCTCTGGATGTTGCAGTCACTTGGAGTGTGCTTGGAGAGTGAACCAGCAGATAGAAGATCTGTCTCTCTGTATCTCCTTCTATCTATTTATCTGTCTTTCCAATAAAAATGAGTCTTAAAAAAATAATAATAGTTGCTGAATGCTGTTATGCCCTGGCTTAGCCACCTATTCTCCCATTGATCTTAGCAGTAGAATTTGATTTATTAAAATGTTGTTTTACAAGAGCTAATGCCCCATTTATGTTTTCTTGTATATTAAAAAGTGAAAGCCACACAAAGATTAAAAGGCTGTTGTTTTTGCTGTTGCTGTAACATAAATCTAAATTGTTCTCTTTTCTTAGAGAATTTCTCTGCTCCCCCTGATGTCACAACAACTACCTCTTCCTCCTCCTCCTCATCCTCCACACGCCCAGCAAATATCGACCTGCCGCCCTCGGGGATAGTTAAAGGCATGCACAAAGGAGCCAGCCGGTCCAGCCTGATGGACACCGCCGATGGTAGGGCCTTCCTGACGGCGGCTCAGGGCGTGGACGATGCATGATGGGAGCAGCCCGACTGACCGGCTGGGGAAGCAGCTGGGGTCACCTTGCCATGGGCCCACTGGGCCTTCCTGGGGGTCCTCGAAAGACACCTGCACCCAAAAGCCAGGTGGTCCACCCCGAAGAAGGGTGGACCTAAGGGGGAGATCGGGTGACTTCTTCACAGTCATGTCCCGTTTGTGCCGTGTTGTCAGGAAGTTTGTCAGCATGCTCATTTGCACCTGCTTGGCTCAGGCGAAGTACAGAGAGACTGTGCGCAAAGCGCATCGTTCGGAAGGAAAGTTCTGAGGACACCGAGGCTCTGAAGTGTTCTTGGAGTCAATGAATTTTCACTTACCCTTTTTGTCTTTGAGGTGTTCCTGTCAATAGCCGGGTATCTACAAAAATCCAGCAGCTTCTTAATACTCTGAAACGACCCAAAAGACCTCCCTTAAAGGAATTTTTTGTGGATGATTCTGAAGAAATCGTGGAAGGTAACAGTAAAAATACTAAATCCCACATGAACTAATCAAATACTTCTCTTTGTTAAAAGATTTATTTTATCTTTATTGCAAAGTCATATATACAGAGAAGAGGAGAGACAGAAGGACTTCCATGCACTGATTCACTCCCCAAGTGGCTACAATAGTTGGAACTGTGCCAATCCAAAGCCAGGAGCCAGGAACTTCTTCCGGGTCTCCCACACAGGTGCAGGGTCCCAAAGCTTTGGGCCGTCCTCGACTGCTTTCCCAGCCCACAAGCAGGGAGCTGGATAAGAATCAGGGCTTCTGGGATTAGAACCTGTGCTCGCCTAGAATCTTGCTGCGTGCAAGGCAAGGACTTTAGCCACTAGGCTACTGCACTGGGCCTACCTGATCACCTGATTGCTTTAAACTTTTTGTTTTTTTTTTTTTTGTACTTTTTATTAGAAATAGATGTTGGGCCTAGTGGCTAAAGTCCTTGCTTTCAATGCACCGGAATCTCATATGGGCGCTGGTTCTAATTCCGTCAGTCTCGCTTCCCATCCAGCTCCCTGCTGTGGCTTCGGAAAGCAGTCAGGAACAGCCCAAAACCTTAGGACTGTACACCCACGTGGGAGACCCAGAAGACGTTCCTGGCTCCTGGCTTCAGATTGTCTCAGCTTTGTGGTCCTTTGGGACATGAACCAGTGGATGGAAGATCTTTCTCTCTGTATCTTCTTCTCTGTATCTGCCTTTCCAATAAAAATAAATAAATAAATAAAATCTTTTTAGAAGTTTTATTGCTATGGGGCCCAGAGCAATGGCTCAATGACTAAATCTTTACCTTGCAAGTGAAGGAATTCCCATATGGACATCAGTTGATATTCCGTCTGCTCCACTACCCATTCAACTCTCTGCTTGTGACCCTGCACCCGTGTGGGAGACTCAGAAGAAGCTCCTGGCTCCTGGCTTTAGATTGGCTCAGCTACTGCTGTTGTGGCCATTTGCAGAGTGAGCCAGCAGATGAAAGATCTTTCTGTTTGTCCTTCTCTCCATAATTCTAATCTGCCTTTCCAATAAAAGTCAATAAATCTAAAAGAAAAAATTATTGATGTGGAAGATAAGTAAGGAACAGGGAGAAATCGAAACCTGGTATCCATGGTAACCACTCCCAATACTCATGCTGGTCCAGGCTGAAGCTAATGACCAGAAGTCCTTGAGTTTTAAAGTGTAGGAAAGAATGTGGAATACTACCCACCTCTGATTCCTGCAATTATGTTAATAATCTAGCTGTTTGGTGGGGGGAAGTTTTCCTCAAAAAGTATTAACTGTAATGTACTGTGGGAGGTGTGTCCTGGGAAGGGTGGATGGAAGTGAGCCAGGATGCAGAGTGATTGGCTGTGCAAAGTGTGTGTGGTGCGTGGCCCCTGTCCGTCGGAGTGGAGTAGCGACCCTGTCGTGTGGCTGCTGTTACTCCTCTTTTACAGATGAGGAGAGCAAGGTTCAGGCAGATTAGCTTTCCTGAGATCACACTACTAGGAAGTGAATGTAAATAAGTGTACTGCAAATGACAGCATTGCTAAAATCAGTCTGTCCACTATACCCTTCTGCGCGCTCCGTGCTTGTCTTCATCAGCATCAGGACTTGCCGTGTTCGGCGTGTTGAGCGTGACCTCACAGTCAAGTGGAAAATTTAACGAGGCCAAGTTTATGAATTACCTTTTCTAACCTTTCTTTCCCTCAAAGTGTGCTTAAGCCAGAAAGATGTGAAGAGTAAAATTAGATATATTTGAAATTGGAGACATAACCTGAGTTCTGTGTTGCTGGCTGGTCTTTGTTCCTGTCTCATCTTATCTCGTGTTTGTTTGTTTTTTTTTTTTTTTTTTTTTTTTTTTTTTGCTTAGTACCTCAGCCGGATCCCAACCAGCCCAAGCCCGAGGGGCGGCAGATGACGCCTGTGAAGGGGGAGCCCCTGGGAGTCATCTGCAACTGGCCGCCTGCGCTGGAGTCTGCCCTGCAGCGCTGGGGCACCACACAGGCCAAGTGCTCCTGCCTCACTGCACTGGACGTGACAGGCAAGCCGGTGTACACGCTCACCTACGGTGAGTCTGCAGCGTCCACGCCCTGCCCCTCCCCGCAGGTTCTGCACCTTGTCACAGGAGCATCTTGATTCTCTCGCAGGATCCCACATTCTAGTAAAGCTAATGCCAAGCGCTTTCATTTGCCAAAGTGACATTTGCAAGTCAGCTAATACTAGAAAGGGCAAAACTGAGAAACTGTTTAGATCCATTAGTATTTTAACATTAGAAAGGAATTTTAGAAAACCATTATCAGTATCTATGGTGAAAATCAGACTTTTATTAACAAATTGAAACCTTTTTATTTTATTGTATTTGGAGAGATGGTGAGAAAGTAGACAATTTTGAGAGAGGAAAAAATGCTCTCGATCTAGTAGTACAGTCCCCAAATGCCTAGTGGGACAGGACTGAAGCCAGGAACTAGAAAATCAGTCCATGTTTCCTGCAAGGGAAGCCATTCGTTTGAGCCATCCCTCCTCCCGTATTGGCTGCTGTGCCTGTGAGCTAGCTCCCCAGTAAGGTGCCCGGGAAGGCAGCAGGTGGCCCCGGTGCTGGGTTGCTTGCCATCCCCACGGTATACTCCATTGGAGTTCCTGGCTTTGGCTCTGACCTGGCACAACCCTGGCTGCAGTCGTTTTGGTTGTAAAACAGACAGGAACTCGCTGCACAGTCCCTTTCTCTCCCTCTCTCTCTCTGTGTTTGTGTCCGTCTTTGCATGTGTATCGTTCTGCCTTTCCAATAAGTAAGTAAATCTTCAATGGGATCAGTTCAGTTCAAATTATTTCTAAGTATTCAGATTTCTTTAGAAAACAACTTGAAATGTGCAAGCTAGAACAAACATCTGGTGATGGTTTGTTTTGGTTGCAAGACAGAACTGACTTTTGCAAACTAGAATGTCCATAAAGCCTGTGGTGGTGGGGGACTGCTCATCGGATGGAGCATTGGAAAGTGGCCATTGTCTTTAATTTGCTGGTGAACTGAATGCTTTCTTGCTGAGATAAGCATACATTTTTTATGCGACTTCTTTTTTCCAGGAAAGTTGTGGAGCAGAAGTCTAAAGTTGGCCTATACTCTGCTTAATAAACTGGGCACCAAAAATGAACCTGTGTTAAAGCCTGGAGACCGGGTAATTATATCTACATTCTGGAGTTTAGTGTACAGCAGGAAATTCATGTGACCATTTTTTTAACTGTATAAATGTTGGTTTTGATAATTTTTACATACTTGATTAGGATGTAAAGGGTCAAGGGCTAGAGAATAGTGGTGAGACGATTGTTTTCACATTGTCTTTTTTCCTTCCTATATCAGGGGAAGGGGAGAGATAAGGGAAGAAAGCACACCCAGCCTCCCAGCCATCCCAGGCCCCCGGCGTAGGGCATGCTCCGAGGGGCCTACTCAAAGGGTTTTGATAGTTCAGCACTTCTCTGTTGCTGCCAATCGTGCCACTCCAATCATGATGAAATCTCTCCAGGATCCACTGGTTGACATAGTCCACCTTAGAGTCTCCGTTCGCCCAAATTTTCACTGCCAACACTTGGCTGGGGTAGTTGATTGATTTGTTTGGTTCTCCATCCTCTGTCGTGGTACCAGGTGTCCCCTACAGGCTCCGGTGTACTGCCATATCCTCCATGTTCACCTGGATATTCAGCCCACTGCTCCATCAAAGCCTCTGAGGCAGCCCAGCTCTGACAGATGCACTCCATGGTCAGACCATGGAACCTGCAATTCTCTCCATGGTTGGAATTCTGAGTCTAGTAGTTCAGTAGGGGAATCCCCAAAGAAACTTCATCTGAGGTGACCCCAGACCTGATTCTTGTGTGTGCATGCCAGTACAGGGTCTGGCACAGTTCGTTGCTCCAAATCGGCCTTTGTGCACACTGTTGCAGTTGCTGGGTCAGTTCTATCTTTAACCCTGTCTTCTACTCAAACCAATGGATGTTGCAGTCCAGCCTGATCCTGCCCAGCACACACTCAGCCCTCATGCATACCAGTGGGAGTTGTAGCCTAGTTGGAGCGACCCTCAATAACCCGCACTGGGCCTGCCCCCTACTCTTGTTCCCATGCTTGCCATGTACAGCAGACTGATCCAGTCTGTCCCATATCCCATTCAGCTCTCATACATGTCAGTAGGCGTTGAAGCTTAGTTCACCCCAACCTGCCCTCCTATCCAGCCCCTGGATGTGCCAGCAGATGCCACTCTCTGTCTAGCCATGCCTGTCCCAGTCCTGGTTCTCAGGCTCATCAGTGGGAGTGGCAGCCCAAGAGGGAGATGCCCACTGTTTCCCTACTAGGCCCATTCCCATTCCCAGACCTTGCACTCTCCAGATGATTCTGCAATTTAGCTCGACAGAATTTAGCCCCCAGTGCAAGCATCTGCCAGTTGATGCTGCGCCAAAGCCCAAGTAACCCTCACCCTATCTGGCTTATTCACTTACCAGTAGGTACAGTCCGCCCATCCTGACCTGTCTTCAATCCAGCCTAGATGCAGGCCAACAGGAATTGTAGCCCTCCCTGGCCTGGTCTGCCTCCAGTCCCTACTCTCACGCTCACCAGTGAGAATAGTGGCCCAGCAGGGGAGTTCTCTGCAGCCCTCTCATCCCTGGTTTTCATGTATGCTGGCTGGGTGCTGCATCCCAGTCTGGCATGGCCAGCCTCAGTTTGGCATTTGCCCGTGGGTGCTGTAGCCTGACCGGGTCCAGCCCACCCCCAGTTTCAACTCATGCTGGTGGGGGTTAAAGCCCAGCCCCCAGTCCTGGCCCTAATGTGATCTGGCTGGTATTGCAGCCCTAACTGGCATGACCCACAGTCCATTCTGGTGCTCAAATTTGCCATCAGGTGATATGAATTGGCCCAGCCTGGCTCGTCCCAGACCTGTGCCAAATGTATGCTGGTGGGTACCATTACTTCGCCTGGTCTGGGCTCCTCCCTTTCTTGGTTCTTATGCTTACTTGCAGGGACTGTATCCTGACCAAGGAGTTCCCCATGCTCCCCCATCAGAACCTCTCCGAATGCCAGATCTCCCGCTCATTGATGGATCCATGGGCCAGCCCTACTTAGTCCACCTCCTGTCCTAGCAGGAACAGTAGCCTTTCCTGACTGTCCCTCACCCATTCCAGTTCTCACTGTAGGATGCTACAACTGAGCCAAGCCTAGTCCACGCCCAGACACAGCTCACTCATGGCTCAGCAGGAACAGAGAGCAAGCCTAGCCCATCCTACACCCACCACGGTTCTCAAGATCACCAGTCTAGCCCAGTCTTGCACAGCCCAGACCCAGTCCGCATCCTGCCAAGGGAGACGGCAACCTTGTACAGACCAGGTAGCAGCCACCAATTTGGCCCCTGTGTGCACCAGTGGGAACCATAACCCAACCAGGGCGTCCCCTTAGTTACCCAACCAGGCCTGATCTCAGCCACATATCTTACGCATGCCAGTGGTTGCTCTGACCCAGCTTGGCATAGTCCCTCTCCTGTCTTGGCTTTTGCCTTCAAATGCTGCAGCCTGGCTGGCCCACCTGGCCCCCAGTCCTAACTCACTGGCAGGTGCTGCAACCTGACCCTGCTCAGTCAGCTCCCATCCCTGGCTCATGCAAACCTAGGTGTGTCAGCCTACCCCAGCATGACCTGCATTCCAACCTGGTTACTGCACTCACCAATGTGAATTTGCTCTGCCCCCTCCAAAAGCAACTCACACACTTGCCAAGGGATGGAGGTACCCTGCCTCACCTGCCCAACACCCAGCCCTGGACCATGTGCTTACCAGCGGGAGCTATGACCCACTAGGGCAGTTTCCCAGGTTACCCAACTAGGGCCACTCCCAGACCCAGATCTCATGCATGCCAGTAGGTGCTAGGCCCTTACCCAGCATGACCTGCCCCCTCTGGTCCAGCCTTTGTATGAGCCTGTTCTAGGGTGCTCATGTGGGTGCTGCAGCCTGGACCTGTCCGCTTATTCCCAGCCTCAGCACCAGTGAGCATCGGTGAGTTCCATGGTGACAGCTAGCTGAGCCCATCACCATCCCAACTCTCAAGCTAACCAATGGGACTTGCAGTTCCATAGGGTTGGGCTCACTTATCCAACACAGAATCCACCCCTGGACCTGATCCTCTTTGCTGGTTGGCGTCATGGCCCAGTCTAATGAGACCCGTTCCCTGTTCCAGCACTCACTGTTAGGTCCTGGGATCCAGCCTGCCATACTTTCCATAGCTTGTATGTATGCAGGCATGTGGTAGTCATCAATGTTTCATTATAACAAGCCCAACCCAAGACTCCTGCATGGGCTGGTGCATCAGTGTGACCCATACAGATCTTCAGGGCTCTCCCCTTCAAACCAACAGGTCTCAGTCCCCTCGCTTTTGTGCAAGTACAGTGGCCCTGTCGTTGGGTGTCCTTCAGGATTCATTCCTCACCTACACGTTCCGTGGCCTTATTCGTGGATGTCCCTAGGCAGTAGTTCCATACCCCCAAACCCTAGACCTCACTGCCAGAAGGCCAGCGAGTGGAGCCTGGCACTGGTTTGTGCTCTGGCCTCCCACAAGGCCAGGACCCTCCCCTCACTCAGCAGCAGTAGATGGGGAGCGAGGATCCCCAGTAGGAAGCCTGTCCCAGCACAGGTTCTCCCAGCTGCAGCCCTGTCGCTGGGGGATCCAGGCAGCTGCACCACTTCTCAATGTAACCATGTTTATAAAATATGTAAAGTTTGGTACTGACCCAGGTCAGCCCACGGCTAGGTGTATGGTTCTTAAATTCACAGACGGGGGAGTCCACATGGCCCTTCCTGTAGCTGCTTATCCATACACTCCTGATGTGCTAACAGAAAACATGCTTTCCATAAATAAATGTGTAATAGTACAGTTTATTTGATTTGCTTCCCTTACAAAATGCCTCGTAGAACATTCTGGACAATTTTACGTAGAAAGGGAGAGAAATTCATGTAATTCCTTAGCAGAAACAAATGGATATCATTCTTCATTTTCCTTTAATTATAATTGATGTTTAAATTTTTAATTTTTGAAAGCTTTTTCCTGCTCATAACGTTCTAAATATAGTTACGTGTTATCATGTAGGATTTCTTTTTTTACTTGGCATATGTAGAATAAGATACACAGTTGTTGACTTTTTATGAGAGACAAGTTTTCCTTGCATAAAATCTGAGCCGACCTCTTAGACCCTCTTTGCATTACCACACAGAGCTTCTTCAGTGTTGTTTGTTGCATGTGACAAACAACCATTTTCTCGTGAGTCCTTTGGTGATGTTGTGTCTGCTTAGCAGCAGGAATACTGGGTGCAGAAGGGGATTGGCTATATAAGCAGAATTAGAATATTAGCTCTAGAAGTTGTGTTTAAGGTTCAGAATTGAACTTATGTTAGGAGTGAATTAGGAGAATATAAAAGCAGAAGAAGGGAAGGTGAGTTGATCTGGGAGGACCAAGATCTCGGGCCCCACGGTGAAGGTGGCTGCTGTGGTTTTGTGTTGGTTGCATTTTCAACAGCATACGTGGTTGGTAGCATAGTGTGGAGATTCTGCTGGTGACCGTGTGTTGATGCATTAACTTCATATTCACAATGGTGGCTGAGTGAGTTGGCATTCGTACTAACCTTACGTTGGCCATACATCAGTCATAGCGTCAGTGAATGTGTAGGTTCTAAGAGATCTGAGGCCGAGCTTTAAAATGCCTTTCTAGCTGGCGAGACCTGTTACATTTTTGATAAGTCTGTGTCCCTGCACTAAAGTAAATTGCCTTAGATTTCAAAAGTGATGATATGAGCATGGTAGAGCTCTTTTTTAGATTGTATGTTCTTCTTGGTTAATTTCCTTTTGAGAAAATGATTATTGAATGTTTTTACTTATTATTGCTCATGGCACATATTATATATCCTAGAGAATAACATTGAAAACTAAATTATCATTTTCTTCCAGTTATTGAATGTCATTATGAATTCTAGGTAGCCTTGGTTTACCCCAACAATGATCCGGTCATGTTTATGGTGGCTTTTTATGGATGTCTCCTGGCGGAAGTGATTCCAGTGCCTATAGAGGTACCTCTTACCAGAAAGGTAACATTGCTAAGTTTAAGAGTGTAGCCTGATCTGATATGACCAACATTGGGTTCCTGTTCGATTGGTTGACTCAGTCATGATGTCAGAACAGTGTGACAACTTTCTGAAGCACCCAGCTGCTCTTTCTAAACATATGAAATGTGTAAAAGTATTACTAACATTTACAAGTGTCATGCAAGTAATGTGCTTTCAGTTAAAACCATTTTTGTACTGTTATATATCATTTTGAGTGGATGTTTGGCACAGTGGTCAAGATGCTACTTGAGCTGCCTGCATCCCATGGTAGAGTGCCTGGTGTTGGGTTCCAGTTGTGCTGCTTTTTTTTATTATTATTATTATTTTAATGTTTATTGGGCAGTCAGATATACAGAGAGGAAGAGAGATAGAGAGGAAGATTTTCCATCCAATGATTCACTCTCCAAGTGACCACAACGGCCAGAGCTGAACTGATCTGAAGCCAGGAGCTGCTTCCTGGTCTCCCACACAGGTGCAGGGTCCCAAGGCTTTGGGCCATCCTCAACTGCTTTGCCAGGACACAAGCGCGGAGCTGGATGCGAAGCAGGGTCACTGGGACACGAACCAGCACACCTATGGTATCCCGGCGCGTGCAAGGCAAGGACTTTAGCCGCCAGGGTACCACGCTGGGCCCCCAGCTGTGCTTTTGAGTCTATGTCCTCATTACTAGCCACTCTGGCAGGGAGTGGATAATGGTACGTGATTCAGGGACTCAGATTCCGTTCTAGCTTCCTGGCTTAACCCTGGTCCAACTCCACCTGTTACAGGCATTTGGGTTACCAGTAAATGGACCTTGAGCGTTTGTTCGGAGGTTCTAACAGGGGAGCACAGCTCCTTGTATACCCTTGACCAAAGACCAGTCCTCCTCTAGTGGGGTTGGTCGACCGAGCGTGCAGCTTCAGGAGGGACGCACGTGGAGTGGTGAGGGAGGAGGGGGACACCCCCGTAGCCAGCCAGATCAGCCGAATCAGCCCTGGTGATCAGTGGGGTGACAGATGTCGCAGCCAGATCGCCCTCACATCTGGGTTACCAGTAAATGGGAGGTTTCCTCCCGCCACCTCCAAGTGTGTGTCTGCCTGTTGATTTTTTTAAAAAAGGTAAAAATGGACCATACTTGGCTTTTCAACAATTATTTACAAAGAGTACCTTTTTTGCCTCAGAAATTTTGTAGAGGGCTTCCTTTAACTTCATCATATAAGCTGGGTTCCCATTAAGCAAAAACTGATGTGGTGGTAATGCGTCACCACCGTTCCTACGCTCATTTGAGAATTTTTACTTTGCAGACAGCGCCACAGCTCAGTTAGCTCGTCCTCCATCTCTAAGTGCCAGCATCCCAGATGGGCACCAGTTCATGTCCTGGCTGCCTCACTTCCCGTCCATCTCCCTGTGTGTGGCTCCCTGTTTGATCTGGCTGGCTAGATGGGTGTCCCCTTCCCCCCTCACCGCTCCATGTGCGTCCCTCCTGAAAGCTGGGGAGGATGAGCCAAACTCGTGGTCCCCTGCACCCACAGGGGAGGCCTAGGTGAGGTTCCTGGCTTTGGGTCAGCTCGGCTCCTCCAGTTGTGGCCATTTGCACGAACCAGTGGACAGAGGATCTTTGTTTCTGTAGATCTGTCTTTCTAATAAGAAGAAATCTTATTTTTAAAAGCATTTTTACTTTGACAACACATCACCCTATTAAATAAAACATATATAACAGATTGCTATGTTTGAATAATTTCTCCAGGGGCTGTTTGACCCTAGTTTTCTTATGTAATCTATTACTGAGAAATTGTATAAAAAATAAATGTATGGGGCCTGGCGGCGTGGCCTAGTGGCTAAAGTCCTCGCCTTGAACTCACCAGGAGTTCAAGGGGCGCCGGTTCTGGTCCCGGCTGCTCCACTTCCCATCCAGCTCCCTGCCTGTGGCCTGGGAAAGCAGTCCAGGACGGCCCAAAGCCTTGGGACCCTGCATTCGTGTGGGAGACCCGGAAGAGGCTCCTGGCTCCTAGCTTCGGATCGGCATAGCATCGGCCGTTGCGCTCACTTGGGGAGTGAATCATCGGACGGAAATCTTCCTCTCTGTCTTTCCTCTCTGTATATCTGACTTTCCAATAAATAAATAAATCTTTAAAAAAATTTAAAAAAATAAATGTATGGTAGCAAGTATGGGTTTATAGGGAAAAATCATTTTCTGAGAGGAACGAGAAATCAGCCGACGGAGGCCAGTGTTGTCACCCAGAGCGTTGGACGGCTGGTGATGGTGTTATCCGCTAATTAAAAGGCTGCTGTGGGCCATGGCTGCTCCACTCCTGATCAGCTTCCTGCTGGTGTGCCCACGAAGGAAGCAGAACACGGGCCCAAGTTGTTGGGTCTCTGAAACCCGACTCAGTTCGAGTCCCAGACTCCTGGCTACACCTGGGCCTGGCTTCAGCCTGGCTGTTGAGGTCCTGTGGGGAGTGACTCGCTGGACATTTGAACTCTCCCTCTCTCACACTCACCTGCCCTCTCTCTCTCACACAGACAGAGACATAGATTTTCTTTCTCTGTCTGTAATAATCTCTAATAAGTAAATATATGTTTTTTAAAGATGCAACAAAATTGTCCATAATGATTATTTTTAAAGTGATATTTTAATAGATATATTTTAAACTGCTTTTTTTTTCTGGACTTAAATCTACCTGTTAAAAAATAGAATAACAAAAAGAGAATATGGATTTGGTATAAACTGTCCAATCACCTTTGTTACAAATTTGAATATTTCGTATTCATTTACCTCACCTAGCTGTGGTCTGAATTGCTCCGCTGTCTTATTGGGGGTGGGATCTAGAGTAAGGCAGCTTCACCATATTCTGTTTCATTTTCCTGAAGCCAGTGTGAAAGAGCATCATTTTTGACTTTTGAATGAAACTGTCATTTTTGGTTAATAGGATTCATTATCAACAAGGTCAGTTTGATGAATTACCTGATTTGTAAGCAGAAGTCACTGTATTGTGAAAAATATTTGGATGAGCCTACTGTCCTTGATGTCGGCGTTTGCCAGAAAACAGTGGGACTCCATGACTTAGCGTGCCAGCGTCAGGGTTCTGCCCGAGGCAGGGGCGCTCCCGCGTGCCAGCGTCAGGGTTCTGCCCGAGGCAGGGATGCTCCCGTTTGCTGCCCTGCCCTGCTCATTCTCTTCTCTCCACAGGATGCTGGAGGACAGCAGATTGGCTTCTTGCTGGGAAGCTGTGGCGTTGCCTTAGCTCTCACCAGCGAAGTTTGTCTAAAGGGACTGCCGAAGACCCAGAATGGAGAAATTGTGCAGTTTAAAGGTTAGTGTTGTTTCTAATTGAATTATCAGTACTGAGTTCTTTGGTTCACATTCTGAGTTGCAATACCTAAACTGTTACATGTTTTCTTAATTCTCACAATAGTATGAAGTGGGTTTTCCTCATTTTACAGGTGAAGAAACAGGCAGAGGTGAAGTATCTTGCCCAAAGTCACAGCTAATAAATGGCAGAGCAACAATTTGACCCCCCAAATCTGTCTGGTTCAACAGCCCACACCCTTAACCTTTATGCTGCTGTTTGGAATAAACTCCCACTCTGCATTAAAGCAAAATGCCACTTGTGGAGACAGAGGGTAGACACTAACCAGGGCACTTCCACTGCCCAATGAGCTTCCCAGTGGTCGGGGTAGCATCAAGGCCTGAACTGGCATGTGAAACGGATACTGTTGAAAGAAGGTGTGACTGTCTCAAAATTTTTTACTGAAGCTAATAAAATGGATGCAGTGTTTTATTGATTATGAAATGACTTTTAATTTAGTTGTTCGATATTTAAAATGACCGGTTCAGTGTGAACTCCGTTAGAGATAGCCTAGGCCGTTCAGTTTTTCCTTTGGGTTTCGTTTAGGATGGCCTCGGCTCAAATGGGTTGTAACAGATTCCAAGTACCTTTCAAAACCACCTAAAGACTGGCAGCCCCAGATATCACCCGCTGGCACAGAACCCGCTTACATTGAGGTAAGTCCTGGGGCTGTAAAACACGCGTTCTAGCTTTTCCTCTGCCCGCAGTTGCCATCTTAACAAAATTTAAAACTCACTTTTTGCACTTCTGGAGTTGTGGTGTTAGTTGCACTTCTGGAGTTGTGGTGTGGAGTCTTCTTGTTTTGTGAGATTTCTGTGACTTGAGACCTTCTAGCTGCTTTTAGCATAAATACACATTGGAAAGAAAGCAGCGGTGGGCGTTTGGTCCAATGATCAGGTCGTGTTGGTGATGCCCGCGTTCCGTATCCAAGCGTCTCATTTCAAATCTCAACTCAACTTTGAGTTTCAGCTTCCTGCTAAAGTGTTCTTTGAAGGCAGCAGACGATAATTCAAGTACTTGGGTCCCTATTACGTGGGAGACAATACTGAATTCTGAATTCTTGGCTTTGGTCTGGCTCAGGCCAGCTGTTGTGGATATTTGAGGAGTGATCCCCCAGTGTTTAGAAAGTGCGTGTATGTGCGCCCGCATGCGTGTGTACAAATGAAATAAAATTTAAAGTTAAAAATAGACAAGAAAATAATTGATCCTTTTTGTAAGAAAAGTCACTGAAGACTATAAAGAATGAATGCTGTGGGGCCCAGCACAGTAGCCTAGTGGCTAAAGTCCTCACCTTGACCGCCCGGGATCCCATATGGATGCCAGTTCTAATCCCGGCAGCCCCACTTCCCATCCAGCTCCCTGCTTGTGGCCTGGGAAAGCAATTGAGGACGGCCCAAAAGCCTTGGGACCCTGCATCCACGTGGGAGACCCAGAAGAGGCTCCTGGCTCCTGGCTTCGGATAGGTGCATCTCCAGCTCTTGTGGTCACTTGGGGAATAAATCAGCAGACAGCGATCTTCCTCTCTGTATATCTGACTTTCTAATAAAAACAAATGTTAAAAGAAAAAAATGAATGAATGAATAAGTGCTGTGGTGGTGATGAGATGATGGGGTTCTGTTGGATGCAAGGATGACTTTTTTTCTAAAATTGATTGATTTTTATTAGAAAGGCAGAATTACAAAGAGGAGTGAGAGATCTTCCAACCACTGATTCTGCTCACTAAATGGCAGCTGGGTTGTCCAAAGCCGGGAGCTTCTTCCACTCTTTCCTCAAGGCTGCAGGAGCCCAAAGGCTTGGGGCCGCCCTCTGCTGCTTTCCGAGGCCATTAACAGGGAGCTGGATCAGAAGTAGAGCCGCCAGGGCTCAAACCAGTGTCCACATGGGATGCCACTGTTGTTGGCAGAGGCTTAACATGCTACTCCACAGACATCCAAGTATGTTTAAAACACAAATGCACGACCAGTTACACCACCAAACAGCCCAGACGTTCCTGGCTGATGAGTGACTTCTATCATCCTTCACCCGTTGCTGCCCGGCTTCCTGGGCTGCGCTCTCAGTTCTGCAATGAACGTGAGCAGCAGGGATCCAGCAACTGCGGGCGGGAAAGACGGGGGAGGAAAGAATCGTGTCTGTACTGAACTTGTTATTATACCCTAAACAATGCAGTAAAGCAGCCGTTTAGGTGGCACTTACACCATGCTAGGTGACTTACATACCACCCAGAGGCGACTCCTCTGGGAAGGTGTGCATAGGCTGTAGGCTCTCACTTCACACCAGGCACGTAGACGGCGTGGGCTTTGGCATCACACGACCGCTTCCCCGTGCTGCCAGGGACACCTGGAGCTGGTGCTGGGCTCCTCCATACGCAGCTGCAGTCATTGTTGTAACACTCTAGCAGCCCCTGCATGCTGATGACCGGTCAGACAGCTCTGTAGACGTCGGGTTTGCGATCTGAGTGCCTGCTCTCAAGTTTCACGTCAGTGCATATTTAGCATGTTCAATTCAGTCGGCTGCAATGGCCTATCTGGATTTTGGTTGCGGGCCTATTTGAAATAGGCCGTTTTACCATGTTTTAATGTTTTTGTTTTTCTCCTAGTATAAAACAAGCAAAGAAGGGAGTGTGATGGGAGTCACAGTGTCCCGGCTTGCCATGCTGTCTCACTGCCAAGCTCTGTCCCAGGCCTGCAATTATTCTGAAGGTCAGACCCCATGCCATGACTGCCCGCATTGTTCGCTGCAGAGCTCTGTGGCCGGGAGCACAATGCTCTCTGATTGAATTGTATTTAACGACCCAATTCAGAGTGAAATCTTGGAAGACACATTCTTGGCTCACTTTTGTTTTCTTCTTTTTCACAAATATGCTGTATTGTGAAGGAACTGAAAATCTGGGGAAACTAAGTATGTAAGGCACGGTTTGTAAGAAAACAGAAATAGAAAACCTTGGTGAAAATCATGTTCTTATTATTGGTAGAATTTAGATATTTGCATCTGTGTGTGTGTGTGTGTGTGTGTATATATAATATATGCCTATACATTTGAGGTCAAAGAAACTTAACCACAAAAAAATGTACATTAAAGACACAGAATATAGTAGTATTTATTCTTGAATTTGTGTTTATGCATTTGGCAAGCAGCTGTTTGTCTTGCAGTGTTCTCTGTCATGTTTCTGCAATGTTTATTTTTTTAATTTACAGTGAAACAAATTAATATGGGTTCTTCATAGAACAGCTTTCTGAACTGGTAAAAATGTATAAATATATATATACAGCAAAAGCAATTAAAATGCCTCAAAATTGGAACTCATTAGATTATAGCGCATACATGCAATGGATTATACCTTATGGTGTAAAATTCCTCTTGAGTATTATAGTTATGGGGAGTTTTTAAACTACATCATTAAATGGGAGAAAATTGGATATAGAGTGGTATATACAAATCTCATATCTAAATATGGACATATATCTAGAAGTACATGCTATAAATACATCAACATTTTTGTTCACTTGTTTGTGAAACATTCAAGCTCTAACATAAACAAGGACTCGGGGTAACACTAGGAAAGCAGAAACTCCTGGAGGAAGTTACAAATGATGGAGCGTCCCTGCTGTTGACCACGCCGCCCCGTGGTCAGACCCTCCAGCTCCCAGAAGACCCCAGGGACTTCAAGTCTTCTCCTTAAAAGCACAAAATCAGTTGTTGAATTAAGAGAATGGGAGCAATTTTCTGTGTTACACTAAAGATGATTTCCTCTTGTTTGTCCCCACCCACCCCTTACTCCCCTGTTTTAGGAGAGACAGTTGTGAATGTTCTGGACTTCAAGAAAGATGCGGGACTGTGGCATGGCATGTTTGCGGTGAGTGACTCAGAATTAGGACCTTAAGTGTAAATTGTACTTTAGATGAAGGCTGGGGCCCAGCAGGTTAGCCTTGCACACACCAAGATCCCATATGGTGCCAGTTCGTGTCCCGGCTTCCCCACTTCCCATCCAGCTCCCTGCCTGTGGCCTGGGAGAGCAGTCAAGGACGACCCAAAGCCTTGGGACCCTGCACCTGTGTGGGAGACCCCAAAGAAGCTCCTGGCTCCTGGCTTTCGATCAGTTCAGCTCTGGGCATCGCAGCCACTTGGGGAGTAAACCAGAGAATGGACAATGTTTTTCTCTGTAAATCTGATTTTCCAGTTTAATCAAATTAAGGCTGGCATAATATGTAACTAGAACATGTCTTAGGGCTTACTTGAAATATAAGCTCCTGAAAGATCAGTCTTTGCAGAGGACACCCAGCTTCCAGCAGAACATGAGTGACTGCCTCGCACGGGCTGCATTCTGAGCTAAACAAGAGGAGCAGGTAGCATTCTTCGGGTGTTAGAGAAAGGTGATCCTTCCAGCTCTGAGCATCAAGGCAGCTTGTTTTTAAAGATTTATTTATTTTTATTACAAAGTCAGATATACAGAGAGGAGGAAGAGAGACAGAGAGGAAGATCTTCCGTCCGATGATTCACTCCCCAAGTGACCACAAAAGCCAATTCAAAGCCAGGAGCCATGTCTCCCACACGGGTGCAGGGTCCCAAAGCTTTGGGCCGTCCTCGACTGCTTTCCCAGGCCACAAGCAGGGAGCTGGATGGGAAGTGGAGCTGCCGGTATTAGAACCGGCGCCCATATGGGATCCTGGCGCGTTCAAGGCGAGGACTTTAGCCACTAGGCCATGCCACTGGGCCCATCGAGGCAGTTTTTACGGAAGAGGTAACAAATGGGTTGGACTTTGAAAAAAAACAAATGGACCCTACTTGATAGCATAGTAAATTAGGCTGCAGTCTGTGGTGCCAGTTCAGGTCCAGGCTGCTCCACTTCCAGCGCAGTTCCCTGCCAGTGTGCCTGGGAAAGCAACACAATAACTCCATCCTTGGGCCATTGCAGCCACCCTGGAGACCCCAAAGAAGCTCCCGATTCCTGACTTTCGGACTGGTCCAACTCTGACTGCTGCAGCAATTTGGGAAATAAACCAGTGAATGGGAGATTCTTGTTCCTATTCTCTCTCTCTCTCTCTTTCTTCCTTCCCCCTCCTCTTAACTCTATTTTTCAAATAAATAAAAATAGGAGCTGGTGCAGTGGCATAACAGGTTAATCCTCCACCTGCAGCACTGACATCCCACATGAGCAGTGGTTTGAGTCCCAGCAGCTCTACTTTGGATCCACCTCCCTGTTTATGGCCTTGGAAAGCAACAGAGAATGACCAGGCCCTTGGACCTGTGTATTCAGGTGGCAGACCCAGAAGCAGCTCTGGCATCTCAGCTTCAAACCAACCCATCTTTGGCTGTAACAGCCACCTGGGGAGTAAAGCAGTGGATTGGAAAATCTCTCTCTGACTTCCCCCATCCTGTAATTCTGACTTTCAAGTAACATAAATCTTTAAAAAAACTAAATAAATAAAAATAAATCTTAAAGCTGGATCAGGTTTAGCCACATTGTTGGAAGGGAAGGGTTAAGTGGGAACATTTCATGTGGAAAAGCTCCCATGTGTGGCATACCCTTTAAGAGGGCCGTCCTCGACTGCTTTCCCGGGCCACGAGCGGGGAGCGGGATGGGAAGCTGGGGCCTCCGGGATTAGAACCGGCGCCCACATGGGATCCCAGCGGGTGCACGGCAAAGATTTTAGTCACAAATCTACTGCCCCGAGCCTCTTTTCTGGCCCATTTTGATCAGGAATTTGAAACTTCCGGTGTGAGTGTTAAGGAAAGTGAATGCAGGAGGGGTGTGGGAAAGCACGTTGGCCATGAGAGCTTGAAACCTGAGGGAGGAAGGACACTGCGTTCTGTGGACATCTTTGTTTCTATGAGCCTCTTACCTGGTGAAGAAAATGGCCAATCTAAATACCAGAGCGTGGCTGCCCTGCGACACCGCTTCTGTCTGGAAAAGAAGATCTGGCTGTTCTTGGTTGGGTGGCAAGGAAATGCTAAGTTACAACTCCCTTCAGCTTTATCTATCAAGGCAAAACAGCACCTCCATTAAGAAATAAGAATTTTGGGCCCGGTGCTGTGGCCTAGCGGCTAAAGTCTTCTCCTTGAACGTCCCGTGATCCCATGTGGGTGCTCGTTCTAATCCCGGCAGCCCCGTTTCCCATCCAGCTCCCTGCTTGTGGCCTGGGAGACCTGTCAAGGATGGGCCAAAGCTTTGGGACTCTGCATCCACATGGGAGACCTGGAAGAAACTCCTGGCTCCTGACTTCGGATCAGCTCAGCTCTGGGCAATGACAGCCACTTGGGGAGTTAACAAGTGGTCAGAAGGTCATTCTCTCTGTCTTTCCGCCTCTCTGTAAATCTTTCTGATAAAAATAAATAGGTAAATCTTCAAAAACAATCTTTCTGCTTGTACCTGTAACTCTGCTTCCAAACAAATAAGTACATACATCTTGTAAAAAATCAGTTCAAGTGCGAGTGTGACTTAGGTGTTCATTATCTCTGTTCCTTTGCCTTCCAGAATGTGATGAATAAGATGCATACAATTAGCGTGCCCTACTCTGTTATGAAGACCTGTCCTCTCTCCTGGGTTCAAAGAGTACACGCTCATAAAGGTAACACGTGCAGCTCCTCAGCCTCAGTTATGTGATTGAATCAGCACGTCCAGCATGTTCTAGTCTCCCTTCTAGAGGCACATTTGTGTGGCTTCGTGACTTAGGTTTAGAGTCCAGTTGCTGTTGAATTAAGAAGTATGCTGACTTTTTCATCTCACTGATACCCTTCCGAATTGGGATGGTTCTCCCACTCCTGGCCCCAGAACGGGGCTAGTGAGAGCTCTGCTGAGCAGAGTCGTCTTGGCCAGGCTACTGTGGCTGGCCCGGAGGTCGCAGCGAGCAATTATGTGTCCAGTCGGTGGTCTAAATGCAGGACTGTCTGCTTGCAAGTGGTTGGCACAGTCTTTTTTTTTATTTTCCCTAAGTGAAAATAAACAAATAAGCCAAAATATCTGGTGTTGTATATATAGTGGACTTTCATAGTGAGTGGAATACATGCCAAGTTGAGCGTGTGAGTGGGTATTAACTGTGTCTTTGTTGACTCTAGCCAAGGTAGCTTTGGTCAAGTGCCGGGACTTGCACTGGGCCATGATGGCCCATCGGGACCAGAGAGACGTGAGCCTGGGCTCCCTGCGGATGCTGATTGTGACCGACGGAGCGAATCCCTGTGAGTGCCCGTTCCCTCCTGCAGCCAGCGCGACTTCTCACCGTGTTTTACTATCCTCTTGTATGCTTCCTTAGAAAAACATTTTTATTGTGATGTAATTCATGTACCATAAAATTCACCCATTTATACTGTATAATTCACTGTTTATTGCTGTTTCCAGATATGTAACTTCCACCACAACTAAATTTAGAACATTTTCATTACTCCAAAACCAAACTACCTGCTTATTATCCGTCCTTCATTTCCTCCCAACGCTACTCGCCACTGTTGTACCCTTGGTGTCTGTGCATTTGTCTGATCTAGACACTAGAAATGCAGCCTTCTGTATGTAGTCTCTTGTAGTGGGCTCTTTCGCCCACTCTAGTTGTCTGTTTATTTCCTTTTAATTATTTATTTATTTGCAGGAGTTAGGAAATGATGTCCCTTCACTGGTTAGCTTGTCAGATGGCTGCAGTGGGCGGGCTCTGCCTTCACCCTGGTCCCCATGTGGGTGGCAGGTCTCATCATGCAGGCTGCATTGGCATATGCAGCGCCCTTCCTCACTGCAGTCTAGTATTCTCTTTTTTTCTTCTGTTTTTATTTTTAAAGTTTATGTTTTTGTTGGAAAGGAAGGCAGATCTGCAGAGAGGAGGAGGTAGAGAAGGATCTTCTAGCCTCTGGTTCACTCCCCAAGTGGCTGCAGTAGATGAATCTGACCCCATCTCAAGGCAGAACCAGGAGGCTCTTCCGGGTCTCCCACGCAGGTGCAGGGTCCCAAGGCTTTGGGCCGTCTTCTACTAGTGGAGCAGCTGGGACATGAACCAGCGCCCACATGGGATCCTGGTGCATGCAAGGCAAGGAATTTGGCCACTAGGCTACTGCGCTGGGCCTGTCAGTCTAGTGTTTTTAAGGTCTACCCAAGTTTTTGCAAATGTCAGTAATTTTTCCTTTTTATTGGCAAATGATGCTCCATTTATGGCTATATCACATCTTACTTATCCTTTCATCTCCTGATGAGTCTGTAAGCTTTTTAAACCATTTCCTCTTGCTCATGCGTGTATATCCTTTTTCTGTCTCATAACCATGGATATTCCTTACATAAAAGGAACAGTGAGAAAGTGATTTGATATAAGCAAGAGGACTTTATTTAAATTCTCCCCAGAGGCACATCAAAGGAATGTGCACAAACGTTAGGCATGTTGCTGTTTTACCTTCTTCTGCCTGATCCTGCCGATGGAAGGACCGGGCGAAGCGCTGCCTGCTGAGCTCTTCATTTAGTCAGCAGTCACGTTGTTCATCCTGGTTTAATGCATATACATGAGACAGACCTCAACAAGGGAAAAAATGGAGGTGGGCAGTGCCATGGCCCAGTGGCCAGATCCTCGCCCTGCATGCCCTGACAGCTGGTTCATAGCCCAGTTGCTCCGCTTCCCTTCCACAGCTCTGCTTGTGGCCTGGGAAAGCAGTGGAGGATGGCCCAAAGCCTTGGGACCCCGCACCCACACAGGAGACCCGGAGGAAGCTCCAGGCTCCTGGCTTCGGCTCATCTCAGCTCCAGCCAATGTGGCCACTTAGGATGTTAACCAGCAAATGAAAAATGTTTCTGTCTCTCCTCTCTATCTGCCTTTCCAAAAAAAAATAAATAAATAAAAATAATAATAATTACATGTTTTTTTAAAAATATGATAAAAAAAACACCCAAAATCTGAAAAATATATAAATATTGAGGAATAGGAATGTCAGAGATTTGCAATCAGGCGGCTCAGTCCAGATGTATAGCAAGGTATACTGTGATCAAAAACCTGACACGGGTGTGGGCATATGCACATGCTCCCTTTCAAAGAAAAAGAAGTAAGTGACAAATTTATTTTAAAAATTTAAAAGACATGAAAAACAGCACACAGGAGACAGAGCTAGGCCAGTGCTGGCCTGCGCTGCCTGCAATAATTACTGCAGGAGGAACGCTGCATGCCAAGTGGCTGCCGCTTCTCTCCAGTTCTCTCTGTGATTGATTTACTGCTCTGGCAGGAGTCGTAGTTTTCCAGGTTATTACCTTAAAAATCATCAGTGACCTTGCATGGGTTGGGTGGACACTAACTTTACCTTGAAATGTGTCAAACTCATGAATATTTGTTCACTTCTTTTTAAATATGTCTTTACAAGACAATTGGTATGAGACCTATTATTACTGTTACTGTTATTATAAAGGCAGACCTACAGAGAGAAGCGGGAGAGATCATCTACCCGCTGTTTCACTCCCCACATGGCCACAGTGGCCAGAGCTGAGCCCATTTGGAGCCAGGAGCCAGGAGGCTCTTCCAGGTCTCCCACACGGGTGCAGGGTCCCAAGGCTTTGGGCCATCCTTAACTGCTTTCCCAGGCCACAAGCAGGGAGCTGGAGGGAAGTGGAGCAGCCGGGATATGAACGAGTGCCCACATGGGATGCTGGTGTTTGAAGGTGGAGGATTAGCCTATTGAGCCACAGTGCCGGCCCCAAATCAAATATTTCTATGAAATTGATGATATACACAGTGAGTCCTCTTGAGAATTGGGGACATGTCAGCTTTCCACTCCTCTTCCGTCTCCTGCAGTATGGAGGTCAGCATTTCTGTAAAGATAATCTGTTTTACCTGCTTAGGGTCGGTTTCATCCTGTGATGCCTTCCTGAGTCTGTTCCAAAGCCATGGACTGAAACCTGAAGCCATCTGTCCGTGTGCGACGTCCGCTGAAGCCATGACTGTGGCAATCCGCAGGTATTGTGCAGGGTGCCAAATGCTCCTGAGGTGTTGATGGCTTGGATGAAATAGGCAGTATGTGCCAGATGAAGACAGAAAGGTGCCAGCTAGCTTTCTCCTTTAGAAGCTACACGTGAAAAGTACTTTGTAAAAGTGGTTTGAAGTATCTCATGTCTTTTCCCCACACTTGCCCAAATTGTTTCTGGTAAATTGAAAATTCATTCTCATCTCGTATCTGTGAGTTAGGTCTTTTTCTGTGTGATTCTTCTCTTGGGATTCTTCAGTTAGCAGCCTCGCTTGGGGATGGACTCCTTGATGGTGCCCTGAGTTTGGAAGATCGGCTTCTCATATTCCCAGGAACCGTGTAGTTGAACAGCTAGTTGAAATGTACTGTAGCCACCTGGTTAACACATGATTATGTTTTATTTATTCAGACTTACTAATGTGATAGATTTTGGTAGGAAAAGGCAATGTTCCTTGGTTTCTTTCATATTCGTGTTTTCCCTTGGCATCATTTATCTTGTCAGAGTTCACGGGTTCGTTTTCTTTTCAGGCCTGGGGTGCCTGGGGCTCCGTTGCCAGGAAGAGCCATTCTGTCGATGAACGGGTTGAGCTATGGAGTAATACGGGTCAATACTGAAGATAAGAACTCAGCCCTGACAGTCCAGGACGTGGGACATGTCATGCCCGGCGGTGAGTTGGAGGAAGACCCTTGGAGAGGGAAAAACCCAGCAACAGCAGAGGTCAGAAGCCAGGACTCTCCCCTTCAGTGCCTGGCCACGGGGTTAGTGGTTATGGCATGGCCGTCTTCCAGGGAAACTCAAACTGTGTGAGTTCCCAGTTGTGAATGTTTCATTTGCACTTCTACACCTGGAAACTGGCCCTGAGACGTGGTGGAGTTACCTTGTTTTCATTGTAATACACCGTCAGGCCTGGCGGAAAGCAACACTCAGAGTTTATGCTTCATCGTACTAGGAGTAGCTCCTACCTTGTCTAAACTGTCTTCATGGACCTTGAAGTAATTTTAAATCTGATATTGTCTCTAAAACTTTAAATTTTGAATATGTCTGTGTGTAGCATGTTATGTTTAGTATTGCTATTTGGCATTCTTAATGCTGCTCAGTCAGTGTAACCCACACCTGGGCTGCCTGGACTAAGCTGTTCTGTTTTGGTTCTGTTTCATTGGTTAAGCTGTTATTTTCTAACTATTTTCTGGAGTCTGTTCCTTATCTGGATTTTCTGTATTTTAGGGATGATGTGTATTGTGAAACCGGATGGACCGCCCCATCTCTGCAAGACAGACGAAATTGGAGAAATTTGTGTTAGCTCCAGGACCGGGGGAATGATGTACTTTGGGCTTGCCGGTGTGACAAAAAATACATTTGAGGTACAACATGTTAACATTTTACAGGGAGAGCATCTGGTGAGATCAGGGTGTCACAGAACACCTGCCGGCAGACGGGAGGTAGCATACATAATGTAATGCTTGAAAGTGCACTTGCTTTATAGCTAGACTTCGCAAGTTCAAATCTTGATTCTGCCACTCACTAGTTAACCTGGAACGGGTTCTTAATCTCTCAGTGCCTCAATTTCCCTATCTTTAAAATGTGAGTAATACAGTAGTTCCTCTTTGTTCAGGATACCTGTTATCCTAAAACTGCCGACAGCACCAGACCCTATAATTTCGGCCTTTTCCGTATTAACAAGCATTTATCAAAGGGACTGTAACTTTTGCAGTGTCGGCTGCAGCATTAACGCTAGCATTCTTTTTTATATTAATATAAGCATCTAAAAACAATGCAAAGGGTAAGCAACAGATTGTAAATTTTATCAATTAGAGGAAGTGCAATTTCTAAGTTCGTTATTCATGTGGTGTTAGCCTTTCAACAAGCCTGTATTACTGTTGCAATTTTTTAATTTAAGATATTCTAAGAATCAAACATTTTTCTGAGGAAAAAAAAAATCACAGTTTTTTATTTCTCTTCCTTTTTTTCTTTTAGGTGATTCCGGTAAATTCTGCAGGCTCTCCTGTTGGGGACATGCCTTTCATCCGGTCAGGGTTGCTTGGTTTTGTCGGACCAGTAAGTGATGCTTTCATAACAATTTTGGTACATCTAATCCAAACATTCAAACTTCAGTTACCAGAACAGAACAAACTCTGATTAGTCCAGATATGTTACAGGACCACTTCTATTTAGAGCTGTTCCTATAAGAATGAATTCAGTGATTCTATTTACCCAAGTTCATTTGATGCTTTCAAATTAAGACCTTTTTTGTTTTTTTAAGATTTATTTATTTTTATTGGAAAGATAGATCTACAGAAAGAAGGAGAAACAGAAAGAAGAATCTTCCATTCGCTAGCTCATTCCCAAAGTGGCTGCAATGGCTGGAACTGAGCTGATCTGAAGCCAGGAGCCAGAAGTCAGGAGCTTCTTCTGGGTCTCCCAAATGGGTGCAGGGTCCCAAGGCTTTGGGTCATCCTCCACTGCCTTCCCAGGTCACACAGGCAGGGAGCTGGATGGGAATCGGAGCAGCCAGGACAAAAACCAGATGATGATGCTTACAAGTGGAGGATTAGCCAGCAGAGCTATCATGCTGGTCCAAATTAAAGCTTTTGTATTTTCACTATCCTCACTACCTTTTTTTAGTTGATTACCATGTTGCTGCACATTAGAATGATGGGGAAAAATCCCCTTCAGTAACAAAGGAAAACTGTAATACTTAATGCAAAAAGTATTTTCAAATAAAATAACCACACTACATCAAATGTTATGATAAATTCCCACTCTCACAAAGATTGATTTAGCAGCTGCCATGGTGGCTTAGCTGGTTAATCCTCTACCACCAAGGCCCAGCATTCCAAGGGGCACCAGTTTGGTCCTGGCAGCTCCACTTCCCATCCAGCTCCCTGCTTGTGGCCTGGGAAAACAGTAAAGGACGACCCAAAGCTTTGGGACCCTGAGCCTAGATGGAGTTTCTGGCTCCTGGCTTTGGATCGGCTCAGCTCTTTCCGTTTCAGCTATTTGGTGAATAAACCTAGTGAATGGATATTTCTCTCTGTCTCTTCTCTTTGTAAATTTTTTTTCCCAATACAAATAAAGAAATCTAAAATTAAAAAAAAAACCCTCATTTCTTTGAAAGTTGATGAAGGAAGACAGATAAGGTAGAGAGACAGAAGGTTTTCGCATCTGCTCGTTCACTCCTTAGGTGGCTACCAAAGCCCAAGCCGGGCCTGCATGGTGGGACCGAAATCTCAGCACTTCGGCCATCCTCTGCTTCCTTCCCAGGTGTATTACCAGGAAGCTAGATAGGAACCAAAGTGTTGGGATTCCAACAGACACTCTACTACGAAATGCCAGGAATGCAAGCAATAGCTTAACCCACTGTGTCCCAGCACTGACCTCCATGGGTTGCTTTAGTGAAAACAATCTTTTTCAGCAAATAGCTTTGAGTTTAAAGAGACATAGGGGGGCCCGGCGCGGTGGCGCAATTGGTTAAAGTCCTCGCCTTGCACGCCCGGGATCCCATATGGGCGCCGGTTCTAATCCCGGCAGCCCCACTTCCCTTCCAGCTCCCTGCCTGTGGCCTGGGAAAGCAGTCGAGGACGGCCCAAAGCTTTGGGAGCCTGCACCCGCGTGGGAGACCCGGAAGAGGCTCCTGGCTTCGGATCGGCATAGTATCGGCCCGTTGCGCTCACTTGGGGAGTGAATCATCGGACGGAAGATCTTCCTCTCTGTCTCTCCTCTCTGTATATCCGCCTTTCCAATGAAAAAATAATAAAAATAAATCTTTAAAAAAAAAAAAAAAAGAGACATAGGGACACCATTGTGGTGCTGCCTGCAGTGCTGTTCTACCATACTGAAGCACCTCTTGGAGTCCCCCCCCCCCCAGGGACTGCGGTGGATGAGAAAAGTTAGTTACCTGCAGATAGGTCTAGAAGCTTACTTACACTCCGGTGTTTTTAGGGGCTGCTAGTTCCCTGGCCCTCTACTGTCTCATTCTAAAAGAATGGCTCCTATGGTGTTGCTTAGACCTGTCCTTATTAGCCTATTTCTAATAGTGCCGAAAGCAAACACCATTTCCTTGTAAACTCAGTCGTTCTTGTTTTAAACCCATTTTAATCTCCTGTTTTAGTGGTAAATGAATTAACATTTTTCTCTGCACGAGTAGGTGCAGAAGATGACCTAATACATAATTGTGCAATGATTCATTTGTTTTATTTATTTTATTTGAAAGGCAGAGTTACAGAGTGAGAGGGAGAGTCCGAGATCTTCCCTCTGCCAGTTTATTCCCCTCATGGCCATAACAGCTGGGGCTTTGCCAGGACAGAGCCAGGAATCAGGAGCCTCAAACGTTTCTCCCTCGTGGGGCCAGGGGCCCAGGAGCTTGGGGCATCCTTCACTTCTTTGCCAGGTGCGGTAACAGGGAGCTGGATCAGAAATGGAGCAGCAGGTCTCGAAGTAGTGTCCAAATAGGGTGCCAGCGTAACAGCTCTTCTACCACAACCCCAGCACCCCATTACAATCTAAGATCCCGCTGACTCTAAGGTGTTGCTGACTTACAAAATGTCTAGACATGACATCCCTTTCTCTAAGATCCGTAAGATAATGGCATTGCTATCTTACATTTTCTACAAGGCTTACTTGTAGGCAGGAAGTTTAAAAATACCTGTGTTACTATCTAAACCCTAGAAGTCAAGATAAATCACCGTTACCTTTCAGGGTAGTTTGGTGTTCGTGGTTGGGAAAATGGATGGATTGCTGATGGTCAGCGGTCGGAGGCATAATGCTGATGACATCGTTGCAACTGGATTGGCAGTGGAATCAATGAAGACTGTTTACAGAGGAAGGTGAGTAGTGCAGGCTTCCACGTCAGCACCTCTTCCCAAGGCGATTCCCTTGCCTGGTGACGGGCCTGCCTTAAATGTTCCTGAGCATCTGGTTCTCTGACTGTAGTTAAGACAGTAAAGCATGACGACATCTTGCTTGTCAGATTTTAATTACTACTCTTGGTTGAATCCCAAGAACTAAGGACAGTTTCCAAATTCCAGATTTATCTAGTTAGGGAGAATTATAAATACATGCAGCTTAATACATTTCTTTAGTACAGAAATCATGATGACAGGTTAAAGGGGATAGGTCGCCACGCCATAAGAGTTTATATTAGTTATTCTCTTACTTATTTTAAACTAAATTATTGCATTATTTTATTGTGGAGGTTGACATAGCATTTCGGTGCTAATTTCAAATTCCCAAAGACAAAGTATTGTTAGATACCTTATTCCCTTGCAAAGGAGAGTGCTTGCTACATATTTAGGAAGTTAGTCTTAGCAGTTTAGAACCATGGATTATACCTTCAAACCAACCTTGGTGTCCCTTTTGTTCTTTAAAAAGTAAGAAAAATTGATGAAACCAAAAAATGACCATTTCCTAAAGTGTGGCTGTTGTAACAGTGTGGCCTCCTGAAATGCGAACTCCTTGGCACTATAGATCTTCTGACCTCAGCTGCACTTGCACCCCAAGCTCTCAGCACCTTGTAACAGAGTAGATGTTCATAAATGTGTGTATGTGGAAAGAACAAGGCAAGGCAGACGGCTGTGCTAGCATATTCCACCCTCCAGTGGCTTTTCATTCTTTTTGCTTTCCTTCACTGGGTGCCAAATATATGCCACTGTTCTAGATGCTCTGGCCGCCACGGTAAACAAAACACATCAGTCTCTGCCCTTGCGAAGCTGGCATTCTCATTGTGGAACAGTGACCAGATGAGCAGGGAAACGGCACCATGTGACCAGGCACCAAGTGCTGTGTAGCAGAAATGTGGGTGGGGGTGCGGTTGTCGGTTTACAGCAGGTGCTGAGGGAATGCCTCACTAGCGAGGGGACATTTGAGCGGAGACCGCACTCAGAACCAACCCCATCCTCCTTCCCTCGGCCTCCCAGGCTCCGCGAGCCGCCCTGCCTGTGTCTGACTCTCACTCGGCTCTCTGCTTCACCACTCTGCTCCAGGCACACTGGCCTTCTTGCAGTTCCTCAAACCTGCCAAGCTCGTCCCTACCTCAGAACCTTTTCGCTTTCCGTTCCTTCTGCCCGGAAACCTCTTCCTCCAGATCTCCGCGCGGCTCGCGTCCTCACCTCATCCAGGTCTCTGCTCCAGTGTCCTCCTCGGCGAGACCCTCCCCAGTCGCCCTGCCTCTGTGACACCCTGCACACCACTCCTTCCTGTGCCCTGCCTCAGTTTGCTTCCCCAGTCTACATTGCAACATGACATTCTTACACATTTCTTTGTTTGTTCTGTCTCTGGCCCCAAGTCCCCAGAGCAGGAACTCTGTCTTCCTTACCCCTGTGTCCCGACATCATGACGGTGCTGCGTCATACATGTTGTTTGAATGAATGAATGAATCCTCATTTGCTGGAAATCATTGTTACATTTTCTTTTCTAAATGACTCATTTCTGGGAGGTGTGGTGGGGATGTCTCCTGTAATTCCAGTTAAACAAATCAAGTAGAGCTGGCTGTGAAGGGAGTCCTGATATGTTTGATCTGTCTCTCTTAGAATTGCTGTGTTTTCTGTGTCTGTATTTTATGATGAGCGCATTGTGGTGGTTGCGGAACAAAGACCTGATGCTTCTGAAGAAGACAGTTTCCAGTGGATGAGCCGTGTGCTGCAGGTGAGCGTGCCCAGGGCTCGCCCTCTGGTCGCGGAGGACAGCTGCTACCCTTTGCTTTCCGTGGGCCCGTAAGGCACCTTCGCTTGCTCCTTCTGCTTTCTTCTCCACCATCACTCACAAATTCTGATTATCATCCGCAAAATCAGATGATTAATGCCAGTTCTCCTGGAGGTCCACAGAGTATTTTCCTGCTCAGCTTTTGAATTGACTTGCCTCAGCCAGTTGTTTCAGGCTGAAGTATTGACTGCCCATGAACATTTGAGCTGTGCACACGTGGAACCCGTGTTTGACAGCCAGGGTTCCACTTGCCAGCAGCTACATGTCCCCACATGCCGCCGTGTGGCTCGCGAGGGTGCGTTACCCTGCGCGGGAGGTCAGCTGGAGTGACGCCAAGGCAATCACAGATATAATCCCGTGCCACCCTGCTCACGAGGTCAGTGCCTTTAGGCACTGAGTTTATTTCCTCGCCTGGAGAGCAGGGGTAGATGTACCTATTTGACTAGGTCCCGTAGAAGTGTTACAGGAATTGATGTCAGCGCATGATGCCTGCATGTAGTAGATAATCATGTCCAACCTGACCAGCATCTAAGCGAACGATCCTAAGCACTGTCTCCCTTACGAATAGAGAAGTCTGCTCTGTCCTCTTTGCTTTCTGCCCCCTTACTCTGCATTCCGTCTTGGCAGCTGGTGCTGTAGGTTTATGTTGTTCTCTGCGTCCACTCCAGCAGAAGCCCCCTGAGGGCCAACACTCAGCTCTTCTATTACTGCTTTACCCCCAGAGCCTGACAGCTGTGCACACGTTATAGCAACTCGGTCAGTATTGGCTGCCTCGATGGGTGGCCCAGATAGCATGAAGCATCCTTACCGTAACAACCTTAGGTTACTGGAAGTGTTTCTGGTGTCTGAGGACATTTGGATGTACTCACTGGCAGTTAGTAGCAATGTGGCAGAAACGATGCTGGCATGAAATATGTCATGGGGCTGGGTACCTCCAAAATGTCCCAGTTATCATCTCATGACTTGGGCTACTTGTACTAGGAAATCGGCGGGGAGGGGGAGGATAAAGACAGACTACACAACAAAGACTGGGAAGATGGCAGAACTGAAGGATGGCCAGAAGGCAGGTGTGCAAAGGCCACTGTTCATCCTCTTCCTGTTTTCAACGACCTGATGGATTTGTTCAGAATGGGCATTACTGCATAACAGTATGATCTTAATGAAGGACTCCTTTTTTTTGTTATTATAGAAGTGAGTATATTTAAAATTTCCCAAGAGATTTACTACTTTTCCCTGCAGCGCAACTTTAGGAGGCTTTCAATGCAGTGTCAGTTAATACAGTAATCTTAATTCTTTTTTTTAAATTTATTTATATTTATTGGAAAGTCGGACCCTAGCTCCTTTTCAGTTAGACTTATTGGTAGCACAATAGAACACTCTTTCTAGTACATTTGAACTAGTGTCAAGGATTAATTATAAAGGGTAGTTGATGCGTTAGCATCATTATACAGCAGGTTAAGCCACTGCCTGCCACTCCAGCATCCTGTGTCAGTGCTGCTCCACTTCCAGTCCAGCTCCTGGTAATGATCTGAGAAAAGCAGCAGGAGCTGGCACAAGCTTGGGCCCTGGCACCTGCGCTGGAATCCTGGAGGAAGCTCCTGGTTGCTGTCTTGCCTGGCCCAACCCTGGCCATTGCAGCCATCCTTGTGAGTGAAGCAGCAGATAGAAGATCTCTTTATAACTCTGCCCTGCAAGTCCCTAAATAAATCTCTTCAAATTTGTTAATATGAGATATAATTTAATGTACTTGAATCCAAAAAATCATAAAATCATTACATTTTAATTCAAAACATAATTGTTCAGTTATTTGCTATGGAGCAGTGGGATTTATATTGATTACCTTGCATTACGTGACACAGTTTTATAGGCACTGGGATTCCCCCCTCCCCTCCCCAAAACCTGCTCCCCCCCATGGTAGATTCCTCCACCTTGTTGCATTACCACAGTTCAAATTCAGTTGAGATTCTTTCATTGCAAGCATCTACAAAGCATAGAGTCCAGCATCTTATTGTCCAGATAAGTTCAACAGTTTCTTAGGGAGACCATCTCTGGTCTGAAGGTACAGCCGGCAGAGTATCATCCTGATCAATTAAAAGCACCACTATAACATCAGCAACAATTTATAACATTATGGAATTAATTGATCTAGTATTAAGTAACCAATATGTTTTAAAAGAGAGAGTGCAAGTTCTGAACCACATTGACATTACAATTATTAGTTTATATACAACTGGGTTCTATACACCTTAAAATGGCTATAGATTACTATTCAGCTGTCTCATGTCTGTTTTAATTTTAGTATTTAGCAGTTTATAGCATGATTTTGCAGAACCTGGCTGTTTTTTGGGTAGTCTAACTCTATAACTCTAACAAGACATATGTCAACAGTTTAGGTGAACAGTTTTAGGAGGGGTGTGCAGAGAAATCTTCAATACCCTAGTGAGGAGTAACTAATCTTTGTGTCCCACCCAGTGAGTTATAAGTGCATCCCTACTGCCCATTTCCTGTTTCTAAGCTTTCCTTGCTGTTCTCTATCTATTCTAGTTTTTTGTTGTTGTTGTTTATTTGTTTATTTGTTAGTTTGTTTTGAGGGGTTTCTGGAGTGATCCTGATGGTCCTGACGGTCATTGCCAGTGAAGGTGGGGACCCACAGTTGGCACCAGGCAAGGACCAGAGAAAGCTCCCCTCCCTAGTCCCGAAGGAAGTTTACTGTTCTGTTTCTGCGGACCGCTCAGTGCTCCTGGTTGTCGATCCAATGACCTTGGATCCTGCAAGGCGGGATTTGGGCTTCTTCCAACCCATGTGGGAGATCCAAGTGGAGGTGGGTGACCTCAGAGTTCTTGGCCTCTGAAGACACTCCAATTCCCCGTGGTCTCTTTGACGGTTGGGATGTAGTCCTCGGTGCTCGTACTGATAGTCCTTGGTGAGGATCTGGGAGTCTTCAGGGTTGGGATACAAGCCTCCCGTCCGCCTGGAGCAGTGTGATTTTGAGCCCTCCTGTTGGACTTCATGTCAGCTAATTTCCATAAGCCGAAGAATTTTTCCAAAGCACAAGTCTTTTTGGTCCTTTCACATTTATGTTTATGATTACTTGGTCATAAATAGTGTAAATAGTGTTGAAACAGATTCAGATGACACAGCAGCAGCAACAGCAGAGCTGGAGGCTGAGACCCTGGGCTAGTGTGTCGCCGCCTCAGCCCATGGTGCCTGGGACCTCCTCTTCTTGGTTCTTTTGTGTATTTTTTTGTTTGTTAGTTTGTTTGTTTTCAGATGGGTTTTTTTTTATTCAAAAAGAAGACTTCTTTTTTAAAAAGAGAGAAGGACAGATCTCCAAGTGGCGACAACACTTAGAACTGAATCTGTCTGAAGCCAGGAGTCATGAGCCTCTTTCCAGGTCTCCTGTGTTTCCCAGGGAGCTGGATGGAAAGTGGAGCAGCGAGCCCATCCCCCTCTTGTAGAGTTAGCAGGCCCACGTGAAGTACAGCCTCTGTGTTCAGGATAAAAATGCTTTGCACATAGGCATATAAGCAATAGTGGACAGATAAAAATTTTAAAACCAAAACAAGCTTTTGTGATTTTTATGTTCTCACTTGGGAGAAAACATTCTATTAGCAGTGCCTCTGACCTCTGACCCTGCAGGCCCTGTCCGCCTCATCTCCCTCTGACCTCTGACCGTGCAGGCCCTGTCCACCTCACCTCCCTCTGACCGTGCAGGCCCTGTCCACCTCACCTCCCTTTGACCGTGCAGGCCCTGTCCACCTCACCTCCCTTTGACCGTGCAGGCCCTGTCCACCTCACCTCCCTCTGACCGTGCAGGCCCTGTCCACCTCACCTCCCTTTGACCGTGCAGGCCCTGTCCACCTCACCTCCCTTTGACCGTGCAGGCCCTGTCCACCTCACCTCCCTTTGACCGTGCAGGCCCTGTCCATCTCACCTCCCTCTGACTGTGCAGGCCCTGTCTGTCTCACCGCCCTCTTCTAGCTTACACTGTGATGGTGAACGTGTAGCATCTTAGTCTTTGAGGTCACTTCTTTAGACAAAGGGTTTCTTAGTGGTCTGTCAGATTGTAGCTCTATACTGGACAGAATAGAGAAAGGAAAATCTTAAAGAAAAACAAGGTTTGTGAGTATTTCCAATCTAATAAAAATAACCTCACTGAGAACTGTTATTTCTGTCTTCCTAGGCAATTGACAGCATCCATCAGGTGGGAGTTTATTGTCTTGCTCTGGTGCCTGCCAATACATTGCCAAAAACTCCACTGGGAGGAATCCACATCTCTCAGACGAAGCAGCTCTTTCTAGAGGGGTCTCTGCATCCTTGCAATATCCTCATGTGCCCACATACATGTGTGACCAATTTGCCAAAACCTCGGCAGAAGCAACCAGGTAACATACTGGCACCAAACCATTATTTTAAAATTGTAATCTCCAGAAATGTTTTTCTCACGTTGATTTTTTTTCTATAAATTTATTTATTTATTTATTTTTGATGATTCTACATAGTTAGGATGGTAAGGGTCAAGGGCTACAAGAAGATTGAGACCATGATTTCCATATTCTTATTTTTCCTTCCTGTATGTGGGGGAAGGGGAGAGATAAGGGGAGAAGTCACATCCAGCCTCCCAAATGCCTCTGCATCGTGGGATGGAGGACAGTCACCTGACACCACCCCAGGTCCCTGATGTGGGACATGCACTGAGGGTCCTGCTCAAGAAGTTTTGATAGTTCAGCAGTTCTGAATTACTGCTGATTTCGCCACTCCAAGTACAATGAAATCTCTCCGGAAAGCACTGGTTGCTATAGTTCACGTTAGAGTCTCCATTTGCCAACACTTGGCTGGGGTAGTTGATTGATTTGTTCTGTCCTCCATCCTCTGTTGTGGTACCAGGTGTCCTCTGCAGGCTCCAATGTACTGCCATATCCTCCATGTGCACTTGGATATTCAGTCCACTGCTCCTTCTAAGCCACTGAGGAGGCCCAGCTCTGACACATGCACTCCACAGTCAGACCATGGAACCTGCAATTCTCTCCATGGTTGGGGTTCTGAGTCCCGCAGTTCAGTTGGGGAATCTCCAAAGAAACTTCATCTGAGGTGATCCCAGACCTGATTCTTGTGTGTGCATGCCAATACAGGGTCTGGCACAGTCTGTCACCCAAATCAGCTTATGCACATGCTGGTGGTTGCAATTGCTGTGTCAGTTCTGTCTCCTGCCCTGTCTTCTACTCAAACCAATGGATGTTGCAGTCCAGCCTGATTCTGCCCAGCACACACTCAGCCCTCATGTAAACCAGTGGGAATTGTAGCCTAGTCAGAGTGACCCACAATAACCCTCACCAGGCCTGCCCCTACCCTGGTTCCCGTGCCTGCCAGCATGTACACCAACTTGTCCAGTCTGCCCCACACCCCATTCAGCTCTCATAAATGTCAATGGGCATTGAAGCCTAGTTCAACCCAACTAGCCCCAGGAAGCCTGGCCTGGCACGATTCTCCAGCCACAGCTACATGGCTAGGAGATTCAGACACCCTTGTCTTTCAACAGACTTACCTGGACTCTGCCCCAATTTTTTTCCTATAGAAACAGATTTTGAAGGCTAGTAGCACAAGAGTAGCCTCCAGTGGCGGAAAGCAAGGACAGAGACATTCCTGGTGCACTTCTTTGGGTTTACTGCAGCCTCATATTTCTCAAAACTGTGCCTCCATTTCCCCTGCATGTGTGAATTTGGTCCAGCTGATCAGAATCTCACTGTAAGGCATGGTTCTGAAAACAAGAGTAGCGAATGTTTATACTGAGTGCTTGTTCTCTTGGTACTTGCTATTGAATGCCAAAAACGAGGTAAGCATTTTGCATGTTATCGTAAGGCTTTGTTCCCTGCACACCTCTTTTCCTCCTGGCTCCCTTGCCCTCGCAGAGAAAGCTTATGCCCGAAGTACAGAGGTCAGAGTCACAGAGCCAGTATTCACACTAAGTGTGACTATAGCCCTCTGTGAATAGTGATTCCCGCCTGCCTTTCTGTGGCCACTCTCACATCTAGGCATCTCTTCTTGCTCCTTAACATTAAGCTCTAATTTGGGCCCATAATGTCTGTTACTTAATTCATACATTTTTTTGGATTTTGATCACACAACAGATAGATTTACTTGGTATATGGTTCTTTGAGACCAGGGTACAACAAAGAGTGTGTGAGTTGCAAGATGGAATAGAGAATTCTTCCTTAATTTCTCTCTTTTTTTTTTTTTTTAGCAGACCTAGATTATGGGGCTGAGCAGTAGGCTAAGGGTATGAGTAAGTGGTGGGTGATCGGTCATGTTAAAATATGTCAGAGTGAACATAGCATTGTTTAATTGAGGCTTTTTTATTTTAAGAGAAGCTAATAAGAGCCTTCTAATTTTCTGTATACCCCCAAATACATAACAGCCAAAATCTTTCCTCAGTGGATCACACAGCTATATACTCCCATCCCCACAAAGTCATACACTCATATCTCACTAGGCACTATATGGAAGACCACATGCACCTACTCACACTTCATAGTCCAGGCCATGGCAGCCAACTGAGGGGCCAGCCAGTGAATGGAAGCTCTCTCTCACCAGCTCTATTATTCTGCCTTTCAAATAAATTATTTTTAAAATCTCATTGCAGATATCTATTAAAGTTATTGTAGAAGAAACAAGAATATGTTAGAACTGCTCTTGGCTTCAAGTTATAGAAAATTATAACAATAGCTTAAACAAGAAACAAGTGTCTCAGGTCCATGAAATTAAAAACTGAAAGGTCAGTCATGCTGTTCTAGCATATTATTTTGTTAGTCTGCTATAATTACAGATACAACACATAACAACCCTAAAACTCAATGCCTGGAATAGCAAGGAGTATGGTGGATCTGCGGGCTTGGCTGGGATCAGCCGGTCTCAACTTGGTGCCGGGCGTGAGCTGGGCTCAGAGCTGCTCCCTGTGTCTGCCCTTCACAGAACCAGGGGATACCTGGGCAAAGACAGATGGCTGAAATAACAGTTTAAGCCAAAACCACCCAAGCATATTTAAAGCTTCTGTGTGTGTCATAATCTCTTAACATATCATGTCCAAGACCAGTAAGAGCATACTCGGGAGTCAGTGAGATGGAGAGCCTTCCAAGTCTGCCTGGTGAGGACAGGAAGGATTGTGAGGAAGTGGAGCAGCACTCCACAGCCGTCTCTCCCGGGCTTCCTACAGTGCCGCTGGTCCTGGCTTCCAGCCATCGTTCACACGGTGCAGCTAGGCTGGGAGACAAAAGAAAAGAAGGAAATACCCTTCCCTTTTCATCTGTTCACTAGGAATTGCACACATTACTTCCTCATGCATGCTAGCCTCCCACATTGCAGAATAGTCTGTTCCAAACATGTATCTGTGTAGGCATTCGATCAGGCAGAGGAGGTGCTGTTCATCCAGTGAGGTGCACACGGAAGAGCCTCAAGAAACTGCTGCTGGGTTATTTTATATATACATACACACATACATACATATGTGTATGATATATCTATAGAGAGAGAGATATAGATTTAAGATATATATTTTTGAAAAGTGGAATTGAAGGAGAGAGGTCTTCATGTGCTGATTCACTCCCCAGTTGGCCGTAGTGGCAGGCGCTGGGCCAGGCTGAAGGCAGCGTGGAAGTGATCCGGGTCTCATGTTGGGCAGGACCCCAGTGGAAGCACTGGGCTAACGCCTTCCCAGGTGCATTAGCAGAGAGCTGGTAGAAACGGAGCAAATGGGTCTCAAATCAGCACACATGTGGGATGCAGCCTTGCAAGTGGTAGCTTAACTCACTGAGCCACAATGTTGGACCGCACCAATTTTTTTATGAAAGTATGTTTTTAAAATTTTTTTAATATTATTAAATAGTTAAGACTGTTTCTCCAGTTAGGGTGTGGAGGGTCAAGGTATGGAAGAAGGTGGGTAGGACAAATGTTTCTAACTTTTCCTCCTGTGTCCTCAAAGGAGGAAGAGAATGGGACCTCCCCTTGCTGTCAGACTACGTCAGCACTCAGGGAGGGGGCACATTTGATGACACCTCAGAGACCCTGATGTGGGGAAGAATGTTCAGAGGGTGTTACTTGAGTAGTTTTTGATAGTTCTGAGATGTTCTTGACTTCATTGCTCCAATTGAGAAAGTCTTCCCAGGATGTGTTGGCTGACCAAGTCCATCTTAGTGCATTCACAGGCCCAGGAACATGCTGCAAAGCTTGGCCAGGAGCGTTGTCCAGCATGTTCTGCTTTCCATCCTCTGATGAGCCACGCAGTGTCCCCTGCTGGCCTCATGCTGGCTGTCATGTCCCCTGTGCGCATCTAGACGTGCTGTCCACTGCATGGGCATCAGCAGCTGAGGAGGCACAATCCTGATACATGTACTCCAAGGTCAGACCACATATCTTGTGGTTTTCCTGTAGCCGGGGTCCAGATTCACTTTGTCTGGCGTACCTCAGACTTGACTCTTGTGTGAACCGGCCAATGCAGAGTCACGTTTGTTCCATCACCCGCACCTGCCAGTGCACATACGAGTGGATGCAGCTGCCTGGTCAGTTCTGCCCCCAGCTCCTTCTCTCACACGAACTGATGGGTGCTGTGACCTGGCCCAGCCCAGCCAGCCTGCCCCACATCTGGTCCTTACATATACCCAGCATGTGTGCCAGCCTAGTCAGGGTATCCCCCCATCAGCCCCACCAGGCCCACACCAGCCCTAGTTTTTGCATGTGCCAGAATGTACTGCAGCCCAGCTCAGTTTATCCTATATCCTATCTGGCTCTCATGCATACTCATGGGTACTAAGGCTCAGCTCAGCCAGACCCAACCCACACCTATATCAATGGGTCCTACTGCCTTTACAGTCTGATCTGCCCCCATCCCTGGCACTAATGCTCACCAAATAGGAGCCGCAACCTAGCAGTGGAGTGCCCATATTTCCCCCTACTAAGCTTGCTCCCAGCCTCAACTCTTGTACCTGTCTAGGGGTACTGCAGTCCAGCCTGACATGAGCTGCATCTAGTCCTAGCACTTGCCAGCAGTTGCTGCAGCCTAGCCCTGTTGGCCTGCGCTCATCCTGGCTCTCTTGCACACCAGTGGTTGCAGCAGCCTAGCCCAGCCTGGCCCACCCCAGAACAGCCAACCCCAAGTCCCAGCTCTCACATTCCTCAGTGGAAGCTGTAAAACAGCAAGGGAGTCCCCGAAATCCTACCAGGCCCACTCCCAGACCAGGTCCTGTGCATTCCAGCAGGCCCTGTAGCCCCATCTGATATGGCTGCCCCCAGTCTCAGCATTTGCCAGCAGATACAACAGCCTAGCCAGTCTGACCTACACCCACACCTCATGTGAACTGGTGGATGTTACAGTCCAACCCAACCTGGCCTGCACCCTGTCCGGGCTCTTGCTCGTGTTGGTATGTGCTATGGACTAGCCTAACCTGGCTGGCCTGCCTTCCACTTCTCATTCAGTTCCCTGCTTGTGGCCTGGGAAAGCAGTGGAGGATGGCTCAAGTCCTTGGGACCCTGCAGCCATGTGGGAGACGCAGAACAAGCTCCTGGCTTCTGTCTCCTGATTTCAGATGGGCTCAGCTCTGACCATTGTGACGATTTGGTTAGTAAACCAGCAAATGGAAGATTCTCTCTCTCGCTTGCCTTTCCAATAAAAATAGATGTTTAAAACAGTAACAACCACCACAATGATGCTATCCTACTAAGAAATTTAACCTTGGGGTGAGGTCTGACCTAGTTTTTAAGAAGCCCATATTCGGGGAGTGACTGGGTTTGATTCCCAGTTCTGCCTTCCCATCCGTGTACTTGCTGGTAGGCAGCAGGTGACAGCGGAAATGCTTGAGTCCCTGACGCACACGAAGGAGGCCTTGATTGAGTCCCCCGCTGTCTGCGGCTCTGGCCCAGCCAGTGTGGCCTCCCAGAAGATGGGAGCCCTCTGCTTCTCAAATTGATAAATGAAACATTTTTTTTAATGTAATGTAGCCTTAATATAATGCTACCATCCGATAATTAACTGTTCATACTCAAATTTCTACATTTCTTTATTATAGCTGGTTTTTCAAAATCCAATGTCCAGTCAGGGTCATGTATTACCTTTGGTTACCATGTCCTTTAATAAGAAGTTCTTAGGGCCCGGCATGGGAGCCTAGCGGCTGAAGTCCTTGCCTTGCACTTCTCAACATCCCATATGGGTGCCTGTAACAATCCCTATGGCCCCATTTCCCATCCAGCTCCCTGCCTGTGGCCTGGGAAAGCAGTGGAGGACGGCCCAAAGCTTTGGGACCCTGCACCCATGTGGGAGAGCTGGAAGAAGCTCCTAACTCCTGGCTTCGGATTGGCTCAGTACTGGCCATTGTGGAGAATGAATTAGCAGACAGAAGATCTTCCTCTCCGTCTCTCCTTCTCTCTGTATATCTGAGAGAATATTTCCAATTAAAAATAAGTAAATTTTTAAAAGAAAGTAAGAGGTGCTCAAATGTATTTCATCTTTTAAGACATTAATGTTTTTGAAGAGTCCAAGCCAGTTATCACATGGAATGTTTGACAATCTTTATTTCGTTATTCACTTTTTTTTTTTTTTTTTTGCTTGAAAAATACAGTTAGTGATGCTCTGTGTGCTGGTCCACTGCACACATGGCCAGTGGCTCAGGCTGGGCCAGGCCGAAGGCAGGAGCCCAGAACTCCATCTGGGCTCGTGGTGGCAGGAACCCTGGTACTTGGCTCTCTGCTGCTCATTCCCAGTCTTATAATCAGAGGGCTGGATCTGAAGCAAAGCAGCTGGGACTCGAACCAGCATTCTTAGAAGATGCTGGCATTGTAGGCAGCAGCTGTCTTGCTGCACCACAGTCCCAGCCCCTTACTATTCACTTTTCATAAGCCTGGTTAACTTATTGTTCTTAGGTAGCAGATTTCTCTCCAAATCAGGTACTCATTACTGTTGCAATGTCTTTTAGGATGCATATCATGAATGGAACAGGTGAAACTGTTTGAATGTAGGAGCCCATGAACCCAGCATGTCACCTCTTCACAACGATAACTGAGCAAGTTCCTGTGGCCTGCTGGTTACCCTTGTTGTGTCTCGTTTTTTCCTAGCGTTTCTACGGTCTGTGTTTCTACAGCTCAGTGCCGTGTTTCCTGCTTTGCTCCCCAGGCCAAGGTGAAGGATTGTTTGAACCAGCTCGAGTTGGTCTGGAAATGCACTGTGGGCCTGGAGCTTGAGTTTACCTCCGCAGAAGGTTGACATTTGTCTTCGCTTGCAGGTGTGGGCCCTGCCTCTGTGATGGTCGGGAATCTGGTTGCTGGAAAACGCATAGCACAAGCAGCAGGCAGGGATCTGGGGCAGATTGAAGAGAACGATCTGGTGAGGAAGGTGAGTGTTCCTGGAGTTGACCTTGGACCGAGCTCGCAGTGTAACGGACGGGGATGCCTAGTCGCCTTCTTCAGAGTTGCCGACCTTAGTCTTTTTTCTGCTTTATAACCGCAGCACCAGTTTCTGGCAGAGATCTTGCAGTGGCGAGCGCAGGCTACTCCTGACCATGTTCTCTTCATGCTGTTAAATGCCAAGGTATTACAATTTTTATTGTGTATCTAATAACCTGAATGCTGTGGAAGCATTTCAGTCACTCCAGATCTTCATCAGTAAATTAGTGTTGCCACCTCCGAGGGAAGAATCAGTGCCGTCTCCTCGCTCAGAACAGGAGGTAAATGGTGCAGTCACCAAGGTGCAAGGGAGACCAACCTTGCTTGCTATTTAATGGCTGTCTTGTATTACCACGAGATCTCTTTATTCAGTTCTGATAATGATGGGCTCTATGATGGAATTACAAAGGCAGACACATGGGTGGAACTCATTGTGTCATTACAGCTTTTTATCCAATTTGACTTTATTTTCTTAAAGGGGGATAATGATGGTCTTGATGACAACTTTTTTTGAAACATTTTTTAATTGTGAAGTCAGGTATACAGAGAGGAGAGACAGAGAAGTCTTCTGTCTGCTGGTTCACTCCCCAAGTGGCCACAATAGAAGGAGCTCAGATGATCTGAAGCCAGGAGATTCTTCAGGTCTCCCACACGGGTGCAGGGTCCCAAAGCTTTGGGCCGTCCTCGACTACCTTCCCAGGCCTCAAGCAGGGAGCTGGATGGGAAATGGAGCTACTGGGATTAGAACCAGCACCCATATAGGATCCTGGTGCATGCAATGCAAAAACTTTAGCCACTGGGCTACTGTGCTGGGCCCTCCATTTACTTTTAAAAATATATATCTTGGGCCCGGCGCGGTGGCGCAAGTGGTTAAGTCCTCGCCTTGCAACCCCGGGATCCCATATGGGCGCCGGTTCTAATCCCGGCAGCCCCGCTTCCCTTCTAGCTCCCTGCTTGTGGCCTGGGAAAGCAGTCGAGGACGGCCCAAAGCTTTGGGAACCTGCACCCGTGCGGGAGACCCGGAAGAGGCTCCTGGCTTCGGATCGGCATAGTATCGGCCCGTTGCGCTCACTTGGGGAGTGAATCATCGGACGGAAGATCTTCCTCTCTCTCTCCTCTCTCTGTACATCCGCCTTTCCAATGAAAAAATAATAAAAATAAATCTTTAAAAAAATAAAAAATAAAAAATAAAAAATAAAAAAAATATATATATATATCTTTACTTATTTATTTGAAAGGCATAGTAACAGATAGAGGGAAAGACAGAGATCTTCCATCCACTGGTTCACTCCCCAAGTGGCAACAGTGGACCAGAAGCTTTATTCCCTTCTCCCACATGGGTGCAGGGGCTAGCCACTTGTGCTTTCCCAGGTGCATTAGCAGGAGCTGGATGGGAATTGGAACAGCCAGGACTTGAACCTGTGCTTCAATGGGAGACAGTGACACCTTAAGCTGCTGCATAACAGTGCTTACCCCTCATTTATTCTGTACGCTCTACTAGTTTACCTTGGGTTATCCCAGCCCATCAGACATCTTAGCAGTCATCTGCTGATTCCAAGGATGTTGCTTTACTGAACTTCAGTTTGCTGCTGTACCATGAACCAAAAAGAGAATGTTGTAAGAAATGATCTTATGGCTGGCATTGTGGTGATTAGTATACACTGCCAACAGTGCCGGCATCCCATATGAGCACCAGGTCATGTCCCAGCTGCTCCACTTCCCAACCAGCTCCCTGCTTGTGGTCTGGGAAAGCAGTGGAGGATAGACCAAAGCCTTCACATTGTCTCAGCGCTGGCCATTGCGGCCACTTGGGAGTGAACCAGTGATCGGAAAATCTTTCTCTCTGTATCTTTGCCTTTCCAATAAAAATACATCAATCTTTAAAAAAAAAAAAGGGGGGAAGGAAAAATAAATGGTCTTACAAATGTAGCCCTGACCTGATGTCCAACAGAAAACTAGCTAAATGAATTATAGCACATAAACATGGTCAGATACTACATAGCCATTCCAGACAGTAGTGTGAAAGAATATTTGGTAATAAAAAAAAATTTTTAGCCATAATGTCTAAGTGGGAAAATAGGATGTGAAATGCAAAGAATTCAGTTCTTATTAAAGATCTTTGCGTTTCATAGCTTATGACAAGGCTGAGGTCATCCAGGCACAGGAGCCAAAGGGATCGTTAGTAACAGAGCTGGGACTTTAACCGTTTACTTTCACTTGAACCCTAATTGGATTTGGAATCTACTATTTTTTTTATGTTACATATGTTTGTATGAGTTTAAGAGGAAGAGAGGGTGCCAGGGTTATGGTACAGTACTACCTCACCAGCACCCCACATAAGCACCATTTGAGCCACAGCTGCTCCAATTCTGATCCGGCTCACTGCTGGGGAACTTGGGAAGCACCAAGATGACACAGGTGTTTCTGCCACCCATGTGTGACCTGGGTGGAGGTTTAGGCTCCTGGCTTTGACCTGGTCCCACCTGGCTGTTCTAGCCATTTGGAGAGTGAACAACAAAGTGGAAGGTCTTTCTCTCCATCTCTCTATATAACTGTGTCCTTCAAATAAATAAGTGAATCAGCGAGAGAGAAAGAGAGAGCCACCTCCCTTTTGCTGATTTGCTTTCCTATGGCTCACAACAGCTGGGCTGGGACAGACCAAGGCCATGAGCTGGAACTCAGGCTGAGTCTTAAGTGAAGGTAGGAGGGATGCAAATACTTCAACCATTACTTTCTCTCCTTCACTCTGTCAGTCTGCAAGGCAAATTTGTGTCAGATGCAAGGCAGAAACTTAGCCACTGAGACATCACGCCAGGCTCCAAGAGTGAGTGAGTGAGTGAACTTACTTATTTATTTATTTTTAAAGATTTATTTATTTTTATTGGAAAGACAGATTTACAGAGAGAAGGAGATACAGAGAGAAAAATCCTCCATCCGCTGGTTCACTCCCCAAGCATCCTCAACAGTCAGAACTGAGTTCATCCAAAACCAGGAACCAGGAGCTTCTTCTTGGTCTCCCACATGGGTGCAGGGTCCCAAGGCTTTGGGCCGTCCTCTACTGCTTTCCCGGGCCACAGGCAGGGAGCTGGATGGGAAGCAGGGTTGCCAGTATTAGAACCAGCGCCCATATGGGATCCTGGTGCATAAAAGGCAAGGACTTTAGCCACTAAGCTGCCGTGTAGTGGTGCTAGATGGGTTCTGATTGCTGTTTTTACTCACAGCTTTACTCTTAGCAAATACAAAGCCAGGTTTGTATTACGTGCTGCAATTGAGCATAACCACCCAGCAATTTTCATTTCTCTGGCCTCATTACTTTATTTCCATTAATTCACTCCACTCTTATTTCCTCCAAGGAAAATCCAAAAATTAGTATGTATTTTTTAAAATAAGATCCATTTATTAATTTCTGCCCAAGACAATGGCCTAGCAAGGTAAGACTGTGCCTGCAATACAAATATCCCATGTGGGTGCCAGTTCAAGTCTCTTTTGCTCCACTTCCCATCCAGCTCCCTGCCTGTAGCCTGGGAAAACTGTTGAGGATGGCCTAAAGCCTTGGAACCCTGTACCACCCGGAAGACCCAGAAGAGGCTCCTGGCTCCTGGCTTAAGATTGGCCTAATTCTGGCTATTGTGAACCACAGATAGAAGGTCTCTCTAACTCTGCCTTTTAAATAAATAAAGAGGAGCCAGTACAGTGGCTCAGTTGGCTACTCTGCCTGCAAGCACCGGCTTCTCAAATGTGTGCAATTCATGTCCACTCAGCTCCCTGCTCGTGGTCTGGGAAACAGGTAGAGGACGGCCCAAAGCCTTGGGAGCCTGCAGCCGCATGGGAGACCTGGAAGAGGTCCCTGGCTTTGGATGAGCTCAACTGTGGCTATTGCAGCCATTTAGGGAGGGAATCATTGGAAGGAAATCTTTTTTTCTCTCTTTGTTTCTATAATACTACCTTTCCAATAAATATTTAAAGAAGAAATGAGGTAGAATGACCCTTTTGTTTTAAAATCTTTGTTTGAAGGAGTTTCAGAGACGACAAGAGAAAAATCTTCTATCTGCTGTTTGACACCTCCACATGGCCTAAGTGACTAGGGCTGGGCAGGCCAAAGGCAGGAGCTTCTTCCAGGTCTCCCAGTCGCTGCATGGTCCAGTCACTGCACCTGCCTTCCTCTGCAGACCATTAGTAGGTAGCTGGAGAAGAGGTAGAACATCGGGACATGAGCCAGCACCTGTGTGGGATACGTGCATTGCAAGAAGCAGCCTAACTCAATACACGACAATGTCAATTCCTCTATTTTTCATGCTTACCTCAAACAAGAAGGGCTGAATGAATATGTCTGATTTAAGTTAATATTTCAAATCCTGGAGTCTATCAAGATATTTATTTAAAAAAAAAAAACCCGCATCTACATTTTGAGATGGGATTTTTCATGAGAATTGATAGCCTGCAGTTTACTGCCTTCCAAGCTTTGGTCTCTGAATCCTTTCTCCTGCTTGCAGGGAACTACAGTGTGCACAGCCAGCTGCCTCCAGCTCCACAAGCGAGCGGAGAGGATTGCCTCGGTTCTCAGTGACAAGGGACATCTGAATGCGGGAGACAACGTGGTGTTGCTCTATCCACCCGGTAAGTGTTGAGTGCGGAAGCTCAACTTTAAGCGCCATATTCAACAGCAGTTGACCAGAGGACAGGAATTCTGGCCCCTGCCATGACCACGTGGGCTGTGCGCCTGCCCATGAGAGGCCATGCTCATTGGCTAAGGGGTGAACCCAGCCTCATCTGCCACCTTGTGTGGCATGCAGGCTCCGCTGGATCTGCCCGTTCATCAGTGCCTGGCACAAACAAGGAACCCAGCAAATGTTACATGAATGCAAACCCTTGGCTCCCTGTTGTTTGGAAACCCTCAAAGAGATGCTTTGTCTCTCGGAGTGTTCAACAGTGGGACTGTTTGTTTCCAGACTAGCATTGTCCATGAATTCATTTGACTTCACATTTTTCATATCTTCATTGTTTAATAGTCCTCTATTATTCCTGTGTTCTACTTTCATGTGTTAATATAATTCACCAGCCTTCTTAGAGTAAGTCAGAATTACGTGGTAGCAGGCCAGTGTCCTGACACAAGGGGTTAAGCCCCCACCTGCGGTGCCAACACGTCATATTTGAGTGCCAGTTCTAGTTGCGGCTGTTGTGCTACAGCTTAGAAGGCAGTGGATGACAGCACAGACACCTGGGCCCCTGCCACACATGCGGGAGGGCTGGGTGGGGCTCCTGGCTTTGGCCTGCGCTGATGCAGCCATTTGAGGAGTCAACCAGCTATTCCCCTCCCTTCCCCTCTGTCTCTGACACCTTGTCTTTTATATAAATAAATCTTATAGAAAAATTATTTGCTCACAGTTGAGTGTAACTATTCAAAATTTAGGTAAAATAGTCGTTCCTTCATTTGCTCCTTCTATTACCAACCACTCATATGCCCAGCCTTCTGTGGTGGTTCTTCTCCTGACTTAATTGTATTGTCTTTTTGGGTGTGTGTGTGCCCTTTTATTTGCGTGGGTATTAAGATTTCTAAGAATAGTGTCTGGTGTAGGAAGCCCCTCCCACACACACACACATGCGTCTTCATCCGTCAGTGAATGACGTGATCGGGGACCAGAGCACTTGTGAGGAGGCCCCTCTCCTGCGGGCCGTGGCTCATCAAGCCGGGTACCCAGGCTGGAGTGAGGTCCGGCAGTGGTTTATGGATGTTTTCTAAAAGCTCAGTTGTTCCTCATCTCTCCTTTTCCCAGTTAAATATCCGTAACTTTTTTTGTTTTTGAAGGCTTATTTCTTTTTATTGCAAATACAAATTTACAAAGAATAGGAGAGATAGAGGGAAAGATCTGTCCACTGGTTCACTCCCCAAGTGGCCACAACAGCCAGAGCTAAGCTCATGCAAAGCAAGGAACCAGCAGCTTCTTCTTGGTCTCCCACATGGGTGCAGGGTCCCAAGGCTTTGGGCCGTCCTCTACTGCTTTCCCAGGCCCCAGCAAGGAGCTGGATGGGAAGTGTAACAGCCAAGGCACAAACTGACACCTATATGGGTTGCCGGCACTTACAGGTAGAGTTGAGAGTTAGTCAGCTGAGCCATCATGTTGGCCCCAACATCTATAACTTTTCTACTTCTACAAAATAAATAATAAGGCCAATCACGTTGGCTCACTCGTAAAAATTCTCACCTGCCAAGCACCAGGATCCGATATGGTGCCATGTCCTGTCCCAGCTGATCCACTTCCCACGTAGCTCCCTGCTTGTGGCCTGGGAAAGCAGCAGAGGATGGCCCGAGTGCCTGGGACCCTGCACCCGTGTGGGAGACCCAGAAGAGGCTCCTGGCTCCTGGCTTTAGATCAGCACAGCTCCGACCGTTGCGGCCCATGGGGAGTGAACCAATCTATGGAAGACCTTTCTCTGTCTCCTCTCTCTGTAAATATGATATGCCTTTCCAATCAAAATAAATATATCTTTTAAAAAAACAAATAGTATTACTAAGAACTTCTTTAGCTATGTCTTAAAAGTTGACTTATTGTTTCCTTTCTCCTCATTCATTTTTGTCATCCCCATTTTTAGAGTTGTTGGGAGTGTTGTTGTTCCTCACTGCCTGCTGTGAAATCATGCCCTGTGTCTCCATCTGGCACAGGATATAGTAAGCTGCTCCTGGCAGTCCCAGGCAGTGACGAGGCTCTTGTGTCTTGCAGGCATCGAGTTGATCACTGCGTTCTACGGCTGCCTGTATGCGGGGTGTATACCCGTGACCGTGCGGCCGCCTCACGCTCAGAACCTGGCCGCCACCTTGCCCACGGTCCGCATGATCGTTGATGTAAGTACCAGCCAGATCTTGTCCTCATCTCAGAAAATCTGCCAAGCCAGGCTCATTCTCCAGTCTTCTTGGGAAGTCAGCTTTGCTTCCTGAAAGCTGTGTGCCTTTCCTTGCTTGGCTCGCTGTGGCTGGGATCACCCCGTGCAGGCGTTCTGGGAGCGTGCTTAGTGGTGAGATACAGACGTGATGCCCCCTTCGTGAACACTAAGGGGGTGAGACCTGAGGAAACTCCCCATGAAGCTGGGCTCCCCACTCCTAGAATGTACATATAAAACTGATTTTTATTTTTCCACACACTGAATGAATTGATTTTTTTAATGCCAGACTCCTGACTTCCTCCAACGTCAGACCGCTTTTGGAGGGCTGGTTTTGTAAATTCACTTGGCATAGCATTAAATGGGAGGCAAATGCTACTCTGAGATCAGACGAGATCGGGCGCGTTCAGGGCCGTATGGCCGTAGACGCAAATCCTGCTCTGAAGATGGTAGAAATTTGTCTCTCACGTGAGAGTGAAAGGAGGAAAGGGAAGCTTGTATTCTGTCACACCCTAATCGTCCTTTAAAGTGAAGGCCAGCCACGGCCAGTGGACTGAGAGTCACAGAATTGCAATTTGTGCGACATTAGCCTGTCTCAGCGCTGCCGCTGTGTCAGCAACACGAGCCTGTGGCACAAGAGCATGCTCACCATAAATAAGTGTGTTACAGGGTTTGATTCAGCAAAATGCCCTTTTCCTATTCTTCTCAGTGGGCCGGAGTAGCCTGCCGTGATGCTCTTTCTTGAGTGTGCTCTGTCAGTGTGGTTTGTATGGCGAGTAGGTCACATGGGCAAGTGCAGCTGTCCAGCACAGAGGCTCCGGGAGCGCTGTCTGCGTGAGTGTGGCTCACGGTCCGTGGGCGCCCTCCAGCTTGCACACCTCCCTGGGCGCTGACTCTTCCACGCACAATTTTCTGGCTTCCCTCGTTGCCCGAGCACCACAGGATCCATGTTACAGTCTTGGGATGTGGCACCCCGACAGAGATGACAACTGAGAAATGTTTGAGAATCTCTGCTGGAAACGATAACTTGGGTTGTCAACAAGTCCGTTGTTCTGAGACAACGATATACTGCACAGTTCCAGGAGAGATGGAAGCAGGAAGCACGCACCTCCTTGCCCTGCGTGTGCTTCCCGGTCCGTGGGGTGTCACGGAGGCCGGCACTGCTCGGTGTGAGGGCTGTGGCAGTGGCTGTTCTTAGCAGCTGCAGCTGGTGGTGCCCATCAGGACCGAACCTCTGACACACGGTGCCCCCCACTCGTTCTCCAGGTCAGCAAAGCAGCCTGTATTCTCACCACTCAGACCCTGCTGAGGCTGCTGAGGTCCCGAGAGGCGGCGGCAGCTGTGGATGTGAAAACCTGGCCCACCATCCTCGACACAGGTAAGACGGGACCAGTGCGGCTGCTCAGAGAACAGGAGCGCTCACTGCCGAGAGCTCCCGGCTTCTCAAGCAGGAGTGTACACACATCTTGTGTGTCACTGCATGTTCCGTGTGCCTAGACAGAAAGAAGCACACCTGAAATCCCGTCGCCTACTGCCAGAGACCCCGATCACGTGCACTAGAGGCTCTCTCAGCATGCTGGATCGCTGCATTTCTTGGCACCACTGAAAGTGATTAGTGGGGCCCAATGTGGTAGCCCAGTAGCTAAAGTCCTCGCCTTGCATGCGCCAGGATCCCTTATGGATGCCGGTTCTAATCCTGGTGGCTCTACTCTCCATTCAGCTCCCTGCTTGTGGCCTGGGAAAGCAGTCGAGGATGGCCCAAAGCTTTGGGACCCTGCACCTGCATGGAAGACCCGGAAGAGGCTCCTGGCTTCAGATCAGCTCAGCTCCGACTTTTATAGCCACTTGGGGAGTGGATCAGCAGACAGAGGATAATCTCCTCTATCTCTCCTCCTCTCTGGATATTTGACTCTCTGATAAAAATAGATTTATCTAGAAAGGAACAAAGAAAGAAGGGAGGGATGTGACTGTGTGCAGGAAGAATCATACGAATTTTTTTTTAATTATTTTTTTAATGCGGTGCAGGGTCCCACGGCTATGGGCCATCCTCGACTGCCTTCTTTTAAGGAATCCTGGCAGATGCAAGGCGAGGACTTTAGCCACTAGGCTACCACACTGGGCCCTGGATCATACAAAATATGATCTGTTCCTTCACTTCTATGTGTGATGTAGTTGAAGCAAAATTGGACTGAGATCAGAAGGTCTGGGTTTTTGTCTGAGCTCCATTACTTATTGTGAGCATGTCCCTGATTGAAATTCTTTCCTAAAATACTGCTTACCCCTATCTGACTCTCAGGTTTACCAAGATCAAATACAAGATAATACGGGAATGCTTGAAAAATCTCAAAGCACTGAGTGTTAGTTGGAAAGGTAGGGGCGTGGATAACGTAAGACAACTATTTGGAGACTCGGTGGTATAACAGTGGAGGTTCTAGAGTCAGACCTATAGGGCGTTCATCCTAATATCTGCTACTTTCTGAGTATCACTTACTAACCTGGGCAAAACTGTAAGATGGGAGTTATAAAGATGAAATAATGTAGAGCAGGGTAGCATGTGAGCACAACAACAGCATCCTAGGAAAAATACAAAAATAATATACAAAGAGAACAGTGGTACCCAACTGTTACTGAGCCCTGGTGACATGCTGCCCATTTAGCATGGACTATTTAGCATGTTCCTTACAACAAACCTCTGAGATGCTATTTTTTAATGTGCTTACATTTTAATCTAAATTTTTTAAGGTTCTTATTATTTTTTTTATTTTTAAAGACACAATGACTGAGACAAATAGAGGCTGGGAAATATCCCATCTCCTGATTCATTCCCAAGTGCCTGCAATAGCTCATCCGAGCAAGGCTGGAGTCGCACGCCAAGGACTCAGTTGAGGTCTGACATGTGGGTGGCAGGGGCCCAAGCCCTGAGCTCCGTCGCAGGGTATCAAAGCAGGAAGCTCAGTCAGAAGCAGAGTGTCAGGGCTGGACCTGATGATACAGCATGCCAGCCATTGCGGCCGCTTGCGGAGTGAACCATCGGGACGGAAGCGCTTCCTCTCTATCTCTCCTCCTCTCTGAATTTCTGCCTTTCCAATAAAAGTAAATAAATATTTTTTTAAGCTACAACTGATATTCATACACCAGCAATGTATTTCCTACCATGTTAGGTTACCCCTTAGTAAAATTGTATTTGTTAAAGAAATTTATGTGATGTAAATTTGCTTGCTTGTATGAGGTTACTTCCAGCAAGCATTGGGACTGGGGGGTCAGGGTGTACCATTGTGGCATAGCTGGTGTAACGACTGCTTGCAGTGCTGCCGTCCTGTATCTGTGTCAGTTTGAGTCCAGGTATGTGGGCCTGCCACCCATGTGGGAAACTCAGATGGAGTTCCTGGTGGCTGAACTCTGCCGGGGCTGGCCCTGGCTGCTGTGCCATTGAGAAATGAACCAGGGGTCGATGTGATGGCTCAGCTGGCTAATCCTCTACCTCCAGCATGGCATCCCATATGGGCACTGGTCCATGTCCTGGGTGCTCCACTTCCCATCCAGCTCCCAGTTTGAGGCCTGGGAAAGCAGCAAAAAATGGCACAAAGCCTTGGGACCCTGATCCCAAGTGGGAGACCTAGAGGAGGCTCCTGGCTCCTGGCTTCAGATTGGCTGAGCTCTGGCTGCTGTGGCCATTTTGGAGTGAAACAGTAAATGCCAAATCTTTCTCTCAGTCTCTCCTTTCTGTAAGTTTGCCCTCCCAATGAAAATATACACATCTTTTAGAAAAAGAAGAGTGTGAGAGAAGTGAGCCAGCAGATGGAAGCTCTCTTCATCTTTTTTAGTTTGTGGGAAAATGAATTTAAAAATAAGCATATATTATTGTAAAAAAAAAAAAGAGAGAGAGAGAGAGAGTCTATGGGTACTGTCTCCATTGTACACATTTCCCGTGACCTTTGTGAGTACCCGTTTTGACCATTGATGTCCTCAGCGAGTGTGAGCTGCTTGTTAGGTGCTAGCCCTGCCCATCACCCTGCCCAGAGAGCTTGCCGAGGAGCGGTGTGTTCATGTCCCAGCCTGTCTGTTGATGTGTCTGTGTTTTTCGTTGCAGATGATTTACCCAGGAAGAAGCTGCCTCAGCTCTATAAGCCCCCCACCCCCGAGATGTTGGCCTATCTTGACTTCAGCGTTTCCACCACTGGCATGCTTACAGGAGTGAAGGTAAAGTGATCCACAAGTGTGCATTCATTGCATGCTGGGAAAACACCAGGCCTGCAGAAAACAGAGCTGGCACTGAGCCCAAAGCCTGCAGCTGCGGAGGCCACACGCTTGACCAGAAACCAGCAGGCAGAGGAACAAGGGTCCCTACTATATTTAAACGCAACCATGACCTCTTCTGTAGTAACTTATGCCAAGGAATTTGTATGAAATTTGTCTGAACCTTGCATAAAAGCCAGCAGACAAGAGTTCAAGTTAAAATCAATACAAAGCCATAGATTTGTATATCGTAAAAATCTGTGGGAACTAATGAGCAGAATGTTACCTTAATGTAGACCTAGCTGCAGTAGAAGCCATGCCTCGCTTTGAGGTGTCTGGGGAGTGGGAGCTTCTCCCAGCTGTCCGTGGTGACCTCTCCCTGCCTGTGGGACATCCGCTCCATGCTGTGCTGTGTGCTTGTCTTCCAGATGTCCCACTCTGCAGTCAACGCTCTGTGCAGAGCCATCAAGCTCCAGTGTGAGCTGTACTCTTCTCGGCAGATCGCCATTTGCCTTGACCCTTACTGTGGACTTGGCTTTGCACTCTGGTGTCTCTGCAGGTAGGGCTGGACAAGCCAGAGAAAACAGAACGTGTGGGGGAGCTCTGGGGCCATAACCATCATATCCTTCTCTTTACTCTTTGGGTCTGGTAACATTTTAGTGCAATGCTGACACCTCAGAATTTACCTACCTAGTTGTTACAGATGTTTGTTTGTTTCTGTCCGTGTTCTCCTTTCTTCTCCTCTGCTACTAGTTTTACGCTTGGTTACGGAGTGGCAGTGATGCTGTTACCTGCTGTCCACTCCATCTTGTAATCCTTGGTATGGAATCACAGCCAAGGAGAAGGATACCTGGAGGAAATATGTCCTGCTTTGGCAGCCAGGACGTACCCCCAAGGCTTGGCAGGAGAGAGCACAGTGGAATGAAAAGCGTGTTGGGCTGTGGAGAGCAGTACATTTGCCTCAGCCAGGTTGCCCCTTGCAGAAGAACAGACCCCAGAGCCCTCCTCTGCTCCAGGAGAGCTTTTACTCACTCCTGCATTTTGTCCTCACTCCTGAATTTGAGGTGCCTCACAGTTCCTCAGCGCATCCTTCATTGTTCGGCTAGCAGTGTTCACCAAAAACCCAAACGAAAAACTAGAGCATTACCTCTGGCTCTGGGTCTTTCTCTCCCGCAGTGGCTGCACAAGGGACGAGCATTGGCACAGTGGGTTAAGCCACCAACTGTGACACCATTACCCCATATGAGCACAGGGTCAGATTCTTGGCTACTCTACTTCCAATCCATCTCCTTGCTAATGTACCTGGGAAGACCATGGAAAATGGTGCTTGCCCTAATTCCAACTACACAGGAGGCCCAGATGGAATCGCGTGGCCTAGTCCCAGCCCTTGCAGCCACTGAATCAGTAGGTGGGAGATTTTATGTGTGTAACTCTTTCAAACAAATAAATAAAAAAATTTTAAAGATTTACTTACTTTTTATTGGAAAGTCAGATAGTACAGAGAGAAGGAAAGACAGAGAAGATCATTTTCCGTCTGACAATTCACTCCCCAGGTGGCCGCAACGGCCTGAGCTGAGCCGATCCGAAGCCAGGAGCCAGGAGCTACTTCTGGGTCTCCCATGTAGATTGCAGGGTCCAAGGCTTTGGTCCCTCCTCAACTGCTTTCCCAGGCCACAAGCAGGGAGCTGGATGGGAAGTGGAACCGCCAGGATTAGAACCAGCGCCCATATGGGATCCTGGTGTGTGTAAGGCAAGAATTTTAGCCAGTAGGCTACCACACTGGGGCCCTGAATAAATAAATCTTTTAAAAAATAAAAATTATCTGCAGACCAGACAGGATGCAAAGACGCTATTGCTGTAGTTCCCATGCCCATTCTTTTTCCTTGCTGGCCCACTCTTCCCGAAGCAGTGCCCGTGTGTGTGTGTGTGTGTGTGTGTGTGTGTGTGTGTGTGTGAGTATTATTTTCCTCTCCATTTAAATGAATCTTATCACTTTGTCGGGATTTCGGTGATTTGGCCAGTGGGCTATACTTTGTCTTGTGCAGTGCTGGCATCACATATGGGCATCGGTTCAAGTCCTAGCTGCTCTACTTCCAGTCCAGCTCCCTGATACTGTGCCTGGACAAGCGCTGGGACATGGCCCAAGTGCTTTAACTCCTGAACGCCTGTCAGAGTCCTGGAGGAAGCTCCTGGCTTTGGCCTGGCCAGCCCACACCATTGCAGCCGTTTGGAAAGTGAGCCACTGACTAGAAGAGCTCTCTGCCTCTGCCTCTCAGAGATGCCATTTTTTAAATAAGTAAATTGAGCTTTAAAATAAAGTAGTAATAATAATAACAGCAATACTGCAACTGCCTTTTGGATCGCGTGTAAAATCCCCTCGTATTGCGGTTTACTTCTCACCCTCCTGGCCTGCCTCACCCTCGCTCAGCCATGCGCCCTGCAATCCGAGTACTGGTTTTGACAGCCTTGCACACTCCATACTTCCCAGCCTTTGTGTGTGCATCTCCTGGCTGGAGCCACACCCCTCCATCCCTGCTCCCGCCCATCACTGTCCATTCCCCACTCATCGTCCACAGCTCAGCCCAAGTGTCGCCTACTCAGTGAAGCACTGTCACCCCCCACCCCCGGCCTGGCTTTCCCAGCTTGAATGAATTGCTCTTTATTCTGTGGTCTCAATGTCCTTTATTCACATCCTGGGTACCACACTTACTGCAGCCTGCTTTATTTTATAATACCCATGCCTTGTAGTTTGCATAAAAACACAGCTAGTTCTCAGACCCCTCCACCTGTTAGGACCTTAACACTGTCCTTCAGGTTTAGTTACTGTTTGTGGAACTGATGCTGTTCTGGTGACTAGGATGAACCATTAATGTCCACTCCTGCCTTTCTTCGTTGCAGCGTCTATTCAGGCCACCAGTCCATCCTAATTCCTCCCATGGAGTTAGAAAACAACCTTTTTCTCTGGCTTGCTACTGTCAACCAATACAAAATAAGGGATACTTTCTGCTCCTATTCGGTCATGGAGCTCTGCACGAAGGGGCTTGGAAACCAGGTGGAGGTGCTAAAGGTAAGAAGCAGCTGCTACCACAGGTATTAAGGGATTTTAAAGAACTGGGCCAGGGCTTAGTAACCGCAGAGTGGGGGTTGCCATCAGGGCAGTGGGTGTTCCACAACTTCAGGAAGAGTACCTCTCCCACCATTCTAATGCAATGCTCTTTCAGAATTTAGTATGACTGTGCAGAAGGTTAGGAGTGGCATTAATAAAAAGATAGAAGGAAGCTGTGGCTTCCAGTATAGGTTTTCTCCATTAGAATTTGAAACTTGAGGATAGTAGTTGTTGGAGCCTGCCTCCAAGATCAGAATAGCCTGTGTCTGTAGCAGTCGTGTGTATAGCAGCGTGTGAAACTGCCTGAATATACTCACTGTTCTTTGACAGAGAAGTAGCCCCTTACGGATGGAAAACAAGGAAGATAAGAGGCCTAGAGTTCTAAGTTTATTTTCACCTCAGTCCCATTTAATAGGGAGAAATCTAAGGTACAGAAAAACATCAGCATTTACTATTGAAGAGCCTGAGATTTTTATATGAAAGAGGAAGGACAGAGACGATGAGCAGGTGACCAGCAGGTACTGATGTCTTACCTCTCGTGCTCTGCTGAGAGCAGCCTCTCTCTGTGTAGCCAGGGTGGTTTTCCTGACCCCAGAGAGCAGGGAGCCTTCCTGTGCAGTTCCTTGGTCTGCTGACCTCAGCCTGCGCACGTGGGTGTCTTGCAGACGAGGGGGATCAATCTTTCGTGCATCCGCACCTGTGTGGTGGTGGCAGAGGAGCGGCCCCGCATCGCGCTGCAGCAGTCCTTCTCCAAGCTGTTCAAGGACATTGGGCTGTCCCCGCGGGCCGTCAGCACCACCTTCGGATCGAGAGTCAACGTGGCCATATGCTTACAGGTGATGGTCCTGAGGTCCTGTGGGCTCACTCATGGGGAGAGCGGAATGCTCTGGAACACAGGCGCGGAAGGCAGACCCCGGGCCTTTGTCTTGACATGTGTGTATGTGGTTTGTTCCACTGTAAAAAGAAGAAATGGGCACTCTAGTTGACAGGGCTGCCCTGGCACGCTGGCTGCTGGGTCAGAGCGGTTGGCACCCTGCTAGCAGCTAGGACCAGGTCAGAGTGAACCCTGCAGGTTGTCGTCATATCGTCCCTGGGGGTGAATCAAGAACATGTGCGAGTCTTACTCAGATTTTCTTTCTAACCTTCTGTTGCTCTATCTTTTTTATTTGCTTTTTACCCCCAACAAAATACAAATAAGCCTATATTCCCTTCTCTGGCCAGATCCCAACTTTGCCATGTTATTCTTGGCAGGTAAATAACCAAAAAGGGATTAGAAGTGAGTCTGACTTTATGTAGCTTGGAGGGCTGCTCTCCTGTCGTTGACAGCTACTGCGCCTTGCTCAGTGGAGAAAAAGTGAGCGTTCAGGACACAGCTTGACTCTTCACGAATGCAGCTAAGCTCTCTGTTCCTGGATTTTAAATGAACGATGCATTGGTTTCTTTTTCTTTAGGGTACCTCGGGGCCCGATCCGACTACCGTATACGTGGATCTGAAATCACTGAGACACGACAGGTATAGGGGGTTCACTGTGCGCAGCCCTGTGGGGTCCCCAAACACAGCACACTTTGAACTCAAAATCAGCATTTTCCCTGCCTCCTTTTAGGATTTTGTCTCCCAGGAAGCATATGGGGAAAAGGGAAGGAAGTCCTTTTTATTGTGAACAACTGATAAGGTATAGGTTTATAGCAAGAAAGTTCTAATGCTCACAGTTGCTATACATTTTTTTTTCTTTAGAATTTTTTTTTTCAAGTTGCAGCAAAAAAACTTTTATTTCCATTTGTTCCACTTGTTTGAGAGGGCTCCAGGGGCAGTTAACAAGCTGCCTGATGGCTGAAGACATCAGCGGATGCATCTCCTGTGGCTGCTGGGCTCCGCCACCCCTAGTTAAGCTTCAGAGTAAAGATTTATTTATTTTTATTGGAAAGTCAGATATACAGAGAGGAGGACAGACAGGGGAAGATCTTCCCTTCGGTGATTTATTCCCCAAGTGGCCGCAATAGCCAGAGCCAAGCCAGGAGCCTGGAACCTCTTCCAGGTCTCCCACGTGGGTCCCAAGGCTCTGGGCCTTGGTTGCTTTCCCAGACCATAGGCAGAGAGCTGGGTGGGAAGCAGCCAGGACACAAACTGGCGCCCACATGGGGCCACAGCACGTGTAAGGTGAGGACTTTAGCTGCTAGGCCACCGCCCCAGACCCAGCAGTACTTAGTTTCTGCCTTTGCAAAAATATTTTGTGACATTTGACACAAGTTAAGATGAATAGACTCTTTCCGCTAAGAGCTTACACGTGTAAGATGGGACAGGTGCAGTAACCGAGGCAGAGTGGAGGTTCTGAAACAGCACTGTATCTGAGCAGTGTGGGGAGAGCCTGCCTCCGCCCCCAAGGCTTGAGGAGGAAGCACCCCAGTGTGGAGCAGGCTGAATGGGTGTGGCCTAGGCCCTGCAGCACCGCACCCCTCCCTGCGCTGTTCCTACATGCACCCCCACCCCACCCACGGGAAGTCTGACAAAGTCTAGAAGCATTTTGATTGTCACAACAGAGAGGTTTTTGAGTAGAGCTTGTGGATGTTGCCAGGTATCCCGTGATGCTCAGGGTTGCCCATATGACCAAAGTGGCCTGCTCCAGACCTTGTAGTGCTGAGTTTGGGGAGCCCTGCTCTAGTGTGGGAGGCCTCAGGGAGACAGTAGAGCACCTCAGCTGGCTGGTGGGTTCACTTCTACAAGGCCTGAAAACAGAAACACTCTTCTCCCACAGGGTCCGTCTGGTGGAGCGGGGCGCCCCCCAGAGTCTGCTGCTCTCGGAATCTGGAAAGGTAATTGGGTCTGTGAGCCCTTGGGAAGGCCAGCCGGCTGGACACATGGTTCAGTTTAAAGAAACCTGCAGTCAGTTCATGTGTTAGAATGCAAAACAAGGCTTAGCTGGAATCTGGAAATAAACCAACTTCTTTAGCTTAGCTGATACTTTCAGATCCATACAGACCCAGAAAGAATAATACTACATCTGACCTTTTTCAGTTTCCATAGACTTGTTTAAAAATGCAGCTGACATGGCCAGCAACATGCAGTGTTCCTCATGCGCAAGGTGTGGCTAGGTGAGCTATACCAGACGACGTGTGCATGCACTGCTCAGCATCCACAGCAGCTTCCCATGCCTGAGCCCACACAGCAGCCACACTGAGAATCCTGGAAGGCAGAGAGGAAGCAGGGAATCCTGCCGAAACCACCCAGTAGTGTGTCAGCACCATGGCGACATCTGCCGTTTGAACTCTACGGAGGGCTAAGGTTGATTTCTTGTCCGGGCCAGTCTCCCTGTGCCTCCCTTAGCATCAGTTGCACCCCAAGACATGACACAATCCCATGCAGTACCTGGCTCAGACTAGAGGGGGCAGGCTCTGCCTTTTATTTCCTCGAGGAAAGATGTTGGATTTCTGAACCCAGGCCTTCATCTTGGGGCTTTCCAGGGAGCTTCACTCATTTGGAATCAAGCTTGAAGGCAGAGCGGGGTGACCAGGAAGCTCTTCTTCCTCTTAGGCCCTGAGCATCCTCTCTCCCGGAACTGGGTTCTTGCTTTTCCCTTCTGAGGAGGATCCCAGGCGGGTACTAAACCCCTCTGTCTTAGGGAACACCAGCTGAGGTCAGGAATGCAGCTTTTCCAGCTGTGCCTCCTACAGCCATTTCTGTTAGAAGGTGTTTTACTGATAAAATCTCAGTGATTTCTCAAGAAAGACCACAAATAAGGGAAGTGGTATGTTTGAGTTGTATGAAGACTTACCGATGCCGTCCTCATGTGCAGGGGTTTGTCCTGTAAATGGACGATTAGCTGCTTTCCTGTCTTATTTTCGAGCATGGGTCTGATTAGACAGCTAGTCTCCCGAGCAGGCACAGGTGTGTTGGCTGTCCCCTCAGCATAGCCGTGCTGCGTAGCTCCTGCACCCCCAGCAGCTGACCCTGCATTTCCTGTAGGCCGGTGGATTTGACTAAGCCTGATCATTTTTGTGTTTGCATCCGTAGATTTTACCTGGAGTGAAAGTGGTTATCGTTAATCCCGAGACCAAAGGCCCCGTTGGCGACTCCCACCTGGGAGAGGTGTGTACGCTTCTCACGTCTGCCCTGCGGAGTCCGCAGGGTGCACGCTGCAGGAGCTGACAGAGCGCGGAGCTAGCTTTTCCTAACTTGTAAACTGAGTTCATCTTTTCCTGTAAGGCCCAAGGCTGAAATGGACAAAGGGGGGCGAGGGAGATGAGGATCAAGGGGAGACTGAGGCACACGAATGAGAACCAGGCCCAGATCCCCCGACTGCCGTGCTCCCAGCCCGAGAGGAAACGGGCTGCCGGACACGGTGGGACTGAAGAGGGCCGTGTCCATCGTCGCCTTGACGCTTCATGCCCGTGCGGTTTCCCAGAATGTATCCGCTTTTGAGTGGAGCGTAAATACAGCCGCTGGGCGACCGAGGCTCTGCCAGTCACAGTATCCCAGTGTTGGACCAAGTTGCTTAACCTCCGGGCCTAGGCCTTCCTCCTCAGCCAATAGCAGCAGTTCCCTCATCGCCCCCTCAGTGACAGTAAGAGTTAACACTGATCTTACTGCACCTTTGGAGTTGTGGACAGCAGCCCAACAGGGAGGCATCCGTGCTCCAGTTAGATTCGGCCTGCTCATGACCTCTGGAGGCCTTCGCAGGCTCTGAGAGCCGGTGAGCAGTAAGCCAGGGAGGCCGCGGAACACGGCTGTGCGAACGTGAACTTCATTGTCGCGTACAGCACAAGTTAGGCACGTGAAATACATACATCTGTGTTCAGTGCATGGTAAACACCTGGTGAATGCCCACTGCCTTACTATTCACAGTTTTATTTGTCAATACAAAAAAATGTGATCCAAAAAAGTCAAAGTACTCTGTCCCAAGAGGGTTGACTTGCCTTAGTTGTACCTTGTGGTGAGACGTCTCCCCTCCCCGCTTTTGTAGATTTGGGTGAACAGTCCGCACACGGCCAGTGGCTACTACACCATCTATGACAGCGAAACTCTTCAAGCTGACCATTTCAACACTCGCCTCAGCTTCGGGGACGCCGCCCAGACACTCTGGGCCCGGACAGGCTACCTGGGCTTTGTCCGCAGGACAGAGCTCACAGCTGCCACCGGAGGTACCGTCCACTGCACCTTCGCACTCTGTGGTGCTGTGTGTGTGCGTGCGCGCGTGTGGGTGTGTGTGTGAGGTGACCACCTTCTGTGGCCCCTGAGCGCACACTGGATGGAGATATGCTATAAATGACACACTGTCCTAGGAAGTGTGTCTAGGAGAGGTGCCCTGGGGCCACCGCCGGTGCAGCCTGAGCCCTGGGTTGGAACGGCCGGCAGGAGTACTGCTGTGCCTGGTGGGAGAATTACTCCCGGCAGGACGAAGCCCTGGTCCTGGTGGGCCTGCATCCCAACCCTGCACAGGTTCCCCAGACAGGCGTTGCAGCTTTTTTTTTTTTTTTCTCCTATGTGCCGTTTGAGCACAGGAGCAGCCCTGCTCCCTGAGAAACTGTCCTGCTAAAGCTCGCCCTGCCCCTCCAGGTCTCCTGCTGGACACAAGCCTGCTTTGGGGCAGGGTTCTGGTGTGGGGAGTCCCTGCAGCTGCCCTCTGCCCCTCTGACTGCCACAGGCTCGCTGCTGTCTGCTTTCAGCATTTCTCTTTACTGCCATTAGCAGCCATTTAAAAATTCCCCACAGGAAATGTGCCATGCACACTGGTGCAAATAACCCCCTGGGTTCAAAAGACCTGAACTGGACCAGGCTGCTCCTTAGCTCCCACATCTGCTCTGTGCTGGCCAGCATCCTCCATTCGCCACCTTCAGGGGTGGGGAGGAACCCAGGGTGAGACAGTAGAGACTAGGGCGCCCTTCCTGCCTCATGCCTTGGGCAGCCGTTGGCCATGCGACCTTGAGTAATCTAACCTTTGTTGCCTGCGGGGTCCTGGGAAGGTCTGTGTTGGCTGCCTCGTGCTGGCGACCTGAGGCCTGTGCGTGCCGACGCTGATTGCAGCTGCTGTTTCAGGGACTATTGGTCCTGTGGCGGCAGCCTCTGCCAGACCTCCCCATCCTTTTCTCTCGGATTGTTCCTATCACATCTTGTTAGATTTTCCAGAAAACAAAACAAAACCATTTCCTATGTCCTGCCTGGGTCACGGACCTGTGGATAGTGGATAAGCAGTTCTAGTCCCCACCTCTGAGCAGCCCGCTTCTTGCAGCTCAATTCTCTGTGAACTCCCAGAGCCAGTGACTCCGCGTATCTCTCCCTCGCAGCAGCATCAGGCTGATTCCTGGTTCTGCCCGGCTCAGCCTGGCATCAGCTTTTCCTCTGCCTCCCTGAGGGAGCTCCCAGTGCTCCAGGCACAGAGGGATGTGCCTCAGGGACAGGCAGCCCCCGCTGGCTTCTGAAACATCCTTCTCTGCACTTTCTGTCAGAGCGGCACGACGCCCTGTATGTGGTGGGAGCGCTGGATGAGACGCTGGAGCTGCGGGGCCTGAGGTACCACCCCATCGACATCGAGACGTCCGTGTCGCGGGTCCACAGGAGCATCGCTGAGTGGTAATCTGCGGACTGCCGACCGCGGCCCTGGTCCAGCTAGCTGTCTGTGCACACAGGAGGGAGGGAATAGAGACAGATTGTCACCTTGGGTGCACGGTCTCTTGTGGCCACTGAGGCCTCTTCACAGGAGCCAGCTGAGGCCACACATGCCCTGGAGCTCGGTTTGTTTGTTTTTTCTTTTTTCCCCACCGTGTGATCCCTAATGGATCATCTGTCCAGAAGGCAGTGCACACTGGGGAAAGAACTGTGACTTTGAGGTCAGAGATCCCAGTGGAAGACAGCCTTGCCACAATGCTTCCTCATCCTGAATCCCCCTCGTATCCCTCCTGAGTCCCACAAGGCTCCCTGGGGTCTTTACTTTGTAAGCTGTGAGAGGTGGGCAATGCAGAGGAACAGCGTCTTCCCTCGTCAGCTTGCCCTGGCGTTGCAGGGTCTTGCTTTGCGGGAATGATCCACTAAATGTCCCTCAATTAAAACCTTAGATTTTAAGAATTTAACTGGAAAGGCAGATCAGATTTATGTAGAGAAGGAGAGACAGAAAGATCTTCCATCTGCTGGTTCACTCGCCAAATGTCCTTTAATGGCTGCAGCTGAGCTGATCCAGAGCCAGGAGCTTCTTCCGGGTCTCCCACACGAGTGCAGGGTCCCAAAGCGGGGTCCTCGACTGCTTTCCCAGGCCACAAGCAGGAAGCTGGGTGGGAAGTGGAGCAGTTGGTGCACAAACTGGCACCCATATAGGATCCTGGCGCTTGCAAGGCAAAGATGTAGCCACTGAGCCATTGCACTGAGCCCAAGCAAATTTTACCTGTTGAAATTATCTCTTTTTCTCTCAAAGATTGCTTCATCTGAAAGGTAGAGTGACGGGGGAAAGAGAAGGTTCTACTATCATTGGGTCACCCTCAAATACCCACAGCAATTTGGAGCCCAGAACTCCTCTGACTCTCCCTCTCACATAGGGGCAAGTGCTAGGGTCAAGTGCTTGAGTGTGGCTGTCCCAAGCAGTGGCTGGAACTACTAGACCACAACACCTTCCCCAGTGTCTTCAATACATATTCAAGTTAGTGAATTTGTCCTCAGGCTGAAAAACCTCAGTTCTTGCAAATGAATGCCCATGCCTTCCAGGTACTTCTTTGTCTGCCGCGTTCTTGATTGGAACCCCCAACTGTCATCCCCTAGACCAGAGCAGTACTGGCCAAGCTCAGAACCTTGTTAGACATCTAGACACTGGACACCAGGAAGCATCTGAGACGGGCTGCCTAGCTGTGAGAGACACTGCAGAGAATCTAATTTCTGACATTCTACTTTTAATGCAGCCAAATATTTTGCACAGTATTCTTTGACTATTATTATGTTTTTTAAAGTAGCTGAACATTACACAACACGAATTAAGTCCGATCTCGTAACCCAGTAACCCTTCTTGGTGTGAGTGACTGGCTTGTGATGCCTGTCATACAATGAGACACTTGTGGGCAGTAATAGCTTATATCAGATTTCCTTCAGTTGTATTTGTGATTATTCTAATCTGCTCCATTTCTGATCCTGCTTCCTGCTAATGCATGTGGGAAGGCAGTGGATGGTGGCCCAAATACTTGAACCCTTGCACCCAAGTGGGAGACCTGGATAGAGTTCCTGGTTCCTGGTTTGCAGCCTTTTGGAAGTAAACTGGCAGATGAAAGGCATTCATTCATTCATTCATTCATTCATTCATTCATTCCTATTCATTCTCCCTTCCCCCTCCCCTCCCTCCCCTCTCTCTTTCCCTCTCTCTCCCTCTCTCCCTCTCTCCCTCTCTCTCTCTCTCTCTCTCTCTCTCTCTCTCTCTCTCCCTCTCTCCCTCTCTCCCTCTCTCCCTCTCTCTCTCTCTCTCTCTCTCTCTCTCTCCCCCCTTCTTTCCTCTTTCCCTCTCCCCTCATGCTCTACCTGGCAAATAAAAAAAATAAAAAACAAGCATATAAAAAATAAAATAAGTCCTCTTTTTTCTTAATCTTAAGAATTAAAAAGACAAAAAAAAAAAAGATCACCAAAATAATGGCTAATTTTGAGCTTCCCAAGCCACTCTGGGTAGCTTGGGCCTTGGGAAGCCCGCCAGGAACCAGTCCTCACTGGTTGTCCAGACACGGGCATTCACTTCATTCGCACTCTCCTCTGAGCTTCTCTGGCCCCCAGACCCCCAGGACTTTGAAAGCCACATGTCCTCAGTTCAAGGGAGCCACTAGCAGTTTCCTGTCCCACTTCAAACTAACAGATTTCCTGGCTCAGCTCGTCAGGAATGGTTCCAGGGGCAAGGTTATCCTCAGAGGAGTGGATGGGCTCCACACGGAAGGCAGTTTGTAGACAGCTGTGTAAGGGATGGCTGGCAAATGGAACGGCCTGCTAATGGAGTGTCATTCCCATTTCAGCGCTGTGTTCACGTGGACCAACTTGCTTGTGGTGGTCGTGGAACTGTGCGGTTCTGAACATGAAGCCTTAGACCTGGTTCCCTTGGTGACCAATGTGGTCCTGGAAGAGCATTACCTCATCGTGGGAGTTGTGGTTGTGGTGGACCCAGGCGTCATCCCCATCAATTCCAGAGGAGAGAAGCAGAGGATGCACCTCCGGGACAGCTTCCTGGCTGACCAGTTAGACCCCATCTACGTGGCTTATAACATGTAGCCAGCCGGGCAGGTCTGTGAGAGCTGGCCCAAGGTCGCACGAAGACCCAAGACCAGGGCTGGGAGCCAGCTTTCGCCTGAGGAGACGGAGTCTGGGATGGTTGCATTGTATCCTCCATCTCCTCCCGTGAGACTCCACAGTCACACAACACACAGGAAAGGGGATTTGTGTAGTGGCAAATGAGAAGAACGCAGTCTCTTAGATGGGCGCTCTGACGTGGCGTGAGCAGCGCGTGACTAAAGCAGTTACATGCATGTGGCATTTTCTGCATCTGTTGTACATGTATTTTTATCTAATGCCATTTTAGAATTTTCTTAAGGGAGTTTATTGAATTCACATGAAAGGGGTAGTGTGAGTTACAGTTCCCGCTCTGTACTGTATTTTGCCATTTTACTGTAGCTAGACATCCTGCGGGTTTTGTTAACCAGAAACTACTCCGCTTTCTCTCAGTCAGATCGTAGGCAGATCAGATAACCCACTGAATATGAGAATGACTTTATATATACATAATTCTTGGCTGCAAAACATTCTGACCAGTATTTTCAACATGTAAATAAGAATACCATAATTCAGCTAAAGAATGGACTTGTAGAATTACAATAACCAAAGTAGAAAAATTTCTGCTTTGAGAGAATTTCAACATTCTCTTCCTATCGTGTCATTGATTAGGTAACTAAGTGCAAGCTGTCTGCAGGTTTCACTGCACATCGTCCTGTGCCTTTGCTGGCTGATGTGTCTCACGGACTAAGCTGCCTGCATTTGTCTTTAGAGCTTGCATTCCCAGAACCAGCTTAAGCTTCTAAGAGCTCGACCTGTTTCTATAAGCTGCAAGTCTCAGTTTAAAATAATTGAGATGTTAAGACAAAGCAAGGCTTCTTCAGATCCCACCCTGTTCCAAGGAACCATAGCAACTCCCCCGGCCCAAGTGTCGAAACTGTCTTCAGATTTACAGTGAGCATGTAAGAAGTTACCACTTCCCCTTTCCCAGGCCCATTGTGAAGCAGGGCCTCTGTGTGTCCACTTGGCGTCTCGGAGTGTGTCCTGTTCCCCAGGTCACAAGGCCAGGGAGTCTGAAAGCCAGAATGAGAGGCTGGGGAGGCAGTGGAGTCGTCCATCACACGAAACCGCAGGGCTGACGGGGTCAGGCTGTAGGGCAGCTGGCTTGTGCTGAGATGGGGGCAAGTCTGATGTGTGCAGGAAACTTGTGGAACAGCCGCGGTGCCCGGGCCGAGCAGACTCGGGTCTGGGACTGAGTTTGGCCTCTGGCTCAGTTTCCTGCCTTTGGTCTGGTAATTCATATATTTGAATATAGTTGAATTTTATTATTTTTTTCTTACAGAAATATTTTTTAAAATTAAAAAAAAAAAAACCTCAAAAGTGAGAAGAATTAACTTGTTAGATCAGAAGGGTTCTCTTTGACCCGCTCTGGTCTGTTGTGTAAATATTTATTTAGACTATTTTAATAATACATATTATTTACCCCACTGTAACATCATGTAAACTAAATATGTTTTTAAGCAATTTTTAAGACGTGTACTTACCCTGAAAATAAGGTTTATAATGCATTGACTAGGTCCTTAGCTGTGGCAGCTCTCCCAGGCTGGCTGCACACGTCTCATCCCTCCAGGCTACCTAAGACCCTAAGACCCCCTTTCCCATAACCCTCTTGTCCTCCTCATTCATTCCCCACCGGGGCAGACTTCCAGACAGTTTTTTCCAGTTCCAGATCTCTCTCTGTCTCTTTTTTTTTTTTTTTTTCAACATCAGGAATGAAGTGAACACGCACAGGCGAGGATGGACAGACAGCAAAGCACTGCGCTGGAGCACGTGGGGAAGCCCAGCGTCCAGCAAGGGCTTGGTCTGCTCGGCTGGAAAGGTGTTTTCTTAAGGCAACTTGTAATGATTTACAAAGCAAAGCAGGGGATCCCGAGGAGTCAGTGCTTCTAATGCAGAGCCGGGGTCTCAGAAACAGTGGCAGAGAGAGGCTGGCTCATGGGGGCAGGCGTCCAGGGATGCGCTGTCTACCACGAATGTGATGGAGTGATGCCAGCGACTTACACTTTTCCAGTCACGGTTTTTTTTTTAAAAGGTAAAACCAGGTAAAACTGGCTTGGGATATAATTTATGTAATCCAAGTCTTTGAAAAGTATTTCAACGTTAAAATCATTCTGCAAATTAATGAGATCCTTTGCATTTAAAAAAAAGCCTACATTCAGACTTAGAAGTCCAGCATCAGGTTCTCTCCATAGTTCGGCTCTTCAGAAGGCAAATGTGGCAGTGGCTGCCGTGGAGAAGACACAGGCTCTGCACTCATGCCTTCCAGAAACTCCCTTGTGTCCGAATGGCCAACCCCCAGCTTCCCAGGGGCGCGTGCCTACTTTTCTAGCTCCTAGGGTTTGTTTGTTTTTTCCCCAGTATGGTTATTTTATTGGTCTTATGTACATTCTCTAAAGCCAAAATGTGCTAGGAGGAGGAAGAGGCCCGGAGCTGTTCTCTGCAAACGCTCTCAGTTACCCTGGTGCCTGGAGAGGGGGACAGTGCCAGCGTGGTGCAGATCGAAGGCCCCCCCTGTCGCCACTGACTGACGACATTTTTCCATGGTGACACAGTGCTCTTCTTACCCATTCCACTAAATGGAACCTTTGTGGTGGCAGTGAGAATTAAGGCGTCCTGAAAGGCCACTGTTCGTCTTTTTGTTTTGTTTTATTTTTTTAACTAAGAAACCACAGCCTTTCCAATCCTAACCCCCTGCAGTATTGAGTCTTGATGCCTGCGGAAAAGAGACTGCCCTGCAAGCCTCCGTCTGGGTGAGGAGAACAGCGTTGGCCTGAAAGTTTGCAAGCAGCAGTGGGTCTCCTCGGAAGTGAAGCGTTCAGGGAGACCCCAGGGTTCCCACTGCTGTACCCACACTGCCCTCTGCTTGGCTGAGGCCTCAAGGGCCTGACTTGCCCCTGGTCCTGCTGCCTGTCTTAGTCACTTGGGCTGTCTCCCTTAGTCCCCCAGTGATGCTTGCTTAATGCTTTTGTTGACTCAACAAAGGGCCTGAGGCCTTAGATCCCTATTTAAGGTCCTCTGCCCCAGGCATGGTGCTCAATATTTTGGCCAAATAAATTACTTTCCTTGAATATCCAGGAATCTTTTGGACTAAAGCAATGAGGAGTTATCACCTCGCCCTCAGACTCCAACCCGATCTATGCCTTAGTGTGGTTTTTGTTGTCTGCTTTCATGTAAAAGCAAGAGTGTTTGGAGCAAGAAGCTGCAGTACTCCAAATACACAATAGGCCTTTGCCGTTCACGCAGCGTTTCTGGTTTAGGTATCTGTAGTTGGCCATGTTATTTGTCCAGAGGAAAAGATTGTAAAAATATAAGAATAATTTTTTTAGTCCTAAATGCTGTTTTGTTTACTTGTCAAGATACTTATCCATGTCAAATTCAAACTATAGTACTGTGTAATTATGTATAAATTTTTTTTTATTTATTTGAGATTAGACTAGATACATACTTTTAAATTTAACATCTGGCTGGACAGTGTTCTATTAACTCATTGAATGTGTTTCCTTTGTCTTGTGTTAATAAATATTGATGCCTGATTGTGCTTAATCCTTCACACCTGGGGTGAGGCTGGGGCACTGAGCAAGTTTAAATTTCGTTTCCTGGGATGAGAGCCTGGGATAGAGGTTACCTTTGTGGTGCAATGAGGAAAGCTGCTGTCTGCAGCCCACTGCTTTGAGTCCAGGCTCCCTACTGCTCCACTTCAGTAGCCCTAGGAGAGCAGCAGAGGAAGGCCCTGACACCTTGGGACCCCGCACCTGCTTGGGAAACCCTGGAGAGGCTCCTGGCTCTGGGACAGCCCCGAGTCAACAGCTGCAGCTGTTGAGGCCCTTTGGGGCCAGTGGATGGAAGATCTTTCTCTGTCTCTGCTTTATAAATCTGATCTGCCTTTCCAATAAAGGCAGAGTTGCGGAGAGAGAAGGAAAGAGAGCTCTTCCAGTTTACCCCAAGTGGCCACAACAGTCAAGCGGAACCAGGAGCCAGGAGCTTCCTCTGGGACCTCCGCATGGGGGCAGGGTCCCAAGGCTTGGGCCAGCATCTGCTACTTTCCCAGGTCACAAGCAGGGAGCTGGAAGGGAAGTGGGGCTGCCGGGATAGAACCGGTGCCCATATGGGATCCCAGGCGTGCAAGGTGAGGACCTTAACCACTTGCGCCACCGCACCGGGCCCCTGGGCTTCAAGTTTTTATAACGTGATAACTTCCCTTGCTTTTGTTGCACTTTTTTATTTATCTGAAAGGCAGGGAGGAAAGGACATTAAGAAATGCTGACTTAGTCCCCACATGGCTGCAAACGAGCAGGGACGGACCAGGCTGAAGCCAGCAGCAGCTCCTAGGTCTGCAGAGCTCCAGGGCGCATGCTGTCAGCTGCCTGGGCACACTGAGCAGGGAGCCAGTCGGAACTGCGGGAACTGGCCTTGCAATGGCACCCGTGTTCAATGCTGTTATCTCAGGCAGCTGTTTAACCACAATGCTCACCCTGCAGTGATTACGCAGGTTGGTTTTTTTTTTTTTTTTTTTTTTTTTTTGAAGATTTACTTAGTTTTATTGGAAAGGCAGATATTACAGAGAGAAAGATCTTTCATCTGCTGGTTCACTCCCCAAGTGGCTGCAATGGCCAGAGATGAGCTGACCCAGAACCAGGAGCTTCTTCCCAGTCTCCCATGTGGGTGCAGGGTCCCAAGGCTTTAAGCCATCCTCCACTGCTTTTCCAGGCCACAGGCAGGGAGCTAAATGGGAAGTGGAGCAGCCAAGATATAAACTGGTGCCCATGTGAAATCCTGGCCCATATAAGGTGAGGACTTTAGCCACTAGGCTGCCGTGTCAGACCCCTGCATTTTTTTAAATATTTATTTGAAAGGCAGAGTTACAGAGAAAGGGAGAGATACAGATCTCTAACCACTGCTCCACTCCCCCAAATAGCTGCAACTGGGCCATTTGGGCTGGGCCAGGCCAAAGCCGGGTGCCAGGAACTTCTTCCAGGTGTCCCTTGTGGATTCAGCAGCCCAAAGGATTTGGGACATCCTTGATTGCTTTCCCAAGCCAGTAACAGGAAGCTGGATGACAAGTGGAGGAGTCAGGACTTGAACCGATGCCATGGAGGCAGTATTTTCCTAGGCCACAGCACCAGCTCCAGAGTGATTATTTTTGAAAGACAAAATGCAACAGGTGACATGTCTGTCCACAGCTTTTTGTCTTGGGACATCCCGTGCGTCCAGACAGCTTAGGTGAGGAAAGTGACAGCCTGACGATGTTTTGCACAGTGTTCCATAGTGAGCTATCATGATGGCACATAAACTCTCAAGTCTGCACACAGGATCCATCTGTGTCCTCGGCCAGTGACTCGATTGTGTAAAGAAATGCCGGAGGGGTAGGTGAAGAGAGAGCGAGCCGCCGGAGACTGGAGGTAGGGCAGAGCCGTCAGCCACTGTCCACAGCAGCGGAGCTGGGCTGCACGTTGGTCCTCGCTTGCCATCTTCTGGAATGAAAACCATAAGCCACATAATCCATTCCCGTGTGAAGGGGTAAAGACACGTGACCCACGTCAAGGGGAAGGATTAGCAGTTTATCCTACCGGCTGGAAGATGCACAATGAAGAAAGAGCTGCAAAGACGTGGGTGTTTGGCTCTGGTGTTAAGACTTTACTTGAGGGCTTGGTGTGATAACAGCTAAATCCTCATCGTATTTTTTTTAAAGATTTACTTATTTTTATTGGAAAGGTAAGTTTACTGAGAAGAGAGAGAAAAATCTTCCATCTGCTCGTTCACTCCCCAAGGGGCTGCAACAGCCTGAGCTGGAGCTGAGCCAATCAGGAGCCAGGAGCTTCATCCCGGTCTCCCATGTGGATGCAGGGTCCCAGGACTGCGGGCCTTTCTCCACTGCTTCCCCAGGCCACAAGCAGGGACCTGGATGGAAAATGGAGTAGTCAGGACACGGACCGATGCCCATATGGGATCCCAGTGCATGCAAGGCAAGGCTTTGTTGAGCCTCGTATCTGTGTGTACATCTGCAGCCCCTGCCCCTTTCATGGCCAACTTCTAGATGTCTTTTTGAGTGCCCAGGAGGCCCACTTCCCGAAGCCCACTCCGTCCATGGACTCGCTTGTGACGGTGGGTGCACTCCCATGTTACCGCCTCCTCGGTGGCAGGATGGCCCTTTCTCCCAGCCCTCGTCCACGGGAGCCATTTTGTTGGAGCCGAGTTGGAAAGGAAGAGCATGACAGATTGTGAAAGTAAAAGCTTTTAAAGAAAACCTAAGAGTAAGCCTCTGTGAGCTTTGAGCAGGCAACATTATAACAACTAAAGCACAGAAAAGGAAAAAAGAAAAATAGAGCGAACCATCATAATGTCAAACCTAAAGAGTGGACATCAAGGCATAGTAAAGTCAGGACTCGGGGTGCTCACTTCCCTGACACCACGCTGTACGCTTGGACTTGGGGTTCCCTAGCTCCCTGCTCACATCCCTGACACCACACTGTACGCTTGGACTCGGGGTGCCCTAGCTCCCTGCTCATGTCCCTGACACCACACTGTACGCTTGGACTCGGGGTGCCCCAGCTCCCTGCTCACGTCCCTGACACCATGCTGGGTGGAGTCCCAGGTCCTGACTGGAGTCTGGTCCTCCCTGGGTGTTGCAGGCACTTGGGAACTGAGCGTGTGGAAGATGTCTCTCCCTCCTTTATCATTCCTGTGTTAAACATTCTTATTTTAAAGACTTACAGAGGGCCTGGTGTGGTAGTCCAATGGCTATACTCCTCTCCCAGCACGTGCTGGAATCCTATATGGGTGCTGGTTTGTATTCCGACAGCCCTGCTTCCCATCTAGCTCCCTGCTTGTGGCCTGGGAAAGCAGTCGAGGATGGCCCAAAGCCTTGGGACTCTGCACCCACATGGGAGACCGGGATGAGGCTCCTGGTTCCTGGGTTCGGATTAGTGCAGCTTCTTCCGTTGTGGACGCTTAGGGAGTGAATCACCGGATGGAAGATCTTCTCTGTCTCTCCTCTGTATGTCTGACTTTCCAATAAGAAAATAAATAAATCTTTAAAAAAAAAAAAAGACGACGACTTAGAACTATCTTTCATCCACTGTTTCACTCCCCAAATGGCTGCAGTGGCCAGGCTGAGCCAGGCTGAAGCCAGGATTCAAGCATTTGGTTCATCTGCTGTTTTCCCAAGTTTATTAGCAGAGAGCTGCATTGAGAGTAGAGCTTCCAGGCGCTGGGACTGGGTGTGAGCCATGTCAGGATGGCGCACAGTATCCCCTGACGTGGCAGTGGGAGTGGGCCTGGTAGGGGAAATGTGGGCACTCGCCTGCTAGGTTGCAGCTCCGGCTGGTGAGGACAAGAGGCAGGGCTGGGGACAAGCTGGGCTGCACAGAGAAGCAGTACCTTCAGCATATGTGCGGACTGGGTCTGGGAGCAGATCTGACTAAGCTGTAGCACGTACAAGTGCGCACGAGAGCCAGCTAGGATGCAGTGCAGTCTGGGTTAGGCCACAAGACAAGCCACATGTCAGCAGGCACAAAAACCGGGGCTGGGGGTGGGTGTCACCTGACTAGGCCATAAGAACCCGCTGCTGTGTGTGAGAACTGAGTTTGTGATGGGCTGGACTGGGCTGGGCTGCAGCTTCCACCAGTTGGAGTGAGAGAAGGAGCTGGGGGCAGAACTGACCAGGCAGCTGCGCCCACTGGCATGTGCACTGGCATGTGCGGGTGATGAGCTAAACTCAACATTGCACTAGCTGGTTCACACAAGAGCCAAGCCTGAGGTACCCCGGGCAAAGTTTCCTGAGGGACTCCCCAAGTAGATTGATGAACTCAGACCCTGGACAGAGGGAAAATCACCAGATGTGGGGTCCAAACTTAGGGTGCACGTATCAGACCTGGGCCTCCTCAGCTGCTGATGCCCGTGCAGTGGACAGCACGTCTAGATGCGCACAGGGGACATGACAGCCAGCATGAGGCCAGCAGGGGACACTGCGTGGCTCATCAGAGGATGGAAAGCAGAACATGCTGGACAACGCTCCTGGCCAAGCTTTGCAGCATGTTCCTGGGCCTGTGAAGGCACTAGGATGGACTTGGTCAGCCAACACACCCTGGGGAGACTTTCTCCGCCCTGGTGCAACAAAGCCTGTAACAACATCCCAGAGCTATCAAAACTACTCAAGCACCGCTCTCAGAACCCTTGCCCTCATCAGGGTCTCTGAGGTGTCATCCAAGGACTGTCCCCTATCCTCAGGGCCTGACGTAGTTTGACAGCAAGGAGAGGCTCCCTCCACGGCCACCTCTGTGGACAGGAGGAAAAAACAAAAATAAGAACTGAAGCATCCCTCCCACCCACCTTCCTCCAGACCCCAGCCTCCATACCCTAACCAGAAGCCCATGTGAGCATGCATCCCTCTCAGCTATGTAAGCAATACTTAAAAATAAAATAGATATAAAACGAAACACAGTTCATTTTTTTTTTAAGTTGGGCTGCCAGGATTTAAACCAGCACTCCTATTGGATGCGGGTCAGCATCTCAAGCAGCAGCTTTACCTGCTCTG